CAGGAGAACGCCTGGAGCAATTTCTCCCACAGACCAGACCTCCCCGCGTGCCAGGGACCTGTTCCTTGCAGCCAAGCGGCGGCCAAACCATGGCAAGGACTAGCAGCTTCACCGATTTCGCACGAGGCTCCAGAACCTGGAGCAGCTGAGATCCGCAGACGCGTGGCGCATCTTGCGTCGTATCTTCCACGCAACGACGAATCACGACTACATGCTCTCATCACTGCGGCAGCCAGTATTGCTGCTCTTGCATGCCAGTTGCGCAGCATGCCTGTCGGGGACCCGGCTTCTGATCCGTTCTCGCCAAGACTAAAAACCTTCAACTGGCCCACATGCTCGAGATTAACGCTGTTAGGGATAGAACGACTTTCACAGCCTGGACTTCGGCCGACACGCTAAGGAAGGGAATTTTTGTTCGCCAGCATCAGCCTTGTCAAAGGTCGTTTGGTCGTAGCACGCAGCCGCAACACGCGGCAGGGGAGTGGGAAGCAAACACTAGCAGCATCTCCTCACTGCAAACTACGCAGCCGGGTAAATTGCTAGTCAAAGGCGATCGTGATCGACTTTCATGGGCAGCCATGCTATTGCACACAGAGTAAGTAATAGCCGGCTACTTGCTTTATTCTTCATTGGCCCATATACTCTAGATTGCGGCCAGGATGAAGCGGTTATTATCCATCTAGTACTGGCCATTCATGTTTCATTTTGATTTGCTTGTAAATACGATGGCTCATCTACCCTTACGGTGAGAAATTTCTTCGCCTTGCCAGCTTCGGTTGTGACCCGATATCCTCTTGGTTAGGATTCACAGCACTGACTTTCTTGTCTCCCAGCTCGCTTTCTCGTATCAACCACACTCGCCACCGCAGTCCGAGCTCGCAGCAACATCTCAGATGCCACTAGCACAAAAACTAGCTCGCTTTGAAAATCTCGCTGCCGTTGCAGCTAGCTGTTATCCAGTACTATTTCTTGAGCCGGCCGTGGCCGGCCGTACTTTTTTTTTTTTTTTCCTTTTTTTTATGGAAATCGCAACTTCAGCCACTTCTGGTAGTACACATTCGACTAGACTAGCTGAGCGGCGTTAGAACAAGCGCAGCGCTTTGACAGGGGCTGGCCTTGCAAGGGAGCTGCCGAGGGGCCATTACGGAGTACGGAGTACCATGCTAGGACTCCCGCCTTAAAGATCCACTTGTGTAACACACACCATACACATACAGTATACGTACATATGCTAAGGACGAGTACGGAGCATGTGCTGCCTTAGACGCAGCACAACCATGTTGTACACAGCATGTCCAGTACGGGGAGCCGGCATATATGTACTATTATTCGCATATAACCTTCATAGTGCGATCTACCTTAAGGCCGGCTTCGATTACAAGGAAGAGAAGATGGGGGGTGAGATCCCTATTTGACCAGACAAGCATCGTCATCGCAAATTTGGCGTGGATCTTCCTACCAGGCTTTTTCGCTCATCAAAGAAAATGCATACAGCCTAATAGGGCGCCCATCTAGATTGCCATATGGATTCAATTTCAAACTAATACCGCTTATTCGCCAAGTATGATTTTAATCTAATGTTCTATAGACTCACCGGAGATATAATCCTTCTGTCACGCGAATTGAAAAGATGAGCCTGTGCGGATGTCTCCACACTTGTCACCGCACTCAAATCCTTCGGGTCTACTCTGTACATACCTCGTATGTCGTATGGAAACTACTACCCCATAGGCGTAACTGGCACAAGTACAGCAGCTATCGCAATTACTCCGTGCCTGGCCCTTGCTTCACCCTTGCTTGACACAGCGCTAATACCACTAACGGCTTCGATTCGAATCTCGCCGAGACAAGTTTCTCCCAACGCTACTGCCACAGGCTGCCACCCTCCTATGAGTATCTTACTGAGTCGGGATGGTTTATGACGCAGACATTGGAGCCATTGCAAAACTTCTTCGATTGTGAGTTAGTACTGGGTATAGGTATATCCACCCACTCACTAACTTCTAGACTGTACTCCGTACAGCAAAATGACTTTTTTTTTTTTTTTTTTTTTGAGTGGAGAGGAGTGGAGGAGCCAAAACTGTCGGCCGGATGAAACGTTGTTGGTCTGAATGAGCTGGATCACTGTCTCCTCCACAAACGTGGATCAGGCACAGAAGCGATGACTTTTGAGGGGACTACAACCACGCCGCCCAATACCGCGGATACGGAGAGCTACCTAGGTGCTGCTGGCCTGAGATTACCCCGTTTTTTTTTTATCAGTGCTAAGACGTACTTCGCCGATAGAGGTTCGCCGTTAAAGTTCAAACTTGGCCGGCCGTTCCATTTGAGAGTCACTTACGACTTCGTAGGCGATTAACCTCAAGCATTCGTGTTGGCGAAAACACACGTTTCGGTATGGACTACGATTAGTAGTGCTGGAATACGTATTGCCTATTACGACGTATTACTTCTTGCATGGCACTTCCACTAAGCGTCTCAAGGTACCCACTGATGCATCTACTACCACCGCCGTACATTGTACAACATGGTCCAGCCGCCTGCTTACTCGTTTTGGGAGGCGTCAGAGTCGCTTAGTTCTGCTTTCTCGGGATCGGTTGACGGCCGCAGATTGATCTCACGGAGCTAATTGATTGCTTTTGGCCTCTTTTGCTTTGGCCGTCTCCCTAACGCAGAAACGTGGAGATTGCTACGAGGAACGGTGCAGTTGAGGACGGGTAGCTAGCACCAGCAAAGTGGAATTGAGTCTTTGAACTAAACAATACCTTGTCGGACAATTTGAACCTGCAAGATTTGTCTCAACCTGCTCCGTCATACCACAGCATTACTACTACTTTGAGTGCATTTCTGCTGGCTTCTCATCATCGCCCCGCTTACTTTGTGCAACAGGTAGGTAGTACCGCCAGTGGCATCATGCATCGCTCGCATATGCTGGCGCACATCAGGGACACGGAGTAGCCCGTATCGCACCTCTTCTCCCAACCCTGCAGAAAACGTATCTGCGAGTTAGTATCCAGTAACAACGACGAACAACTCGAGCTGAAAGAATTGGAAACCGGCAGATGGATGGGCAAGGGACCCTACTCTTCACTCTTAACTTTTCATTTTTTCCCTTTCTATCTCCTTGGCGCCAGACAAGGTTCATACTTGTTTCTCTCTCTTTTCTTTTTCCCTTTTCCCTTCCCTCTCCCCGTCTCGGCCCCTCTAGCTACTTGTCCTGGTGTTAGTGCAACTAGTAATTGGTTCGCCAGCCTCACCCTTGCCAAGCGTACTACCACCACCTTAGTATGTGGCCTGTATTATCCTACTCCGTACTGTGCCCTATGATGCTACCACAGTGGTGCATGTGATAGGTGAGCCATCATTTGAAGCTGTCTCACCCGACCGTTCTCGAAGCCTTCTTTTTTTTTCTTGCTTTCTTCCTGCTATTTTGAGACAATACTTATTACTGACCCTCACCAAAACGAAGCACACTGTAAATCAAGCTTCCCTAAACTTTGTAAAAAGTGACAGACGTCGCTTTTAGCGGCAAACCCTATGTGACCTAGATTCATGAGCACCGCAAAGAAGTTGTCATAGGTAGGTGTAAGCAAGCAATATCAACAAGTACATGCTCATACATACTTGTACTTTTTTCTTATGGAGTCCTTGTTAAGAGGCCCCTCTCGCATTCTTCAAGCCGAGGCCGCCGGCACTCTTATATACACGCCCAAACAAAAATGTACCACCCTCCGGGATGGCCGCTCGGCTGCTTCCCTTTTGCTTTTGATATGATACCACACAAAGATGATGCGCATGAAGAAGGTATTGCTGCCTGGAAAAATGCAACTGCTGCTGCGAAATCGCCTCTGATCTCCATTGGTTTTTTTTTTGTTCCCCAACGCTGATGCTGATGAACATGACAAATCCTGGCAGATGCTCACAGTGGCCGCCAAACGATGTTCAGGTGGGAAGCATGTCTCCACACCGGCAGTAAGATGACGATTTAAACGATCCAAATAACTGTTTTTTCCCCCCTAGCAGCTGGCTCCGTTTCTTTGCAGTCTTGTAAAGCCGCGCTGCTGACCTGTCAGCCAAACATACGCCTTTTACCTTCTGTGGTTGACGGCTTCGCCGCTCGGCACATGCCACACAGCCCTTTCAGGCTGAGCCCAACGGGAACTGCAACGTTTTGATTCTCGTGTGGATCCATACTTATATGTACATACTTGTACGCTGGTGGTCTCTCTGACTACTGCCTGTGCTCGTAGCTCTCTAACATGGTTGGTGTCGACTGAGGGGTGTCAAGTTTCCGGCTCCTCTTCCTAAACAACTCAATATCGCCTCCTCTCCCCACCCCCAAAAGGGCTGTGTGCGACTTCGCAAGACCCTTGCCTCTTCCTCCCTGCCGAACAGGCATAGTAGCCCTATGGAAGACCCCAGAGCATGGCACTGGTAGGTAGGGTGTCACAACAGCAGCGGCTATTTGTAGTAGCTATTACTAGGTACTGGGGCAACCTCCCGCTCTGTGTCCTTGAATCCATCCTCTTCGTGCCTCCATCATCGGTGCTTGCCAAAGCCACCCATCTCGGTCTGCTGTCTTCCGAGACACAAGAGTAAAAAAAAGAGAGATTCACAGATTGCCAGATCGGGCCTGGCCAAGAGCTGGTATGGGATCCCCCTTGGCTCTAGCTCACATTCACCACCAGCTGTCTTAGGTCAGCTACACTTCGCCACCAAGAGTTCAGTGTGCTGCTTTGGATCCCGGATTAGAGGCCAATATTCCAGCTCTGGGGCTCGCTAACAAGAGAGGATTGGCAAGCCAACGCCACCAGACCAGCTCTACCATCTGCTGTTCATGACTCTTGCCTCCTTATTGTATCCTCCCAGCTCAAACGAATCGAAGGTCTCCACGATCCCGCTTCTCTCCAAGGCCCCTCCGTACTACCAACCCCCAAGAGCGATCGACGTCGTCACGACCTCATCAATGTCATATCCAGGCCCCGTCTCAACAGGAGTAGATGCAACCTGCGATGCCACCACCAAGGTCTCCCTCCAGAAACTTTAGGGGGCCCCCAGATTCCACAATGGCATCTACCATGCGAGGAAATGCTACCCATGTCTTGAAGCGATCTTACTCGACACCTTCAGTGGGTGGTGTAGCATCAACATCGTTCTTAGAGTCTCAACCATTAGCGCCGCAGATGAATGAAAAGAAGAGAAATAAACTAGGCTACCACAGAACGTCGATTGCCTGTGGTGAGTTTTGTCTACCCTTTTCCGACTCGACACGAACCCGCGAGGCCTGGGCCGGTCCTCCCGGAACCCCTACGGAGTCTAACACACGCTAGGTCACTGCCGTCGACGCAAGATACGCTGCATTATATCCTCAGAGGACCAGAATCGATGCGTGAACTGCATACGGCTCAAGAAAGAATGCAGCTTTCACCCAGTAGACCAGCAGCAGCCATATGATCAGAAGCTACCACCTCAAACGCCCACTGGATCCAGCATCGCGACGGCCTCCTCATCACCGGCAATATCTCGTGGCAGCTCCGTTGACCAAGGGACACAGCGACAACAATATCCTGCGATACCTGTCGCCCCGGTGCCCAGCATGGGGGCCCCAACGCCTCAAAGCGAATATTTTCCACCAGACTTGGAAGGTGGGTAACTGAAACTCGTCTGTAAGATTTCTCTGTATCCGGTGATGTTAACTGTTAGTGTAATCAAGGTTCGGCGAACCCCATGCCATCCGGGTCATCTTATGGTGTAGGGGAGCAGCCTTCTAGAAGCTGGGTCTCTACGGACACGGATCCAAGCGCAATGTCGAAACCTCGCGGTCAAAATATGTGGCAACAGTCATATCAAGGAGATGTTTCAATGGGCTTGGGTGGGCAAATTTCTCCATACGCAGATCCATCAACCGTACCTGCTGCCTGGGCTACTTCGAATTTTGGACCTGGTAGAAATGAAATGGGATGGAATAGCGGCATGCCACCGCCTCCTCGATCGATGTCCTTTAGTGGAGAAGTTCTAGGAAGCCATCATACTCCTCAGTACTATCCAACACCACACCAAAATCCGGTCTACCAAAGGCAGCCGAATCAGTTTTCTCACATCTACGCTACTGTGCCTGTTAGCGAAACGGACGAGAACATAGAACAAGCCATTGATCCGGCTATAATGGGCACCAATGTGCCCCCGACAACGCCTATAGCTTGGCAACAGCAACAGCAACAACAACAGCAGCAGCAGCGTCAACAGCATCAACAGCAGCATCAACAGCAGCACCATCAAGTGCAAGATACTCAGGTAGGGGGTGCCTATCGCGGGTGGGAAGGGTATAGTGGGGATGATGGAGCACGTCGCATGTAGGAGCCTGCTGCCTTTCTCCTATTTTAACTGAATTTGGCCGTAATATGTCACGGCAAGGAGCTGAAAGGACTCGATAACTGCCGACAAGACGTCATTCGTTGCCGAAAATCAAAGTATTCAAATAACGATAAGCCTGAAAAGTAAATCGAGCACGGAAATCCGTCTACCCTAGTAATATTGGGTGGTGGATCAAAACCTCCTCAGCCTCCAGCCCGCCGATATTGGTAATACAGCTTTATCTCAGCCGTCAGAAGTGTTCTATAGGGCCAAATGTAGAAGGATTTTCTGTCCTATCACAATATGAAGAAGTCTTACGATGCCGATTATGAGTGGACGACCACTTGACCGAACCCTCTTCGCCGATGATACGAAACGACCTCCGATTTCAAAATTCTTGGCAATACGGAAACATTGAATAGGTTGGGGTATAGACTTCTTCGGGAATATAATGGATGCTGTTTGCGCTGGATCTCAACAGTGCTAGAAGAGGTGGACTTTGTACCTGAGAACGCTGAGATTCGGCGACATGAACTGTGGCTGAGATGTCTTTTGAAGTCTCGAACATTATCGAATAAACGAAAAGTTCACCTGCTGGTGGAAGACGGCCATACTCCCGACGAAACCTGTTGCCGGTAGACTACCACTTCGGACAATTAATTCTTTGATATATGACTAGTCTTTCACAATGTGGAAGGTAACAGCAAAGGACCGCCCAGAATGCTACATCTGCACCAGGCTCGGCAGCATATCGATTTGGACTAAGATTTCAACCTCGTGTCATTCGAATTTCTTAATGGTTTTTGCTCTTTGTGCATTTCAACATTCTATCTTAGGGCGAGGATTAACACGATTATACCATGGAAAAGGGAGGGCAGCCTTGACAACTGTACATAGCGGGAGGAAACAACGAATGATATCGTTACGGCCGAAGCAACTTTTTATTTGTGTTTTTATTGTTTTTTTAGAACGGGGGAGTATTCATCAAATAAGTGAGCTATGCTCACCTATGGCGGAATGAGCGGATTAGAGCTATCTTTCTTTGTTTCAATTCCCCTTTTGTATTGGTTCTCTATTTTACTGGGCTCGACGTTCGAAACTGGAAGACGGGGGTCTAAAAAAAAAAAGAAAGGTTTCAAGAGGCTGTTTGTATTGAGCAAGTCCATTTGTTGAATCAGATTTTTCTGATTACTATTTTTCTTTTAATTTTTCCTCATCATAAATTGCAAGGCATTCAATGAAGCATATTTGAGAAAGGGGTGGGGAGGGGAGTCTTTGTTTTGGGGGCACGGCCACCACAAATAATATTTACAAGTTTTCATGTTCTTTCTGGAATATTTTTTCTTCTTATACATACTTTCTTTTTTATTCTTCTTTCGCTTGGAATGCTTTGGAGCTGGGTATTATTAGAAATTCTTGGATTCCTTACATACATAGGGGTTTTCTTGACTTTTATTGTCCAATTTTGAGTGTAACTGACAAGACAGTGAATAATAGTGCTTTTTTGACACGGTGGGGGATATTTAAAAGGGGGAAAAAGAAGTTGGAAGAGATATATAAGTGAAACCGGGACATTATATCCGTTATGGGTTCTTAGAGGGCGGGGGATTGTTTGACTGTGGAAAAAAGTTCATGACTCGGGGAGTAATGTTCGTGCTACTTTTGGTTGCACTAATTGTTATTCATATTAAACTATGTTTGCAAAAATATATTACCTTGAAAATGATGTATATATATAGGCGTACAATGTGCTTTAACCACAATATTGATATGTGTATGTATCGTCAACTCTTCCTTTGCATCATCTCTATATTGATTGATGATTTACTGCTGCATCTGGGATATTCTGGTCCAGCTAAAGAGATATATTCCAAATCAATTGCCTTTGGCCGAAGATTTTTCATCTCTTAAAGATGTTTGCCAATAGGAATGCTTAACGCTTATCGAAATGGCAGATCGGCGTATGTGTATAATGATTTTGTTCATAAATACGGGTGCTATAGGTGCAATATAAAGCCGCAGAGGCTGGTGTAATAGAGGGCTATACTCGCAACCCTCAGCTCAATGACTAGATTCAATGAACATGTCCGAAAAGAACAAGATTTAGTAGCTTGGTTAAATCAAAATCATGTTCAACCAAAGCCAGATGACTAGATCGCTCAATAGCGTTTGTATATAGAAGTGGAAAGAGAGAAATGTAGACAGGTCTTGCTTATCTGCAAACGATCAAACGTATAGCAACAGTCGTTTCTTGGGTACTGATGTAGACATTTAAGCAATAACGACGTCTTTCTCGGCTCATAGCTTGAGTTATTATGTGCTTCGCTTGAGGCCAACTCTGTATCTTACGGATGAACCATCACTTCACCTCTCCGTGCAGAGAAACACGAAACTTGAGGGGGTTTCAAGCAACCAATACATCGAAGCGCACTAGAGAATGAGGGGGTATTATCTATTACTAGTCTTGAATCCTAAAGAAACCTTGTCAAAGTGTAGCTCTAATCGCACTCTCGTTTGGACGCACATGTCCACCAAGATGCCACCAAGTAATGCATTTTAACGCCAGATCCAATGTGGGAAATAGCAGAAACACCTAGAGTATGCTAAATTTCTAGTAATTGAAGTCAATATAGACTTCAGAGATGCGTGAGTGATGAACCAATGAAAATAAGGGGAAAACCGAGACAATGAGCTGCGGTGAATGCCGGGAGCGCCCTTGCTGAGAACATCAGACAAACCACATATAGTAAACAATGCTAGAAATGTCAAGAAGTGTAAGACAGAGACGACCCATAGATTGTGACATTCAACCATTATGCAAATGAACTCTTGCGGGCGGGTATCATAGCCATGTCAAGATTCGCTCGTAAGCACGGCGGTAAGCAGGAATAACCGAAGTCCTCTCCAACGACCAGTAAAGTTAAATATAATGATAGCTCATACGTCTTTAAGTTCCCATGTCAACACCAAAAGCGTAGCAAAGGCGCAAAGACTCAGTACAGTTAACAGGACCACAGTGTCGCCGCTGGTCCGGAATTTCCGGTGCAGGTTGCCATCTGCCGACTCGGCGACGAAGAACTGGCGGTTGCCCTGGTACCGGCGGTAGATGGAGACGAGGAGAATGGCAGTGCCAAAGGCGGCAAAGAGGGCACCGATGGGGTAGAATTCCTCTGTGAAGACTTTGAGGATGACGAGGGAGAAGGAGAAGAGGCCCAGGGCGGTGCGCATGTAGGCACCCTCGAAAGTTCGTTGGGCGGCGCGGATTTCGACGAGTCTATGAAAGGGGTATCGATGAGTAATGGATCAAGGTTGAAACTCGTTTAGAAAAAGGCATGCAGATGTAGTCATGTAGATGTAGATTGGCGTCATGCTTGTCACATCAGGGCGACATGGCGGGTGATGAGAATATGCGTGCAAAGTTACGTGTGGCACCACTCACTCGTCAGAAGTCAGCACCACAGACCGAGCTCTATGGAGCCGAAGATGCATGCTCTCTTCTGGGTGCGACTGGAGGCGTGGTTAGTCCAGTGCATTCTTGTGTAAGACGGGGCGAGCGCCGCAAGGGGCAGTATCTTCTCTTTACGAACCCGAAACATGATGGGCGAGCAGGCACAGTGAATGCCGTGTCTGCAGATGTCACTGCTCTTGATGTCTTATGGGATTGGATTTACAGTTTCCGTTGGAGGTTTGTTGAGCATGGATTAAGAAGGGAGGCCAAGTCGACATAAGGAGCGATGGCGATGAAATCACTTGATGGCTTGAATGGCGGTTGGCGGTTGAATCATCACGTGGCTGAATGACGTGGGGTGGCTGATCTCCGTCAAAGCAGCAATTACCTTGGGCCGCTATCTGCACATCTACTGTCTGCTGTCTACCTGGTTTGCCGTACAAAGAGCACGGCATTCAATCCGATATGGGAAAGATTTCATGAAGTGTTTTGCACGACTCATCCCGTAGAAATGAGGCGAGTCGATCCTGCGAAATCGCAGCCCACCACCTTTGCTACGCCACCGGTGTCAGGATCACACAGACGAGACGATGCAGGAGACACAGCGACGCCAACGTGCAGCCGCGCTTTTGGACTGGCGGTTATCGATCAGGCGGCGCGCTTATCTCCCTGCGCAGATTGGGCGAGACTCATGGATTCCCATGCCGGCACTCGCGGTGTCCAAATCAAGCAGACCGAGTAGTTGGTGGCGCTGCAGTAGCGGAACTGGACGAGACGGATCGAGGGCCTTGAAAGAGGCCGCTCGCTTGAGAGGGCACTATCCCAGTCTCGGATCTTGCTCTTTTGCTTCCCAAGCTTTACCTTCCTTGAAAGCGCGAGGCGCCTCGTTAATGCTTTGAGTCTGAGTCTGCCTTAATATGGGGCTGTTTTCACGGCGGCCTTATACACCTAACCTGCCACATACAGTAGGTAGTATATATGTGGCTGAATACAGGATTCTCATGCAGGCTTCGGAAGAGAGGGCCTGCGTGCGCGTGGCTTGTGAGTAGGCAAGTAAGACAATGAATCTTCCGTGGAATGTTCTAGGATACAATATTCAGATGGTCGATGCTACTATCATCCATGATAGGCATTACTTGGGATAGTAGCTGCAAGCGGGCACTAGAGTATATTGGAGTGAGGCGGTGCTGGCTATAGCATCGTCGAGTCTAAAGAGCGTCTTCAGCCGCATGGTGGGACGCACGGGATGTGGCAGTGCTTTGCTTGCTGCTCCCCCTAAGCACACTTTGTGGTTCGTTATAGTATTGCAATATTGCAATATTACACTTTACAAAAGTATGGAGCACGCATGTAAGTGCCATTAGCCGCGCTCTCGAGAAAGGGAGCCCTGGAACCTGCCCCTCGGGGAAGAGTTGCCAAGACTTCCTCAATCCTCATGTCCGGAATTCTCTGCTTAATCTCCGCGATAAGCACCGCGCACAACTCGAAGTCTAGCTATAGGGTGTTGACAAGAGCCGAGTCAGCCGGGAAATTAATCGCTGCTGCCGCGGCTCTGTTCCGTTTCCTGCTGTGATTGAACGCAGACGGATAACGTAGCAAGCCGAATATCTGATCCGTGGCTAGTGTAATAATTAACAGCACCTCGGCGCATGTCAGAATATGGAGTATCCGCAGTAGCAGCATATTGGACCACGTCTACGGAGCATGTTGCTGCTAGATCCTGCTGGCACGCATGGGGGTTGCATCAATTTCAAGCTGTTGAGAGTCTGCGAAAGACTTAAAACAAATCGCGTCTTACCAGGACGTATGTAGTGTTCCGTACTACCTTATGCATTGCTGATCCAGTATGGCATGGCCTTGATCCTTCGGAGAGCTGCTACGTACCACACAAGCGAGGCACGAGTTAAACACACGACGAACGAGGTATCCATATGCCCTTTGACCAAGCACGAGCACATAAGTGGAGTACCACATAGGTAGTGCTAGTATCTCTCGTCTTCCCGTCTATGCTGCGCCGGTCGGACAACCTTATTTCACGGTGCTGATGTCATGGCGGTGTCTGTCTCAAGTTGATCGTGATGTGCTGCGGTTCGCACCCTAAGCTGCCTTGTGTGCTCCCTGGCGATCGAGTCTTCGATAACGCTAGGCCTGAGAACAAGGCGGTGCTCCATCTCGTCTCGGTTCGCAGCCACACCACGAGAACGCCTCGGGGGCTGGGACCACCTGACTTGGACTTCGTGCTGGATAGCCTCGCAGGGCTATCGGAGCGCACTATGGCCCAAAGTGGCGCTTTCAAAGACAGGTCCAACGCTTTTGGAGACTGTGCGGCGCCTCGTGCCCACCCTCGTGCATGGGCTGGGCGCGCAGTCTTGTCAGGGGTCAGGCGGCTCTAGATGATAAGATACCTGACAGGCGCTGTGTTTCCTGAGACGAGGCTGGTACTGCACTACCGCGCTTAGCTCGCTGTCCCGTAAGGCTTTTCAACAGCATGTTTTTCCACTTGACATCGAGGGTCAGCCCCACCGGCGAAGCAGACAGAGCCTTCTTCCTTCTAGTGCTGCTGCTGTCCAGCTAGGCTTTTTTAAACGGTGGAGGCTATGGAGACGAGAGGCTGCAACAAGTGACATGCTATGCGAGTTTGACAGACCTGACACAATCGACGATGAAGATGGGAGGGCAGCACTTGGCGCGGAGCAGCAACGAGACGATTATTTCCTGTTGCGAAGCGTCTGGAGCGAAGCTGAGAAGAGCGTTGCCGTGTCTAGACTGGAAAGAGTCTAACGTGAACTCCCACCCCGGAGGCCATGATCCAATGCCTGCAGCGTAGCAGCACCTTTATTATTGCCTTGTAACCTTGTGCCGGCAAGTTGCAAGCACTTGGGCATCGCTTGGAGTTTCTTGATTCCGGCCAACCGCGCGTCTCTGTGAGCCCTGGGTTAGCACGGTTGGGTGTGAACTCGCACGGCATAGGTGCCCGCGGAGTGGAATCCCGGTTGCATGCTGCCTGCCGGCTCTATCGTCGTCATTTATTGTAGAATAATGGTACGCTGCTGTCCTGATGTGGATGTATGTTGTAAGGCGATGTATTGTGTACTTGCGAATCGCTGATCTGGTTGTTGCTTTGACTGTCCTTTGTTGGAGAGGGGAATTGTGTCTGCTCTAGGCTCAGCCCACAGTAGTCTATTTTAGGGCAGTTGAGTTTCCCGGCCGGAGGGCTCAATGCTGAACTAGCAACACCCGAGGCACTGAAACTGGCGTGCTAGAGCACCGTTAGCAGAGCTCGATGTGGCATTGAATAGCTAGTCTAGCACCTATAAACAGCAACAGCAGTCAGTGCAACAGCTCTTGGCCTCACGTGTGACTGACTTCATTTCAGTTCATCTCGTCTTTGCTCACCTCGCCCCGTCTCATGTTCTCTTCATCTCGTCCAGAATCTCCTTGATCCATTGCAAACAGTACTGTCCACTTCCCTCTGCTTCTCACCGAATATTGACTGCTTGCCACTTCCTCTTGCCGTCGCATTTCGATCTCGGGGCCCCTTGTGCAAGCTACTAGGCGTCCCCTCCCGCATTTTCGCCCCCCCACCACACCACCACAATCACTATCACCACCAGCCCACTCGCCCACACACCCCAAATCGCAGCTCATTGGGGGCCTTTGCCAGCTTGAAGCCCGAAAGCCCAGCAAAAACGGTTGCACCACTATGACGCTTTTGACACCACCAGCTGGTACATGGAACATCGTCCTCTCGGGTTATACACGTATCCCGCCACGGTAGCACGTACATACAAGCAGCGCAACCCAAGACTGATTCCGGCACAAGCACAAGAGCCAGCAACATGGCAGCAAGGGCCGCTTCGCAGGGGTGCCGTCGACAGCCTAATCAAGGTGGTAAGCGCCTTTAGATCCGCCAGCCGCACCCACGGCCCATGTCCCATCCCATCGTCAGCTCTGGCTCTCCGCCCACTGCCCTTTTTTTTCTCGTCCGACACCACTTTGTCATCTTAATTTTTAATTCCCAGCCAGACGCCGCAGCCTCTCTAGACCGTCTGTTTGCCGACTGCGCCCCAAAGCTTGAGCTCTGGCTCCCGCCCTGCCTAGCAAAGCACAGCACAGCAAAAGAATCATAGCTTGCCGCCACCCCGTTGCTCTCCAGGAACATGGTCCCTGGCCAGTGACGTGACGCTGCGCATCTCCAGAGCGCACCAGTTTAGGCCTACAGGGCCCCGGCTGCCTGTCTTGCATCTCTCGATAGAGAGCCACCGCTTCTCTTTTCTCCTGCCATAACCTCCCTCTTTCCTCCTCCTTGCCGCATATACGGAGTACTTATCCTCGGGCATCCCCTTACGCTCGGCCCCAGCTGGATACAATCATGTCTTCCGCATCGGCAGCCGCTCAAGGGTTCTCCGTGCCTCACGACACCGACAGCCCTCTTACCCTCGATCGCGACTTTGACTTCGACTCTCAGCCCCGCGATCCAGTGGCAGCTGGTACTGGACAACAGCAACAGCAACAGCAGCAGCAGCGCTCATCAATCGACTCAAACTTGCTATCACCCTTCCTATCTCGAGTTAACAGTGACTCTCTCTCCCCTGCGAACCCCTCAGAAACACCTGCCGGATCCTCGACATTGAGCCTCTACCAGTCCAGTGATTACAGCGACTTTGACGACGACCCTTTCTTCGGCGCCAACTTTACCAATCCCGAGGTCGGCACGCCATCCTTTTTGGACGACCACAGCGTATGGGACCTCTCACTAAACAACACCCCAGCAGTTGAACCTCAGCAAGAACATAATGCCAACGACGATAATTATCCTCTAACCCCGGATCAGACTGCTTCCGTCCATACATTATCACCACGAAGCGAGGAGAGAGCAGCTCTCACGCGACCGGATCAACATCAGCTACCCAGCTCCATCTCACCGCAGGAGCTTCAGAAGCCCTTCAAGCCCAATCCCCTTGTCATTCCAGCACCCCAGTTGACGCCAAGCCAGACGGATAGCGCACAGTCCAGCGAAGACGGATTAGCACCTGCTCCCGTCGATATGAGATGTCAGAGTCCTCGCGTCACCATCTCTGTATGGGACAAAGATAACAATGGTCCCGTCCATACCGTCGAACGTTCTTTCGAAGATAGTCCGTCGACGGTACGAGGGGGCCTCGAGTCTGCCGGAGACTTGATAACATCATCCATGAACTATGGTCAGGCCAAACCTGTTACTAGAGACTCTACGGGGCAATGGCGGCGCGACCCTACCACCGGCCTGGCCGGTTTGGATCCAAAGAGGCGGCCTGGGGAGGCCATCGCAAGCATTAACGAGATTATGAGCCGTCAAGAGATTGAGGAGAAAAATGGCGAGGTCGACAAATGGCTTACTGGTAATCTCAATGAGATTGTTCCCCCGGCCACGCCGTCTCCTGAGGATATTAGCGCCGCAGAAGAGCAGAGCCGCAACAGCAATGACAGCATTCCTCTTGGGGACCAAACTGAGAATAAATACATCCCCGGCCAAACTTATTACTCTCCTAATGGCGCTGGCCAGTTGGCTGATGAGGACTACGATATCATCTATGCTAATCGCAATTGGGCCGATGCCCCCATTCTTCCCTCTATCAGAAACAGCGGAGAGAGCCGTCATCAACCACAGAGCTCACAAGCCGCCATTGAGCGCTTCGAGAGGATGTGCCGTGATAATGACTCAATCATCTCTCGAGCTGCAACCTGGGGTACTCGCCGACGCAGCTTACCCAGCGTTGTCGACGTCGATATCGAGGGCATCACCAGCGGTAATTTCTTGAAGAAGCTCTCCATCAGTCGAAGCGGTGATAAGAGCAACAAATCTGGCAGCCTCTTGAAGGACCTTCGCGGTCTTGTTCGGCGTCCTAGCGGTTCACATGCGCGCAAGCGCTCGCGTAGTGGACAGCGTGAGGCTTCAAATGAACAGGCAGAGCAACCACCAACTCACAATAAACGTGATAGCCTACCGCACTTCTCTCCCATGTCACGAACACCCAGCTGGGGAAAGAAGCACCAGACTCCCAGTATCAATACTGCCTTAGTATCCATGGGCCAAAACTTTGCTTCCATTGGTACTACGCATTCGCGCGCTGGATCTATCAGCACCATCCCGCCTCCACCTTCCAAAGGCCCCTTTCCCAGTCTTAGTGTGAAAGGCTCTCTAAGACGACCGCGAAGCAAGTCAGACTTGCCCAAGCCATCCGCCGCCCCCAACAACAGTAATATCGATAGTGGTCACTCTAGCCTCGCTGATATGTGGAGGAAATCTGGTGGACCGCCTGTAGCAGCCCTTAGGCAAGCCGCTGCTCCCGTCGAACCAGACGACGACGATGACGACGACGACGATTTTTACGAAGATAACGACATGAAGATGAACCCCAATATCATTGATGACATCACTCCAAACTTTGCTGGCTTTCAACAGCACATCCAGACCCTGAACCAAGCACTATCCCCTGCACATAGCTACCTTGTAGATCGAATTGCCCACCAGCAGATTATTAGGTACAAGCAGCTACTTAATAACAAAGTCAAACACCTCGGCCTTGGGGCCAACTGCCCTTGCGGTTCGCTCTGCTTGGCACTGGGCGGCTCAGCGAACCTGCTGAGTTCAAGGGGAGGAGATAATGGCAATGGCAAGGGATTAGATGCATTATCAACGCATTACGATGATGACGATGATGTCACGCCGACTGAAGGCGCCATTAACCAGGAGAGCTTCCCAACTGATATACCCATGCCGCCAACACAACATTTGCCGGCAGAGTTTGAATGCCAGCTGTGTTACCAGAAGAAGAAGTTCCACAAGCCATCCGACTGGACCAAGCATGTACACGAGGATGTGCAGCCTTTCACATGTACGTGGGATAAATGCCGGGATCCCAAGATCTTCAAGCGCAAGGCCGACTGGGTCCGCCATGAAAATGAGGGCCACCGCCACTTGGAGTGGTGGACGTGCGATGTTGAGGATTGCCGGCACACATGCTATCGCCGCGACAATTTCTTGCAACACCTCGTTCGTGAGCACAAATTCCAAGAACCCAAGGTGAAGACCAAGGCGGCAATGAAAAAGGTCGGCACAGTCGATCCAACGTGGCAAAAGGTTGAGCGCTGCCATGTAGAAACGAACAAACAGCCGCACGAAGAACCGTGCCGGTTCTGCGGCAAAGTATTCCCGACGTGGAAGAAGTTGACTGTTCACCTAGCCAAGCATATGGAGCAAATCTCGCTTCCTGTGTTGCGCTTGGTAGCGGCCAAAGCAAAAGAACTGGCAGCGGACACCATCATCAGCCCAGTCCAAGACCCCCCTCCACGGCACGAAATTCCACTCATACCAGATCAAAATTCGCCTGCAATGCGATATCCAGACAATGGCCAGCAGCAGCTTTCCTCGGCCTCACCAATGCCGCCGCTGCCGCAGCAGCAGCAGCAGCAACCATCATCGATGCCATATCCGCAGGCCCAAAATCAATTCATGTATTCTCAGGTGATGAATCCTGGCCAATTCCACTCGTCTTTCTATCCTCAATTCGACAACATTAGCCAAAATCTACACCAAAACCAGTCAATGGCTGCTAGCCCGCTAGTTCATGGGTTTGACCCCGGCCGGCGGGTTCAGGACCTGCCCGTCACCTCGGCTCCGTATGGACAGGGGTCAAATCCGTATACCGCCATGACAATCCAAAATGAGGTGGAGCCATTCCCACCCCTGAATGCATTGGGTTTGCAGAACGTGTCTGTACAGGTCGCTGCTGCCCCCCCTATGAACACGCAGATGTACGACGGCATGATAGACCCTTCGAGCGTCCAAGGCAGCCCGTTCAGCGGACACGATACGCTGTCGACTTACTCACATTCCCCTCATCAGGGAGCTACTATTCATCTAGATACCAAGGGCTGGGATGATGGACAGCAGGCGTCTGGGTTTTATTGAAGCGTTGAATGACCACTAGGTTATCATGCGACGCAATTTCCCTTTCTCTTTTTCATTTTCTTCATTTTTTTTTCTCTTTTCACTGGTTCATGCTCATATTAGAGTTGGATAAAATTTGAAGGTATGGATTCAATTTGCTATTATGAAGGGCTAGGAACGAGCAGCAGTATTTCTTCACTACAGTAGCTTGTTATATAAGCATTTTTTTTTGTTGCGATTTAGCATGCGAGTTGGATCATTGCGGAGAGCAGTTTACAAAACAGGACATCTCCTTTCCTTTGTTTCCCCTGCTTTTTCTTGCATATTACATTATCCATTAGCTATAGCAATCATTCGGAAAGTGCGTTGAAGAGGAATAAAGAATTCAATCTTGTACGTTATAAGCCATTGACTTGGATAACGAAGCTGCACATGTCTTGCATAATACGCTTTATACAAGACATAGCTCCTCCACCTTTCTTTGTTTTTTTCCTCTCACTACAAAGCATCTAAGTCTGTGAAGAGGAATATAAAATGTCAACGGCCGACTACATGTATATGCCTTGATAACACAGGTACCACATACTGTCAAGGAGGGAGAATTCCGGGGGGGCGTATTACTGATACGAGCCAACATGGAGTAGAATGGGTTCCACTAAAATTTGCTGCCTCGAGCGAACTCGTACTAGTGCCAATCAGGAGAAAATATCAGTACGCGTATGACTTTGTGCCATTTAGGTATGAACCAAGCTTCTTTGTATAACTTGTCGAGGCAGGTTACATCTCGACATGAAAGAGCGGTTGGCTCGGCGGGTACCACAAAACCACGAACCAACTCGGTTTTTCTTTTTCCGTTCTGTGCGTTTTCTCGGCCATTTCTTTATTAAGAAGAAACAGGAGCTAGGGTGGCTGTGTCTACTATGCTTGAGGCGAAGAAGACCGGGGCCGTGCGGTGAGGTACAATGCAGTGCAGATCATGGAGTGGAAGAGAGAACTTTTGGGGATGAACATCTACAGTGGACATCAGATCGTCTACTGAGAAGCGATCAATTCAGCACTCGATAGTTTTCTACAGCATCTCCCCTTCTCCGACAATCTCTTATTGGCAGCTTGTCTAATGATAACATGTGTTGATCATCCATCTAGGATGTCACTAGCTGGGCAGGCAATATTTGCCCACCAGGATGCGAATGTGTCCTCTCCATCAAAAGGTTGCATCTCGAAATACCTACCAGACGATAGGCGGCCTCTCGTTTATTTCTCGCCCAATTTAATTTGCTCTCTTGTATAAAGAAACCTAAATTAAGACACAGAGAAATACCTTTTTATTTTTTATTTTTATCTTGGTGCAGCGCTCGGTTACCCCCAAAAGGGCTCATCTCGTTGCTGGCAGGTTTTTGGCGAGTGTAATTTCGCTGGGCGATCCCTGAAATCTTGGGCAGGTAGCTAGCGGTCGGTGCCCCGTCGCTTGGTGCGTGGCTATCTGTAATGACCATGCTGTACCATGATGGGACGATTCAGGGATTGGTGGAAATCTGCTTTTCGAGCAGAATCTCAGTCCTGGGCGAACCATGCAATGTCTATCACTTGCTGCAATGCTCATGTTGATTATGCGCTCATCCGCTGCTTATATCGGCGTATTGGTTGGTGCCTTGTCTACAAGTATGGACCGGTTTGAGCTTCTGGCGGAGAGTTTCAGCGCCGCTGCTCTCCAGCCTCGACCCGCGCCTGGCCAATCAGGGTCTTGCGCAGGTACCAATTCCGACCCCTTCCACTGGATCTGCCCCTAAGACCGCTGGGAAGGGGCGGCCCATGCAGCGCCCAGGAACAGTGAACCTGGGCGTAACCTTGCTCTAGCGCTGGAGTGGGTGGTCCAGCCAGTACCTCCCTGGTAGCGGTACTGCATGACTTCCAAGGCTTGCATTGGAGGTGGGGGAAGGAGGGACCCCGGCTCTTGCTGGTGCTGCATCCCCTTTCGGCATGTTTCAACCGTGGACATTGAATCGCAGCTTGGGCCTCGTTTTCCTGGGGGTTTCTGGGCGGCGGTTGCCTTCTCCTTCTTTTCTTCTCCTTCCTTTTCATAATTCACTTGCCGTCACTTTTGTTTGTTTTCTTTGCTCGCTCTTTTATCCGTTGTAGCAACTGCTCGATTTTGAATTCCGTCATTCATTTGCTGTGTTTTCTTCGCTCCCTCCTCGGCGACTCGTCTTGGGCCTGCTCTCCTGCTATCAACACGTTGTGATGCTTTGGGAGACCCTGCTTCGCATCGTGCCATAACAGTGAGCTGAGCTTAATCGAGCCTTGCCGGACGAATTGAGCCTTACTCACTACTGCCCTCCTTGCCGCGATTCTTATACACATCGCCCTCATTCCTTGATGAATGCCCCGCCGTGAAGACAATAATCGGTGACTGTACCAAAATACCTTGAATTATAAAGAAGTAGACAGCATTGGCCACTCGTTTCCTTGCGTCGTTTCTTCACTTCTTCTCAGGTTGACCCTGGCCATTTTGGGGACTCGCCCTGTGGGCGCTTTTTCTTTTCTATTGTCCATAAGAGTGTCGCATCTTGCTCTCGACTTGGCAAGCTACTGATTTAAACGAGCGTTTCTTCTCAGCGCATTATTTGCTTTTTTTTTCTTATATACCGGACTATTCGACTGTTTCTTTTTTCGAATAATTACTTTCCATCACCCATTTAACCATATAGACTATACATCGATACGGAGACGATTGGCGAAACGAATCTCATTTGAAAGTTGCTACTCTATTGGGTAGATTGCCATATCGAGGAATATATACCCAGCGGCTTGCATTTTATACAGCGAACGATATTTGTGGGAATTCGGATCTGGACTCGAACTACTCCGATTGTTAATTGCACTGGGACGAAAGAAAAATTACGGAATATGGCTCGAACAACATCACAATCGACGACCCGCAGGGCGTTATGCTTGGGAGCGATGTTGATGACGGGAGTCATGGGCGATCAGATCCTGACGACGACTGGTTTTACCGACTGCGGAAGCTTGCCTTCCATCACGATTCAGCAACTCAGCATCACTTACGACAACGACGCCAAGACCGTCACATTCGACATTGAGGGAGTCAGCACTATTAGCGAGAATGTCACAGCGAGTCTCGACGTCACGGCTTACGGTGTCAACGCATTCACAAACAGCTTCAACCCCTGCGATCCAAAGACGTTCGTAAACGAATTGTGCCCATTGCCCAATGGACCTTTTACTGCTCGCGGAGTTCAGCAAGTCCCAGCCCAATATGCTTCCATGATTCCAGCAATTGCTTTCTCTGTCCCAGATATCTCTGCACAGGCAGTTATGAAGCTGGATAGGCAGTCTGACAAGGGCATGGTAGCCTGTATCTCCGCCGAGGTAACCAATGGAAAAACCATGAGCGTGCCAGCTGTTTCCTACGTGGCTGCGGGAATCGCCGGTGTATCTCTCGTTGCCAGCGGCATGACTGCAATTGGTTCGGCCATGTCTGGAGGCGCCGCAGGCTCTGGTGTTGGAGTCGCCAGCATTAGCCCTAGCTTCACAGACGTGGCTGGATGGTTCCAAGGCATGGCCATGAACGGTATGCTCTCAGTCAACTATCCCCCCGTCTACCGCAGCTTCGCAAAGAACTTTGCCTTCTCTGTCGGCCTCATTCCATGGAACGGTCTGTTGACCGGTATCGACAACTTCCGAGCCAACACTGGCGGTAACCTTACCGAAGACAGTGTCGCATACCTAAGAAATCTCACCAGAGCCCTTGAATCCGGCAACCAGACAAGCAGCTCAGATACGGGTGCTCTTGCAAGGCTCGTGCGCCGTGACGACGATGTTACCATCACGGGCCACGTCACTCAGACAATCTCAGGCATCAAGAAGTTTGCAGAGTCGTTGAGCGTGCCAAAATCAGACGTTTTCATGACTGCACTTCTTGTCGTTGCCATCATCATTGCTGCCATCGTCGCGGGTATCTTGCTAGTCAAAGTCATTCTCGAAGCCTGGTCTCTGTATGGTAAATTTCCTGAGTCTCTTATCGGATTCCGCAACCATTACTGGAGATCCATTGCTCGAACAATCACTTCTCTTATCCTGCTTCTATATGGAATCTGGGTACTGTACTGCGTCTTCCAATTCACCCTCGGTGACTCTTGGGCGGCCAAGGTGCTGGCTGCTCTTTCTCTTGCAATTTTCACTGGCATCCTCGCCTTCTTTGGATTCAAAATCTGGATTACGGCACACAGGCTTAAAGCTCAGCATGGCGATGCTAGTAAGCTCTATGAGGAGAAGGAAAACTGGATCAAGTATTCTATGTTTTATGAGGCCTATCAAAAGAGCTACTGGTGGCTTTTCATCCCCATGATTGCCTATACGTTTATCAAGGGTTGTATTGTTGCCGCGGGAGATGGCCATGGTATGGCTCAAACCATTGTCAGCTTCATTGTCGAGTTGGCAATGCTGGCCCTCTTGGTTTTCACACGCCCCTTTGAGCGCCGCTCCAGCACGATGATTAATATTTTCATTGCGGTAGTCCGTGTGCTATCTGTTATTTGCGTTTTTGTCTTTGTCGACGAATTCAATGTTGAGCAGACGACACAAACCGTCATGGGCGCCGTCATGATCGCTATTCAGTCTACATTGACTGTTGCGCTTGCACTCCTTGTTGGATGGAATGCTATTAATGCTACCATCAAGATGAACCCTCACCGCAAGCGCAGAAAGGATATGGGTAAGTCATTTTCTACTAGTACATACCTTGATTTGTTTACTGTACAGTTTTTTCTAACAAGTCGCTTGCAGAGAAATTGCGTGAAGAATCGGATGATCTGACGCCTCTCGATGCCCGCAATACTATGCTCATTCAATCAAAGGCTGACTTGGAGGCATCCATGTACCCTCCTATCCCATCTGAGCACGAAGAGAACTTGCCTCCTTACTCCAAGACGGGAGACCGATACTATGCCCCCAGCATCCCAGAGTCGACATACCACCCGGCACTGTCTTCGGGTACTACGCCAAGCCCCATGTATCGCGACTTGACCGGTTCTCGACCGCAAGGAGAATCAGGCCACGACTTTTCGAGAGACTACTTTGCTGTAGGTGGGGATAACAGTCGACCAAACTCTAGAGGCTCTACCAGGGGTCATAGCTCCGATGGACATGGAGTACAGCCTCACGAGTTTATAGGGTCCCAGAACTACTCTGGATACCGTTAAATGTAAAATTACGATAGCTCTCGTGAGCCTTCATGAGATCCCGGCCAGCCAAAAATCCTTATGTATCAAGAATCAGAGTGGCTGTGATGTAACGAGAGTTTATCTTTTCTTTGGTGGATTGTAGAGAGCCGCGACATTTTTTATGTATTTATAATTCATTCACTCGCTTTACTCCTTCGTTTGTGTCATCATTTCTATTAACAAAAAAGTTGTGGGCTGTTTGTGTATACCTTATTCGTGTTTGATTTGTTTTCCTTTTGTGTGTTATAGCTGCGTATAGTAGCCAAAAGTCCCAATATCCTAGAATAGAATTGCATATATGGTGGGTTAACATCAAGTACATGAGACTTGGATTAGATGAAATAGACTTGACATTTTTGAGAGTTAAATACCTGATCTAGATTGACTTGGACGATCGATCTTCTTCCGTCGTTGGATGACTACTCCACGCAATCGTTTTGAAATGGTCGTACCCTAGACTGCAAATGACTTTTTGTCTCTTGATTTACTTAGTATTTACGCGTCTTACTTGGCATTAGCGATTCCACCTTGGCAGGCATTTTTGAACAGGATATGATTCATGTGAGATTAATGCGATAATACAGCTGACTCTGCGCTCACTACACATAGGTATTCCAAGAAACAAAACAAATTACTCCGTGAGCATCCACGGCCATGACGGTGGTATGTATATAGACTACTAGTGATAAGGGAGATAAAAATAATATATATAATCGATGCATACCGTTGTACAATGTCACAACCCAAAAAGGACCAATGTCTATCTAGCAGCTTTAAAGAAAAGGGAGAAGGTATCGTCTTTCTTAAGGAAGAAAAGTTTACTACGAGGATAATGCAAGGCACGCATCAACAGCCAGTCCGACCCTATTAGAACACACTCCAGGTTAGCAAAAATCTTTCAAAGTGAAAAGTAGCAAAATGGAGAGTTTTCAACATACCTTCCCTCCTTCTGGTAGACCACATCGCTGATAATGTCCTTATCCAGATCAGGAAACATGCCTGCCAGCGTCTCTACAATATTTGCGTGCTCGGCACGATGTAGCCTCTGCGCCTCGGCCACCTCAGCACTCGCCTGCCTCGCTGCCGCTTCCTCTGCGGGAAGAGCGTATCTTGAGTCTGAACGCCGCCTGTCGTCTCCAGCGTTGTGCAAGGGCACGGATTCAGGGAAGCCCAAGGGACGGCCTATCGGTGGTGGTGGCGGTGGCCGGGACGATGATGATGAAGCGCCATCGTCTGAGAACATGCGACCAATTGTGGTGAGCGGATTCTGGATTGTTCGTAATAGCCCAGTAATAGGCGCTGTGATATTGTCTGATTCATTCTGGTCTGTTGAGCGGCGGGGAGCAGACGGCCCTGCGCCATCGTATGAAGACTCGGGGGGTACAGACTTTTCGTTGAATATCTGCTGCTGCTGCTGCTGCTCCTGGGGTCCCTTTGGAGACATGGCTTGGTGCTTCTCTGCAATTGCGGAGACGGCAGCCTCGACGTTTTTCTCAAACTCGTCGTCAGTTATTGTTAAAGAAGTACGATCCATGTTCTCAATGAACTGAATTGCACCCATCTATATTGAGTCAGTATGTCAGTATCTATCTATATTGGGAATATAAGGACGTGAATGAATGCACTTACAAGAGAAGACAGGTAGTATCCTGCCTCTCCACCAAGCTTCTCTTGGTTTCTGAATCGCAGGATATACTGCACGTTGGATACCAAGTGCTCCGGATTAGATTGAAGTACTACGTAGATAAGCATCGGCATGAAAGAATCAGCCGATGAATCTGACTTGCTGTGTTTCAACAGGCCTATTCAGTCAGCAAGCGTGTCAATTTAATAAAGCGCATGAAAAAGCCACCGGACTCACCAAATATGACCTTGCAGCAGTTCAAAACACAAATGATCTTGTCTCTGGGTGCTCTATATGATTTTATCTTTAACAGCTCTGGTGTAATTTGGTTAGCATGGCAAAGTTGTGCATCTCATCATTGCGCTGCCAGCGCTGGAATCTGAGAGCTAGAATAAAGAATGAAGCTCACCTTGCTGTGCCAGCTTGAGGAAACGCCTGCCACTGTCCTCGATTGGCGGAATATCCAGATGGTCTTCCTTCACCCACCCGTAAATGTTGATTTTCTGTGTCAAGACATCGTCCCTCTCCACATCTTCTTGGTGTTGGCCTCTCCGGCCAGGGCCCAGTGGCGGATCGCCTCCTCTCCTCCTCGGCTTTGCTCCAGGTATTGGCTTTGGAGGCGGAATGGCTGGGGAGAAAGTCTGGGTGTAGAGTCTATTCATGACGAGCTTTTCCATGCCTTCGCGGGCATTGTCAAACTCTGCATCTGAGACGTCTCGCCATACCTCAGACACCACCATCTTGTTGGCAATAAAGGCCAAGAAGTCGCTGATGATTTTGACCTGCTCGTGGACCATCCATTGGCGCTTCCCAAACTCGAAGAGGAATGACTTGAGATATCTTGCCACAGGGTCCGCTTTCTTATTCCGCAGCTGTTCCAAAAATCTGTGGAAGTCGAAAGGAAGGGTCGGTTCGGGCTCGGGCTCTGGAGGCGGCGGTCTGTGCATAGACATGGTGGGCGACGCCGGTGAGGCAACACTGATGGGTGGTGGCCGTGCGTCTTTCGTTCTTGGGGGTGTACCCATAGATCCGTCTTTAGGGGGCACAGGCGGTCCTTCGAAGTCGTTATCACCGGGCGATGAGATGTGCAGGGCATTGAGCCCCTGGAGCTGGCCAGCCAACCCGGGCGAAAGAGGCTCCAGGCTGGATTTTCGAGGCGGATGTTGCAGCGAGGTGCCCAGCATGGGCGATGCGATTTCCAGTCTTGGGCTCATGACCTCCTCGGCATCGGGACCGCCGCCGTCCTCGCTAAACTGCTCCATGATGCTCTGAATTTCGGACTGCGAGCCCTCCTGATCATCCTCGCTGGCGTAGGGCTTCTCATCTGATTCGGGGTTGGACCTGGTGGGAGATGTATCGTCGTCGGTTCGGGTTGTGACGGAGAGGGCTCGAGAAGGTGGGCGAGAGGCCATGGGCGTGGGCGGCGTCGGGTCGACATAGCTGGGGCGCTCTGGCGCGAGAAGCAAGCTGGTTGGGTAGTTGGGCCGCATAAGTGAGGATGGACTGGCATCCGCGGGCTTGATGGTCAGGACGGAGGATGAGATGGCGTCGTCAGGCGACTCGACTGCAGCTGCGGGCTCCTTGGGCGCGGTGGGTATCGTTTCGTGCTCGTGTGCTTCGTCTGTAGGAGCTTGGTCGAGCTCCGCATCTGCATTTGTCGGTCTGCCACTGACCCCCTCGTCGCCGGCCATGCTGGCTGTCGTCGCCGGTAGGGAGGCGCTTGGAGAGGTGTGCTGGTTTGGGAGCAGCTCGCTTGTGTCTGAGCTTGTAGCTGTAGCTGTAGCCGCGGTCGTATCGGTAGCTGTTGTAGCGATCGCAGCAGGGATTTTCACACCCGTGGCGTCTGTACGGATGCTGCTGTCTCCGTCCGCTGCGTGGGCGTCGCCGTCAGGATCGAGAGAGGATGTCGCTGCTGCCGCCGCCATGGACCGAGTCCCCGCGTTGTCGTCGACGTTGTGGCTTGCATGGACAGCGCCCGGATCAGGAGCCGCATGGGTCGCTGTCGTCGAGCTGGATATGCTTGTCGCATCAGGCACCAGCCCCGCCGAGGGGTCCTGGATGCATGTCACCTCGGAGGCATCTGCGCTTCTGCTGCTGGGCTGCTCGTCTCCAGGCGTGCCGGGAACTGCTGGCGGTGGCGACATGCACGTGGATCCAGCGTGAGGTGTGGGAGGAGAGGAAAAATAGAGAAAGGAGAAAGAAAAATGAGTGAGCGAGAGGTAGAAGAGAAGAGAGCAAGGCGAAAGGGAGGGAGGATGTGGGAGAGGGAGTTGCAGAAAGGAGCAAAAGGGAAGAGAGCTATGCTATGCTATGCTCTGCTATAATGCCCCCGGTAGACTGTTGGGGCACTAAGTTGCTGCTGTGGGCGTCAACCCGAGGCCAGGCTTTTAAAACACGGGGCAAGCTGACATTTGGTCTTTTGCCGTTGCATTCCAGATTATAGAATATTGTCCAAAGTCAAGGCCTTGCAAGTCACGCTCTTCAGTTGCTGCTGAGACTGCACAGGCCGTTGCGTCACCGCTGTCTCAAATCCGACCCCAGCAGTCTCAAGTTGCAGCGACGCACTCACTGGCATCTTGTCTCTGGGCCGCTGCGCCACTTCGCTTAACCAGTTGAGTGTAGATTTCCGGGGACCATCCAATGCCTAAATTTGCGTCTAAATATTGCAGTTCGGCTCTCGCAAAGCTGTCCCTAGCTGTTGTGATGTGATGTACTACGAGCTGCGCTTACAGATGCTATAACCACCTATAATCTCTGTACATTCTGGAAGCGCATCCTGTTTCACCGTCGTACACATAGCATAAATTGCTACAGCCTGGTGAATGAAATCGTCTGATATTGAACTTTGACGTCCCGAGCAGGCTAAGCGCTCATGACAGGCATCCAATAGAACGTTGTGGCTACCTAGGCGATCCAGCATCGGCATAGACTCATTCGCCGTCGTCATGGCAGTGTCATCAGCCGCAGCTCCGCATCTGGCACTGTATCTAAACAATATATATCTACTTGCATGTATTCAACAAATGAGAGCATCTCATCGTGTACCGCCAATCTCAATCAATACTGCTCTATGAATGAGACACAATAATATACGCTCATCTAATTGAGTTCCTTGACAATACAGCCATGTCTCATCCCACGCAAATTCCCTACCGCCAAATCCGCGCCTCCTATGATAGCCAACACATCATCGTCTATCAAGCTTACAAAACTTCCATTGCCGATGCTGCGGTCAAGGCTCAGAAACTCAATGCGTCCCCGGATTTCAGCCCTGAGCGCATGACCTGGATCAAACCAAGCTGGTGCTGGATGATGTACCGCTCCGGATACTCTCACAAGGACGCGGGCCAAAGCCGCATCCTCGCCCTCAAGATGAAAAAACAAGACTTTTTGGGCCTCTTGGAACAGGCAATCCTGTCTACCCATCCATCCCCGCATGCCCACGTAGACAAAGAAAGCACCAACAGGACAGTGGTCCACGAGAAACCTACGGACGTGAGAGTCCAGTGGGATCCGGAGAGGAACCCGAAGCTGGAGGCGCTGCCTTACAGGAGCATTCAGATTGGCATTCCTGCGACGCTGAGCACGAAATGGGCGGATGAGTGGATCGTTTCCATTGAGGACGTTACGGAGAGGGCCAAGGAGCTGAAAAAGGCCTTGGAGGAGCAGCCAGACATTTCGACGGATGAGTTGGTGAAAAGGGGGCTGGTGCCGGAAGAGAAGCCGTTGGATGTCCCGGAGGAGATTTTGTCGCGGTTGGAAATGACTGTTTTGGGGGTTGCTGACGAATTATAATACCTTTGCTTGTTTTTTCTTCTCCTTTTTTCTTTTCCTTTGAATAAAATTGGTTTGTAGCTCTTCGATATGGTATCCAAGTATTAATCTGCGTGTACGTCTAATGGAGCCCTGGACTTTATCTATATACATCAGGCAAAACTACTATCTCCTCGAATCCTTGCTCGACTCCTTCAGTTTCAAAATTACATTATAAAAAAGCCTCGAGTGCCGACTCTCCAGATCAAACTCGACTTGCAGCACCTCATGCAACAGCTTATGCTCCATCGCCCTGTTTTCTCTCGCCAGCACATCACCCAGCTCACCCGCCGCAACCTTGTCCTTTTTCTCAAATGCATACCATGGTACTGTATACAGCGAAGGCGTGCCAAAGGGATTTGGAGGATGAGGCTCCAAGCCTATTACGAGACATGTGCGCCAGCTGTTCCATCCACCGTTTTGCTTGATCTCGAGCTCCAAGAACCCGAGTACAATCGGCTGCGCAGGCTCGGTGGCACCCAGATCAGAAGTATGGTCAAAGTTTAGTACAAATGTCTCGCCTGCCTCATGTGGTGGTTCTTCAAATGCAGAGTTGCGTCGGTGAAGGCTACCTGTGACGGTATTTGCTAAAGTGCTTTTGGACACATAGAAGAACCATGCAGAATTATTCGAGAGCACATCAATCATAAACGGCTTATCGTGATATAAAGGCGCCACTTCAGGATGGAACAAGACGCCCCGGGGAGATCGCCGCGTGGATAGACTGTTCGGGACGAATATCTGTCGAGGCTGGGCCTCTGAAAGGCGGTCGTAGCCCAGACGATAGCGGTTGAGATCTTTGGCCAACTTCATGCGGTTCATCGATAGCATTAGCAAATGATCTGTTCGTACACGGACGAATTCTGTATCGTTGTGCCACTGCGTCTTTTGAAGGATAATGGCTGGTGTCAGCTCATGCGAGACCTCATCTCGGCCCATATCGCAGTCCAGCACCGCAATGAAGATGGTCCCGGATTCATCTCGAGGGTGAGGCGTCAGAGCCAGTTCTACGTCCAGGCCACGGCTTGAAACCGTGGCTACATAGTTTGAGCGTCGTGTGAGGTACCTAAGCAAGAGAGAAAAAAGAAACTATCAGCTCTGAATTAGATGCTATTTTCGGCGAGTGAATACGCAAATACCTTGCTCTTTTAATTACAAAGTCACCGCCTTGATGTCCAAATGCCGCAGGACTCTCTGCCAAGAGGCCCCAGAAATGCTGTCTCTTGGATAGTTCTTCAGGATATCTCCAGGCGTAAATGGAATCATCATTTGTGGACTTAATGATCTCTTCTTGTAGCCGCTTGAACGCTTTGACGCGGCCTTCTCCATATAGCAAAGGCATGTTAATGTCGAACAATCCGAGCAGGCAGTATGCCATGTCCTCTGGCCGGGTAGTTTGCCGACTGGCCGCCCAGCTCATCTTTTCTGCGACGGAAAAATCATCCAGGCTTTGGCGCTGACTACTCGTATTGAGCATCACAGCAGGGATGAGGGAAACTCTCGTGATGGCTTCTTGGAGAGAAGTTCGAGTCCCGATGAGCTGCCATTCTTGAGAGTAAAAGTGTACCTCGGGAGGAGCAATCAGCTCTTGCAAGGTCCAGCCTCTGCTAAACCAGCGGCATTGCGCAAACTGAGAACCGTCTTTTGTTGGATCATCCGCTGATGAGACGTCCTCCAGATATGCGATGCAGACCTCGGCCTTCTCATACCACTGAAACATGGAGTTGATGGCTTCAGACAGCTCAGCGCTGCTGGTCTTATCGATGCAGCATGTATCTATCCATATGTAGTCGAAGCCCAGACGAGCCGCTACTTCGCAGCTTCGGCGTATCTTCTCCCATCCCTCAGAGTCCGTCCTCTTATCCTTTGTAACAAAGCCCGCTAGCGTTACTTCTTGGCTGCCCCATGTATGAGACAATATGGCATACCGTACTTCCTCATTGGTAGCAAAGACCTCGAGGTCTTGAGATTTGGTATTTAGTAATCTCATTTGAGGAGAAATGACGGAAAGGAGGAACAACAAAGACTTTACAAGGAGACATCGTCTTGTTCATGGCCAGGACACGCGACGCCAGCATTTAGCCTCAGTGGGCCGTGCATAAGCTGAAGGAGCTGCATCCATGAACTAGGCTATTGATACGCTACCCAGATGGGTTCGTTTCATCGCCTCTTAGTATGCATATCATACTTGTGTTGACGACGGCTAAAATCTTGTTTCATGCTACATGTACTTTTCCTCATAACGGAGCTATATACTACTACTACTAACAGTAATTTGATTTAAACAACGTTCTTGTCGCTGTATCTGTCGTTCTGCACAACCTCAACCCAGTATCCATCGGGATCCAGCAGGAATGCGACATTGCGCATGCGGCCATCCGTCAGTCTCTTCTTCCAGTTGCACTTCAGGTCCTCAAATCGCTGGCAAGCAGCGTCCAAGTCGTCAACGGAAACGCCTATAGAATCAACGTTAGCTTATGAATTCCCAACAGCAACACGTCACAAGCAGGGGCGCTTACAGATGTGACCAAAGCCTTGAGGCTGGTCGTTGCCATTGTGGTAGGAAAAGTTTTCGTCCTTCTCGGTACCGTAGTTCCAGGTCAACTCCAGTAAGCCTTCACGGTCGCTGGTTCGGCCTTCTTGAGGAACGCCCTGGGTGCCAGGGTAGCCGAGGAAGTAGAGGTTGAAGCCCGCATCGGGAGACTCGTTGGTCCGGAAAAGAGACATGCCCAGAACTTCTTGGTAGAATTTGAGAGACTTCTGGGGATCCTTGACACGGATCATGGTGTGGTTCTAAAGATACAATGGGTCAGCGACTAAATTCGGGTAAATTTCAGATGACAGTCGCTTCTTACCATGCGGTAGGTGGTGACATCAGTTTCTTTGATGTTAGCGGTCTCTTCAATAGGCTTTTGGCCAATAATCTCAACCCAATATCCATCGGGGTCCAAGGCAAATGCAATGTGCTTCATGCGTCCATCGGTGAGCTTCTTCTGGAACTTGTACCCAGCATCCTCGATGCGCTGGCAGGCGGCCTGGAGGTTGTCGACGGAGATGCAAGTGTGACCGAATCCTCGGTGAGGATCCTTGTTTCCATTGTTGATGGTGTAGTTGGGGTCACTCTCAGTGCCATAGTTGTGAGTGAGTTCAATGACGCCCTCACGGTCAATGGCAGAGTTTCCAAACGAGACTGCACCCTTGTTGTTGTAGGCCATGAAGTAGAGATCGAACTTGGCTTCAGGGAACTCGAGCTTGCGGACCACACTCATTCCAAGGAACTCGTAAAACTTGACTGAAGTGGCAATAAGCATTTACTCAGTAACACTGCGACGTAATGTTATGCATGATGCAACGAAATAAGCATGCTTACCAGACTCCTTGGGGTCCTTGACTCGAATCCTTTTCATGCCTCCATTAGCAAGGAAATTGGACACCAGATAAAAATAAAATCATACAGACATACATCGAGTGGTTGAACTTGTAGGTATTGAGATCCGTTTTGGCAGCCATTGTAGCGAAACTGAACTGCTGTCTTATACGAAAAGAACTGTGCACGCTTTTTGCCCCTCGTAAATATTGATGGCGGGGTAGCTGGTGTAAGGCTCTGCAGAGAATGATGAAGACGAGAAAAAGCTCTCCTGATTGAAGGAGATGCTAGTCTTGTAGATGCTGGGGAAGCTCAAGGCCCTGCTCGTAATATAGCTCTGAAAAGAGAAGTCAAAAAGACAAAATACTCGCTGTGAGATTTGTTTTGTTTTTATATTGAGGCAGCTCGGCTAATCTTCATCCATTCTCCGACAACGTCAGAGCTCCAGTTCGCAGCTGCCCCTCAGCAGCCCCGCCTTAGTCATCCGATGCGAGAGGGGCATGGGAAGTTGATTACTCGACAAGTGCTCAGTGAAGCGGCTACGGAGCGAGGAGTTGAACCATCTCGCGCTTCAGAGACGGATTTGGGATATAAAAGAGATATGTTTGAGCGGAAAATTAGCAGAAGAGATGTGGCTTAGCGATTTGGTGACGTTTGGGAAAATTTGCTTGAAATATGGCCTTACATAATTGTTCCTAGTTGCGGTTAATACAACTCGCGAACGCTGATAAGCAATGCATACATCTTTCATCAACTTACAACAAGTTGTAATATATTAGAATGCCTGCGAGGCGACTGAGGATTCTCAGAGGATGATGGCGTTGGAGATATTGGCCAAGGCTGGAGAAGAGCCGCGGTCGTATAACATGAGGCTAGTGCGGCTGCTCGTAGAGGCGTGTTGGAATCAAGGTGACCTACAGGAGAAGGAGATGCTAGATTATCATACTGCTATCCGGATTCCTTCGTATGTCCCCCATTCAGCTAAATGTCATGGACGGATATCACACCCAAGTTCTCACATCTAAACCCCCCATAAACGATACATGAAGCTATGAAGTTATTGTACTAAAATACTAAAATTGCCTAGAATGTTTGACTCTTTAAGTGAATGTCTATGTTGGACTGGCTGGTAGAAAATAAATCTACACTATATATTGCGGTAATAGAGCTTCTGCCATTGTCTGACTCAGTAGTTGTGGCGTCTATCAGTTTGTTAGATGCTTAGGTAAACATCATTTGACTGTGTGAAATTCAGCACGTTATATGACACGGCTAACAACTTGTAGAGGATCAAACATGCCGTTACGGAATGGAAACAGTCTGCAAACATCGAAAATAAGCTACCTCTAGAGAGTAAGAATCTACCCTTGCCACGATTGTTAATATTGATTGCCACCTTTTCATCCCCATCAAAAGTACTGACTTCAATAATAAAATATGAATAGCAGACTAAAGCTACAGTAAAAGGCGAAATGGGTGCCGCACAAGATTTGAACGATTATTCTAAGGACTGTAGCCCTCGAGACATGAACTTTTCGTGGGATGTATATAAGTGAATAGTTCCTAGCAGAGCTAGAACTGGCTGCAGGGAAGTACCCATGATTATACTACATGCTGACGAGGTCTTGCAGGACAGGGCTATAGTAGTTTGTTGCAGATTTTGTTCAAGACTTATTTAATCTTATTATCTAATATGTTCATTCATTCAAAAGCTCACTCATCTAACTCTAAATGATTTATATTCCCAGGTCTGCATCATCGGTTCGACGTTATGCGTATAGCAGTTAATAGTCAATAACCCGGCCCGCTCCCACAATCCCGAACTGTCATGTATTTTTAAAATCATGACGGTCACCCCCCAGCCTGACCATCCGATACAGACACATTGCCATATATGACTATCATGAATATCTTGAGCAAATTGGGATTCAGACACAGAGCCGTAGGACAGTGCTAGGTCGGCTTTGTATTTTCCAAACCGCCATTGCTTATCCGAATCAACGTTGAAGTTAAAGGAAATGAGTTTCGAGGGAACCACTGCCGCGGTGAGTCTCATAACTGGAAAATCACAAGTCTCATCAATATTTGGCACAATCATCTCCAAGGTTGTGGGACTACCCATTTCGTTCTCGAAGGAAATAGCCTCAAAAAGTTTACTAGACCACAAGTTATGTTTACTCCAGGGCATTTGATATCGGATTTCACCCTCCCATCCGGCCCAAGACCAGGAAGGGAATTGTGATCGACGATGTGGACTCTGTGAGAGGTCCCAGCAACTGGTTGTATGGTGCCAAGCTAGTGAATATACGAAACCAAGCCCTCGTTCCGCTGGTAGTGTTAGGTATGGTAACCCCCAAATATTGTGGACTGCGTGCTTTCGGTACCAGAATTGTTGCGCAATACCTCGAAATGCGTCCAGGGAATCCTTGGCAAAAGTCAATTTCCGGGCGGAATACTCTTCCACATTCGATAGATATTGACTGAGATTCTCTCCCTTTCCCTGTTTTTGGAGAATAAACCTGCCGAATTGCGCTGCACGATTCCTGCCGAAAACTCCACCTCTCAGGTCCTCGTAGCTTTTACTTCTGTCTTTGATGTGCAAACTATCGAGTGGAATATCGAGGCTCTCGAAGATATTCATTGCGCTGCACTCAAAATAAACCTGATCTTCTGTGAAAACAAGGCGGCGGCGGCTGAGGAGTGCTTCCTGAAAAGTCCATCCACGAGTAGACCAATGCGATGATTTGATTGCTGCTTGGGGGTCCCCCGCTGCCCACACTACTGCGACTTCGCCAATGTGGGCCACCGTTTGTGTCCCTGGGCGATTTCTTCCTACTCCTGGTAGACCATAGTTCTCATCTTGACCTGCTGCAGCGATTATAGTCACTTCGGCGTTGCCGTATATAGCACCCATTTGCCCAATTTGCTGATGCACGACTGTTGGATTGTTTTGATCAATGCAGTATCGGTCTACCCATAGATACCGGAATCCCATTGCCTGAGTAACCGCCATAGCATCTCGGATAACCAATGAGAGTTGAGTAGGTAGTTGCTTCCCATTACATGTAGTTATCTCTCTCTGGGTCGTGGGCTGTCCCCAAACGTAGCTCAGAGCCACATACGGCATCCCGGGCCCATGCTCTACAATAGATTGCTCCTCGCAATCAATGAGGCGAGTGCCACACAATTCTGTCTTTTTAGAGCGGCAGAGTAGCCCATGGTTTTTGTTGCAATAGTCAAACCATTTTCTAAATGTGCCCAAATCAAACCTAGGAGGTATTACCTTTAGTGACAAAGGAACCGCCTGTTGCTGGTCGCACTGTTGGAGCGCTGCACACCCAGATACTTGAATCAAATTCATGATTTTCTTGTGATTCTTGTGCAGATCATAGTTTTTGTTGGAAAACAGCATCAGAACCGGAAAGTCCCATGAGTGCCAAAATTTAGACCCAAACTTGAGTAATTTAAAAAAGCGTAAAAAGGACACTGCTCTTATCCAGTCGACGTCGCCGTCAAGTGCGAGATCTTCTTCTTCGACACGAGATTTGAAGAGTATTCTGCATAGATTACAGTTCGTCGTTCTCGCCACTCGGTATCGATGGCCAACATCAACGGCCCAGGTGTTGAAGTATCCCCAACGACCAGGGGCGAATTTATCGCCACCGTCCTTTTCTTCGACTAGTAGAGCCTTTGCAAGATCCAGATTGGCGCAATCTTCACATAGAAGCTCGGGAGATGACGACTTCTTTGGCGCCGTTAGGGTATGTTCGGGTTCTGTAGAAACGCCTTCTCTTTTTCGCGAGATCGCTTCCAAGGATAATGCCCTGGAGGTTGGGTTCCATGGTAGAGTAACTCAAATTATATCTTCGGTATAATCAGGATTGAATCATTTGTGAGAAACGGAACATGTAGTTTATAAGGGGTGTCTCGTAAAAAGAGGTGGAGGAGGGAAAGACACCAAGACGCGTACTGAGGCGGTGAGCACTGTTTCAACAATGATAGAATGGGATATGCATGTACCTCTATCTACGGGTACACAGCCCTGTTGACAGCCTAACTCGCAGCCCAACTCACAGCCTTATTGAAAGCCTTATGAATAGGCAATGTAGGACTTTAGGCACTGGGTATCACGTGAATTCTCTTACATGTAGACACCGCCTCCGACGGGGTAATCATTTCATGCCAGTAGTTTTCGAAGAGGTAGGATTTCGACTTCAGAAACTTTCAGTATCTAAAATCATTATTCAGTATAATTTTCATAACAGATAGGATTGAGTCGAGCGAATTGGAGAAATGAATCAATTAATTTAGCCCAAACACAGCTGATGAAAATTATATAATAAAGCCTCTCATTCAATGTATTGAAGACAAAGTGTACATTTGAATGGTCATCATTTCTATTACGCACCATTCTCTTATCCCATTATTTTTGTAAAAAGAAAATTCACAACTGAATTAATAGTCCTCATAATCAAGTAATTAGTATTATTTTTCATCTCAGCAACTCCAATTTTTCTCACTCGCAGTCTCCGATAGCAGTGTCTATTTATCATCGTTGTCGACTCAACCTCAACCCTTCTTTAGGCAATTGTAAATCATCGAACGACACTCATCAAACCAAATATTTCTTTCTCGTATTCTACATGGTCTTCTCAGCTTCCTGTAACAGTTTGATAATGCCTCCCTGCCCATAGCGCTTCGCCAACATAAGTGGTGTTTGACCTTCAAAATCCTTCAAACTAATATCAGCACCATTCTCTAATAGCAGTTTAACAATATGCTCATAACCATCAGGAATAGCCAAAGAGAGAGCTATCCCACCAATGTCATTTTTGATATTAATGCCTGCTCCCCATTTCAGCAGCAAGACCACAATATTGTCATACCCGCAAGTTACCGCTAACATAAGCGGCGTTCTGCCAGCATTGTCTTGTACATTAACTTTGGCTCCAGACGCGAGCAACAACGTAGCAATACCTTCATGCCCATTCAATGTAGCCATATGTAGCGGCGTAAAGTCATTTGCGTCTTTTAAATTGACTTCAGGGCCGCTTTCAAGTAGAAACGTAACAACATCTTCCTGCTTTTGGAAAACAGCTAAAAATAGTGGCGTTCCACCATCTTCATCTTTTGTATCAGCCTTGGCTCCAAATTTAACCAATAACTTAACAATGTCTCGATGCCCATTTAAAATAGCCAGTGATAACGGCTTTCTACCACTGCTATCAATTGTTGCTTCGGCGTCGGTTCCATTTTTCAATAATAGCTCGGCAATATCATGATGTCCATTCGAAATAGCTAATGATAGCAATGATAGACCATAGTAGATTTCACCAGCCTGGGCTCCATTTTCGAGCAACAGCTTGACAATATCTCCATGTCCATTTAAAACGGCTAATGATAGTGGCGTTACGGTATAGTAATCCAAGGCTGCTTCATAAAGCCTGAGTTGCTGTTTTAAGCAGGATTGAACATAATCTTGATTTCCGTCCATTATGGCTGATAAAAATGGCGTTTCAGTAATTTTAGGGTCATTTGCATGAGCCTCGGCTTTATGTTCCAGTATCAACCTGAGAATGCTTTGGTCTGTAATAGAAGCGGCCAACGATAGAGGACTTTTACCAATGCTGCTATCCTTTTCGTCAATTTTGGCTCCATTTTCTAACAACAGCTTGACGATGTTCTTGTGTCTTTCCATAATGGCCAACGATAGCGGCATCTTGTGTTCTGACTCTGTTGGGTTAATCAGAGCACCCGCATCTATCAGCAGCTTGAAAACGTCTTCATATCCATTTTTAGCGGCTAAGCATATCGGAGTCTCACCAACGGCATTCACACAGTTGATATTGGCACCCCTAGCTAGCAACATCTTCACCGCTGTCTTCTTATACCTGTTGACTGCGTGATGCAACGCTGTCCAGTCATAGTCATCGCCCCAATTTACTTCAACGTTGTCTCGTGTTAGCAGCAGCCACATATCATCCTGTGATGTTGAGGTTGCTGTTTTTAACACCGCTTCTACACGATCAAAGTGCATCAAACTTTGCAACGTGTAGTCGTCGTAAATTTTGTATTGCGTACTATTGTCACGTTTCCGTTTCTTCAGATTGTTCGAATTCAGCAGAGGCGTCATTCTTCCTGTCTGGATACACATCTTTCTCATTGGATATTGTGAGAGCCTGTATTTTCTTCGATCAAAATGCTCGAGCTTTTCACTCATGACTCTTTCAAAAGTCTCCATTGTTCCAAACAAGTCTCTGGCATAGATGGCGACCGGTTTATCTTCGCCCTTTCTTCTGCAATGAAGAATTGCGAGACCTAATCTCTGAGGGCCTATTCCCATAAAACGAACTTTCAAATGGACTCCTCTGCTATTTATAGTTAAAGCAGTAGTAGAATCGTTGAATGGATTGGATTGAATAATATCTCCAGAGTCTTTGAAAGCTTCAGTGGAGGTAGCCAGCAATCCGCCACGAGAGTCAGAAGATTTCCACGCAAAGAGACTATCATCATGTGAGATCCTCATGATTTCCTCTTGTAGCCTTAAAAAAGCTTGTTCGCCTTCTCCATAGATCAGTGGCATATGAATGCCGAATATTCCCAATAAACAATAAGCACGATCTTCAAGTCGTTGCGTTCTTCTCTTGGAAGCCCATGACATTCTTTGTGCAATACTGGCTGTGTCAAGGTCATCATCGCCGCAGAGGATGCTTACAGGTATGCCAGTGCATTCGGATATGTTCTGTTGTTGGCTCTTTTTGGTTCCGATATCATGCCAGTTCTCATCTACAAAACAAATGTCTGTTGGGGCGAGCAACTCTTGCAGGGTCCAACCTCTTGTAAACCACTCGCTTTCCTTAAAAGTAGATTTCGAGGGCACGTCTGCAAGATAGGCATAGCATCTCTCAGCTTGGTGATACCAAAGGAACATGGAGTTAATCGCCTCTGACAGCTCAGCACTACTTGTCTTGTCTATGCAACAAGTATCAATCCAGACATATTCGAAGCCGTCTGCCCTGGCTTTAGAACAGCATTGTTGCACTTTCTTAAACCTTTCTTTCCTTTCATTCGCCTTCAGCCCTGCTTCCAGGTCCTGATAGGTGAGTTCATCTTTTCCCCACCTATGTGATAGGATAGCGTACGGCGGAATATCACCGTACTCGAATGTCTGAATCTCGATTGTATCAGTCTTTAGTAGACGCATGATTCTGAATATCCGTTGACCATATGAGGCCAAACCTAGGAAAGTATGAATAAATCCTGATTTTTCTTAGCTAGTCACAAAACAAACAATTAAAAAATATAAAGAAGTAAAACATCCAAATGAATGAGAAATGAAAAAAGCAGGATTGCGCGTGAGGGGTAAATGGAGGTGCAGATGCAGCCTGCAGGCAACGATGCCGGCTGCCTTCTTATTGGGGCTGCGGGTATCTTCACTGCATTCACACCAATCAAAGATTACCAAGTGTATAATATCAGCATTAAGTCAAGAATATATTTACATATAAAAGCTAAATTGATTGAGCGTATTCCTGCCGCTCGAGACGCATTACCCCGTTCATTTCCAGCAAAAGCCTTCAATACTCCGGCTTGCGGCCTACCATCAGATACATTGGCGTAAACAGCTTCTTCTTCCCTCCTTCAACAAGTGCGTCCGCTGCCTTTCCAAGACTCTGAGCAGTCTTCCTAGTACCAGACGGTGCAATCCCCAACAGCTCCAAAAGCGAAATAAAAGCATGCGACACCTCTCTGCCAAAGCGATTCATCCTCAAGACCGTAAAGACATCCGCCAGCGTCTGCGCATAACGAAGATCAGTGCCCAGAGGCCAGTACCACGGCGCAACGCTGGTCTCGTTGCTATAGTCCTCAGCGAGGTCGTAGTGGGTTTCGAGAGTGAAACCTGCGCCCTGAATGGCGGCGAGACCGTCTTCTACTTTGAGCATTTGAGCAATACCATCGCCCTGTTCGATATCGAGACGGATTTGGCGATGAGTTAAGTCGTCATTATTGAAGGCATCTGTCATGAACCATTCGTAGACGCCAAACACGCCACCAGGTTTTAGTACACGGAAAATTTCTCTGTATGCGCTTTCAAGGTTCGGCGCATGAACTGTAGCTTCGATTGCGTATACGGCATCGAACGAGTTATCGGGGAAAGGTAGGTTCTGTGAAATACGAAGCGTATTAGTTTTCCGTAGCTATTGTTTTGTCGGTATAGAAGTGGATGCACATACCATGAAATCACCCTGAACGAAATCAAGCTTGTGAGTAAGCTTTTCTTTGACTGCGTATTGCTTTGCTCGACTGATTTGGTAAGAATTGATGTTCAAACCGGTGACGTGGGCTCCGGTAAACTTGACGATTTCTCGTGCTGGTCCTCCAACACCGCAGCCAACATCCAGCACCCGCATGCCAGGCTTGATGCCAATGTTACTTGCTAGAAAGTGTTCATGTCGAGCCACAGCCTGATTAAATCTCTCCCCGTAGGCAAACCTGCAAAAGTGGAATGCCTCGCCCCAGCCATATTCGTAAAGATCGGTCGCCAAGTTGTAATACCTGTTTGATACAGTCCGAGTTAGCAACAATCGGTTTGCAAAGTAGCACGGAGACAGGGCTTCATACTGTCTAGTTAGGCTTGCATAATCAGTAACTCGAGCCTGTCGAACGGCTTCAGTCTCGTCTTCAGCTTTCTTATCATCCCAGTGCTGGAAGTATTCAACTACAGCTGCCTTGTGAGCATCATTGTCTTTGTTTATCATGGCACGAAGACCGCCTTGAGATGTTGACGAGCTCTTGTGCAAGATTTTATCAAACGCCATGTTTCTGGCTTGGTCAGCCGGAAGAAGTGCTTGAGTTTCGGCCATTGTTGTGGATAGATTCGGATTTAGGACACAAAGATGGACGAGCTGTGGGAGGAAGAATGGGAGGAACAGAATGACTTTGAATATGGAATCCGAAGATGACGGGGCTTGAAACAGAGAGGAATTCAGATTCTTATACTTGTAAACAGCTGACTTTCATATCTATCATCCAGACTTCATCAATCAACTACACGCAGCTGGACAGTGTTGCCGCCCTGTCGTATCACAAGCGCGCGCGTCCGAATACGAATGCGGCACCCGGTTATACGCGTATTGATATCTATACGCGGGGCATGGGTATTAATACGCGTATAGCTGGACACTATTGCCCAATCAAATCCTTCACTATCATTTAGCTTCGTATATTTCGGGCGTATATCTAATAATACGCGTAAATGTAATCTCGATGGTGCATATTGAGTTGTTTCGGCGGCCGCATTACAAATTTGAAAAAGGGATCATGCTCACGGAGAAGCTGCTGTATGGAGCAAGTAGAAGTTATCTCCGGGCTTATCCATAGATGGGCGACTCAGTTCACGTTGAAAAGCCTTGCATGAGTAAGTGTGTAGAGATGGCGTAATTTTACCTGGCGGAGAAGGCGAAACTTCATTTGTCTCCCTGGTTTAGCTGTATATTGACTCTGTGCTAGATATTAAGAAAAGGCTCTGCATTATCTCCTTTTTATTTCATTGAAGATGAGTAATCTCTATGAGACACTGTGTGGCCAATATACTCGCAAATATCGGTACCTCTCCTAACGTTGAAATATCCAAACAGCTTGTGTAATTGTCTAAAGAGTACGTGTAATTCAACTTCTCTTCCACAGCTGTACTAAATGAGGCGGATCTGCTAAATTCTCACGGGGAAAGTCCTTCCCGCGCATGTCTCTCCAAGGCTGACCGTCTTCTCAGCTTTGAAAGCAAACTCCTCCTTTTCTCTTCTTCGCACAATCTCCTTGCCAAAAACACTTATTTCACCCTGAACGGAATCTATATTATTAACTCCAGCATTTCCTTGTCCCACCTACCCTCCCTTTTTCCGTATCGCTCGACAGCAGCCATGGAGGATTTCGCCGCAACGCCCCTGTCCGAAATTTCTTCTTCAGACCTTATACATGCATTCGGCGCATCTTCGCAAAAGTGGGATAATGAACAAACATAGGTCGTTAGACGAGTTCCCCCTGCCCAGCCATGGTCCAGAATACACCCTTCCTCGCTGTTTGGAATTTTCGACTCTCTCCCTAACAGCACTGTGAAGCGAATCCTCAGCCTCCTCGACGTTCAATCTTTGACGCGAGTTGCACGAACATGCACTGCCGGAGCCAGGTTAATGCAGACTCTCCCAGCTTATGTCGACATGCTCAAGCACGCGCCCCGAATTCTTAGGGCCCTTGGCCAGACGAACCTCCTCAAACACCATTCGATCGCACTGCTGACACACGTTCTTCGAAACGACGGCCGTTGCTGTGCCTGTAAGAGGAGATTCGGTGGATACATGTTTCTTCCTACGGCTGACCGCGTCTGCCGCATTTGCGTCAAATCCGATCCATGCTTTCAGATGGTCCCCTATCCTATGCTGTTGCGATATGGGGTGCTCACTCATTCCCAACGTTATACGCTCCCTGTCATGCGTGTTCATCCGGCCTACTTTGTGGAAATGCTAGGTGAAGAGAGATTTGTCCCTCAATATCTCGTGAGCATCAAGGATGTAGGGCTACACAAGATGCTGCCGATTCGGCACAGACTTGATGCTGCTGCCCAAGAGCAGCTGTTCCGCGCCGAGAGGAGATACACTCGCGGCTTTGACACTACCATCAGATATCCCGTAAACAGTCATTTTCCTCTAAAGTACGTGGATAGCCCCGAGGCACTGCAGCATCAAGACTTTGATAGTGATCCGCAACAACTATATCGAGCCGAGGGGGACAACTATCCCGGCAGGGCGTACATAAAGTTCCCGAACGTGTCCAGCAAGGGAAATACCAACCGCACAGAACGCGGGATATTGTGCTTGGGATGTTGGCATGCCTACGAATTGCTCTGTGACCGTGCAAACCCGGACCGAGTCAGCGATCTGTGCCCTCCGTTTATGCTTATTCGTGACCAGCGCTTGATTAACCGAGATCAGCTGCTGCGGAAAGGCGAGTTTCGGGAACATGTCATTCACTGTCCTGGCATTCAGGGGCTTTTGGAAGAATGGCAGCAAGGGACTCAGAGATGGATGCCAGGTTCTCCGCAATAGCTGCGGTAGAGTAGAGGTGAATATTAGATGAAGCTATAGTTTGGAAAATGATATTTGGGAGAAAAGCGCTATGTTTTAAAACAGTACAGCGATAAATACAAGTTTTGAGCATTCCAAAAGCTTTTCCCATACAATATTTTTTTCTTTCTCGTAGTCACATGAATATATTCGTTAGTATCCAAAATCCTCCCAAACCACGTCTTCGCTCTCCAGCCAACCTCTCAATGAAGTTAAAAGTGATGCTCCCGTGCATAGATAGAATTTCTTTTCACCTCCCTTCATGTCTTCAAGATCCTGGGTGTTGATCCGTCGCTCCTGTACCGTTGCCCCGCGCTCGCTGATCTTCTCAAGCAGCTTCTTGGTTTCATCTGAAGCAAGGGATCCCGTTGCGAATATGGTGCTCCTCTCCGCCAATCCGGGGATCTTGTCGAATGTGTGAATCGCCAGGGGAAGATCCACGCCACGCAGTGTCCACAACAGCGTGAGCGGGACGGAGGCGTCGAGCACGGCTTTGGCCTGCGCGAGGAGGGGCGTGATGCCGACGCCACCAGCGACGAAGACGGGTTGCTTTCCTGCTGTGGATGCGGAAGTGGGCAGCTTGAAGGCATCTTTACCTTCGAAGCCCATGACGGAGATGTCTAATGGAGACACGGGGTTGTGGCGCCAGAGGAATTTCGTAACAGGGCCGTGGAGGCGGGCTGTGATTTGGAAGAGGTCCTTGCTGGAGAGGGAACCAGGAGGACTGGAGACGGTAAAGGTGCGGACGTAGTCGTCGTTGAGGGATTGGGGGTCGCGGTCGTTCATGTGGGCGTAGCCGGTGCTGAGCTCGGTTTCGAAGCCCATGGTGACGTGGTGGCCTGGTTGCCATTGGGGCAAGTTGCGGGGGCTTGTCGTTTCGAGCTTGAACGTGAAGACGGCGATTGTTGGCGTGAGAATCTCTCTCGACACGAGGGTGGCGTTGATGTCTGGACGGTCTGTGGATGCCAAGGCGGGTGCTCGTTCGGAGAGGAGATACCTGACGGGGGGGTTGTAAGGGGAGGGCTCGTTGGGAGTGCCGCGGAAAGGGAGGCTCGCTTTGACGAGGTGGGAGGCTGAGACGGTGATTCTGACGGCCATGTTGGAGCGTGGGAGGAGGGCGGCGGCGTCTTTGCCGAGAAGGATGGTCGTGTGGCCGGTGAGGTAGAGGGCGTTGGAGGTGTCGTAGTCGGGGATGACGATGCCGATGAGGGGGTTGACTTTGAGGTTTCCTAGGGATTGGTATAGTCTGTTTCCAGAATCTGAGGTGTGTTTTGTTAGTACGGTTGTATATATGATGAAGATATAAGTGATCAATGAGATACTCACATTCTGGATATACCAACTCTACGCCCCCTTCATCATTCTGCAATACTCGAATGAAACCTTTCGGTCCTCCTCTGTGATTGGTATCCATACTGTCTCCATCTGTACTCGACAAGAAGAACATGTCTGCTTTCTCAATCAAAGCAATTGCTTCTGGCGGGAGAGTCCCATCTGGACCTCCAGGCACCAATTCAGCCCGAGGCACAGTCGGTTCCAGTGCCTTTTTGTTGATATACTTGGGACAATTGCCCAGACTCTCCTGCACATGCATCGCCAACTGGACTTCACCGTCGGGACCTGGCATGTCTCCTCCGGCAATGAGACGACCAGCGAGTTTCACACGGTCACGGGTTTCGAGATCGATGGATAGGGCGGACATCATCTTGCCTCCCTCAGGCCTTATAATGCCTTCTTCACCAGGTTCGCTGCTCACTTTGCTGTCGGACGACTTCCAGAAAACATCATATACAGGATCATACTCCTTGTCCACAGCACTTCTGATGCCCAAAACGCCTTCGGCCACGGGTCTCGCAAAGCCCCTCTCACCACCCCAGATCGTCGTCCATGGCCTCCCTTCACTGTCCAGCGTTCCGAGCGCAAGAAGCTGCGAGTGCATCACCCGTACGGCATACGGCGTAGGGAATCCGCGTGAAGTCGGGTTTTCAAAGTGAGGGTTGCGGGCCTCGCGGTGCATGGCCCGCTCGCCCTCGTGCCAGCCGCCGGATATGAGGGACGGCATTGCGGCGTCGATGGGGATGGAGGCGTTGGTGGTGATGAAGCTGAGGGGGGTTGTCGGCAGGGACAGCAGCTGTGTGAGGTTATAGGAGATTTGGGAGAGGAGCATGCCTCGACATGGCAACGCTGCTGTATAAGTGAGATGTTTATGAGAAGGAAGAGGTTGAGATTGGATGAGGAGCTACAGAGCAAAGCGACTAGCAATTATAAAGCAATGCACCTTTTTAGAGAGAGACCAATCAATGATTAGATGGCACAAGCATTGGCGTGGCGTTCACTCAAATCAAAAAGCATGCCGCTGCGGCGTTGTCTGGAGATACTGACAAATCATTCGGCCGGTAAATGCACCTAGGTTTGTTCAAGTTACCCTATTCGGCGCCGCCATCGATGCTAGCGCTGACTATTCATCCAAGGTTAAGATGAATCTGGAGGAATGGAACCCCCGCATAGAGGGCTGAAGAATCCCGGCATTTGCATTCCATATGTGGAATCTTTTTGCGATTGTCGTATATCTACGTTTTTGTAATTGAAGAAACGAACAAGATGCTTTTCTCTTCTCTATTTATAATAAAATCTTTGATGATTATGGCGAGAGTATAATGCACTTGAGTCTACATCTCAATGCCTATCTCTCTCAGATCCAACCATGGTATGTTGGGTGTAGTATATGAATTTCACCCTCGGCAGCACCGACGTTGTCCGCCGTCTGCCTCAACCTTCCCTCGCCTGACGCCTTACGTTTATCGTAGATCATGATCAAAATAGTAGTGGTAATATGAGTTAAATAAATAAGGAGAAAGAGGTTTTAGTTCCGAACCTGCCGGGACACAAATTAGGAGGTAGGCTAGCTCTAATATCTACCACTGCTCTGCGCTTCAACATCATAGCTATAGGATGCTCCTGATTGAGCCTGGGGGTTATAGTAGTCCTGGGTATTTTGGCGCACCGGTGGTCTGGTGTTGGGCGGCAAGCGTTGTCCGGCGTAGGAATTGTCTGCTGGTGGAGAGCGATTGGGATTGGACATTGGCTCGGTCATTTGTCGCTGAGGGGAGAATCGCATTCCGCGCAGAGGTACTTGGTTTGACGCGCTTGTCGCGCTTCTCATAGGCCCCTGCGGTGCTCTAGAGTATGTTGACCCGGCGGCAGATGGCGCTGGGCTGGATCGACCCTCGTTGTTAAAGGTGTACGACCTTGGCGGCGGGCCTCGCCAGGATTGACTGTCGTCCTGCATTTGCTGGTTCCCGCCATAGCTGTCGGCGAATCGAGGCGGGATAGGCCTTGCCGTTGGCGCGTACAGCGGGGATGCTGCCGCCGAACCCATGCTAATGGGGCTCTCGGTGAACGGCTGCTGGCGATACGAGGAGTTTGACGTAGTCCTCATATGGTTCAGGTCCGGCCGAGCGCCACCACTGGTTCTGAATGAGTCTCCCGTTCCACTTCTTTGAAGATTTGGCATGGCAGGGAGCATGTCTTCTGGCGAGGCCGATCTTGGATTTGAGTACCCCATATCAGCCGCCGAACTGATCAACGGAGCTCGAGCTGAGTAGCTCGAGGCCGTGGTGGCTCCTGTCATGCTTCGCTGTGGCATCGGCCGCTTGAAGTCGTTGACAGGGGTACCCGGACTCGAGGTATAAGTCGGCAAAGGTGGCTGCGGCGCCGCGAAGCCGAGGTTTGGCAAAGTCGGCAGTGAGGCATCCGGATGTGCTTCGCCCTTTTCGCTCATGGCTGCCTTCATCCTGTCGACCTGGCCCTTGGCAAGCGCCTTGTTGACAGTCTTGGTGACAATCTTGAGCAGGGAGTTGTTGACCTTTCGCTCACAGTAGCCGGTGAGGCCGCCATCGTCACGAGGAATCCAGTGAAAGAGGAAAAAGACATAAAAGAGGGCAGCGGAAATCAAATACAGAGCCGAAAAGACCCAGATGACCAGAGTGAAGCACATGCCTCCAAGAATAGCAGCCTGTCGGAAGTCGTGTTGCGCGAGCGTCTTGATCTTGTCAAAGAAGGAGGAAATGGAGCCCTCGACCGAACTCTCAGAAACAGCGAGTTTTGCCATGTAGACAGATCGTAAGGTGAGTGCATTTACAACCTGACGGGGGCTGGTGCAAAAGATGACACGGATCCAGGCTATAAGCGACAGAAGATGGTCAGTAAGATGAGTTGAGGCAGCCAAGAAACCAATGACCTATACGATACGCACATTGAAAGCTAAAGTATGTAAATAGGGCGATATACTCAGCACCCTTTTTACTCTTTGTGAGTTCCGTAAAGACAAGAAACCGTCTAAATCCTTGCCCCGATCCAAGGCGAATAGACTCCCAGCGCACAGCAAGACTGTCCAGATAGACCTCAGCAACGTTGCCCCTCTTGATCTTTCGAGCGGCGCGGATCCATTCGAAGCCGAGATTGATAAAGGACAAGATGATGCAGCCTGAGAAGATCCATCTCGAGATGGAAATGGGAATGGCGGGCTCGATTTCGGACGACCATCGGTTGAAGACGAGAAGCTGGACGGCAGTGAAGGTATCGACTCCGTAGACGGCGAGTGAGATGATGAGGCCTATCCAGAGGGTGATGTAGGCAAAGATGGGGCCGCAGCCCTTGGCCTTGAAGTCGGAGAGGTTGATGTAGTCCCATTTCTGGTCGGTATATTGCCGGACCTCTTTGCTGCGGTGAGTGAGGCAGCCCATTGTGTCGGTACTTGTTTGATGTTGATACGATCAATCACCTCACGTGCTGCTGTGGAAGCCGAAACTTTTGAAGGCTAAAAGGGCAATAAGACGTATAAGAAAAAAGGGCGGGAAAAAAAAAGAGAGAGAATGAATTGAGATACAATCTCGAACAAGAAAAAAAAACCAAGCGAAAATTCAATTGTCTCGTAGAGAGCGTATTGTACGGTCCTGCCGATAGATAGCACTCGTCGTCCCTCGCCTGCGAAGTTGCGACGGCGCTGCCTCAGCAAAAGACAAAACAAAAAAGAAGGACGGAACCAGCGATGAAGATGCACGCTGCGAACCTGAAAACAGGAAAAAAGAAGAAAAGAAGAAAAGGGAAACAAACGACTGGCGTCTATTCAAGAAGAAAACCAAAAGCGCCAACAGACTGGCATGAGTGGGCAATTGCTGCCGCTAAGAAAAGAAGCGCGAGCCCTTGATCTTAGACACGGCGGCGAATTGGGAAAAGAGGCGCTGAGAGAATGAGACAGACCAGCGCCAAAGAGTTTTCCCCCCATGCAGGAGCCCGTCAAAAGGGCGAATTGGGATCGGCCAGCGAAAGCAGTGCGGCTAAACAGAGAAGAAGCGGAATGGAGAGGAGGAGGGAAAAAAAGAGAGGAAAACGAGTGACTGGTTGGCTGGGCTAAAAGCAGAGAGCCGTTGAGAGGGCCGGAAGGGTGGGCTTGGCGTCGCAGAATGAGCCCCTTGAGCGTGTGTCAAGATGGCTGGGGGTGTGTTTTGGGTGTTGGAGAGTCGCTATGAGTATGAGGTGGCCGAAAGAAGCAGAAGAGCCGTTGATGGGCTTGAATGTCGGACAGCAGCGCTTAAAAGAGTGGAAGCTGCTGGGTTGGTGGCAGCAGCAGCAGCAGCAGCAGCATTGTTGTTGCTGAAGTGAGGTGAGAGTGAAGATATGAAGGAGGCAGATGCTATTTACTATGTGCCAACTAATACCATCAGTGGGTAGCATTGATATTTAGTAGTACCACCACTGCTACTATGCTGTTCATGGCATTGCCATCTCATCTAGATGGAGCAGACGGGTGAAATGAGATGAAAATGCCTGGCGCTAGGCAGTACATTGTCTGTACATTATGCTATAAAGACGTGAGAGATAAGATGAGGCCGTCCCCGATTAGTGCCATCACCACACTATTGGACATGGAGTCGCCATGCAGGTACTCTGCGCTGCAGCACTGGCGCCGCGTCTGCACAAGTCACTCCCACGCACGCTCCCCTGCCAGCGGTCGGTCGCTCGCTCGCTTAATGCTATTCCCGGCAAACACTCTTGACTCTGAGTCTCGCTGCCGCAATCTCTCAGGGCCTCGCACTGCACTTCACAGGCCTCCTCCTCCCGAGCTTAGCGCCCCCCCGAGCGCGGGCATCTTGAAACCGCCCCTGCAGGGCCCTCCTCCGCGCCGCCTGAGTGGCCGCTGTGCAGCCGATCGCCTCAGCACTACCAGGGGACGCTCAGGCACCTGTGGCCTGTGATTGGCGCGCGGCTTTGGGGGGGCACCCCTGCTGCTTTTGAAGCTGCTGGGCTCGGCCGGTCTGGGGAGGGGATGCGTTGGGCGGCGATCTTTGGCTGCTTCCGGTTTCACATTGATCCAACAGAGCAGCGTCTTGCTTGTCCTTTTCCCGCCGGGATGCTGCTTGTGGAGTTGGAATATGATGGATCGTCTGGACTTGGCGCGCTGAACAAAAGAAGGAGAAAAGAAGAAAACGAGTGGCTATCAAGTACATGTAATTTCATACCAAATAATGTAATAATAGTAGCTCTGTGGTGGGTTGAAGATACAGCGATAATAGCGCAGCACAGATTGGCTGTAATTTACGGAGCGCGCTAAATTACCAGCATCAAGCCAAAAGCTCATGGCCAGGTCCCCGTCCGTCCAAAATCCCTCTCTCGCATATCGAGGCATACACGTACAGCCCTTTTGAGCCCTGCACCGTTGCTGTGAAACGCGCCATGCCCACAGTGACATCAGCCCCGTTCCGACGGCTCGTTTTGTTGAAACATCCATTCGATCTTAGTGCATACGCCTGTAAGCAAGCCAAGCATCCCCTCTCTGATAGTATCAATGTGACTGTATACTGCTCTCTCATGCTGGTCCATGCTAGGATTCTCATACTATGTAGCTGCTGTGATGCCATTTTCCGCTCGAGACGACCCATGCCATCTTATACGCACAGACCAAGCGCGGGATGCATCGCGGGACGATGCCTCGTGGAGTTTTAATTTCCATGCGATTCCGTGCTTGGCGTGAATGTGATTGCAACTTTAGACGGCCCAGACTTGCAAGCTCTCTCGCAATTCACAAGTGCGTCAAGGAATTAATGAAAAAATAAATCATCTGTCTACTCATTATTCTGTATGCGAAACATGTCTTTTTTTTATCCCCCCGCTCTATTCTGCTGAAATCTAATACGAAAACAGTGACACGAGAAGCCCAAAATGCATGTATAAGTCAACCTCGCCCAGCAATCTTGGCACAACTTCCCAACTAAACGGAGCCTAAAACAATTATGGCGTCCATGATCAGATATCGGTAGGAAAATCGTTTATGTCCAAGCCACTCCAAGCTCCCCTTAGATTTTCCAGAGTCACTGTACAAGGATCACGGTCAATCATAGACATAGAAGTGTCCGTTTCTGAAGAGGAGTCAGTCTCATCACAGTCAGTCATAGAAGTGTCCGTTTTTGAAGAGAAACCAGTCGCATCACAACGGACATCAAACTTCAGATCGTGCTGGCCTATAATTTCTTTAAGAGCCCTGTAGACGTTCAAGATGCCGTATCCGTAGAACGGTTCTTTTGGAGGCCAGCCGTGGAAAGTAAAGCCTAAGCTTTCCTCGAGATCTTCACCAGCCTCTTGATTATGTGTGAATTGCGGATCACAATCCAAGAGCTTCTGGACTTTACCATGGGCGAAATTCACCATTTCAGCAATGTAGTGTTTTCTCTTCAGCTCAATCGCAACTAAGACTGCAGTTAGCTATCAGATACTAACGACGGCACTGGCAGTCGGGCGCACAGATAATTTCGTTACATATAGGTTAGATAGGTACTTACTAATGAGAGACTCTGGGATTGGCATACCCAAGGTATGCATACGGCCTCTGGTCTGTATTATAATGGCTTTGGAAGACTCCCTGAAATTGGCCTCATCTCGAAACACCCAAGACGAAAAGAGCCAGAATAAAAGGTTCTCGTTGTAGGGATAACGCCCAGTCACTACCGGAAAGCGTAACTGGAACAAATTGTGGCATTGGTACTCATCAACAACGACAGCTAGCTGAGCACAGAGCTTGGGATTGCTTTGTAGTTCATAAAGGCCAGCATCCTCACCATGGCTCCTAAGTATTAGTTTATGCAATGCCTGTGCGCTCCATCCTTCGGCTCTAATGGTATATTTGTAGCCCTGTTCGAACAGCTCGTCCTCCTTCCGGTTTTCGGCTGCAAGGATTTGAAAAGTCATAGATGCGCTCTTAAGCTTCCTTAAAGAAACCCGCCATGACACTTCTTTTCCTGGATTCTTTGGTGGTGGATGGTTGACGCTGGCTTCTCGAAGATGATGCTCCCTTTTGTCATCTAGCAAACGACTCTTATAGACGTTGAAGTCGTCATACAGTGGCAAATGATTGTCCCACAAGTCATCATCGTCCACTGCTTCGAACGGTCGATTGGGGTCATAGAGTATGAGCAGCGTGTCTCCATTGCCATCCACTGTGTAAGTTGGCTCCATGGTGATGGTAATTTTAGACAACAACAGAAAAATGCTGGCTGTAGGGCACGGAGGATTGGGAAAAGAGCCTGCAAGAAATTATTCATTATAGGATATTAGCTATTGAGTATGTAGATACAAACTGAGAGCCAAACGATGATTTATATTTCATCTTTAGTTGGCATCCAATGTTTGAGTACTTTTGCCCTGTACTGTACATTTTGAGTGATGAAGATGCTACGAAAGGAGTTGTGTGAGTGCCGTTCAAATGACTGTAGCAGAAGCGCAAGATGTTCAGATGCTTGAATAATATTTAAAAGAGCTGTATTTTTTTCCCCTCCTCTTCTCATCTACTTATTCTTCTTTCAAGGCGTATTAGTAGTTTGGTTGTGCTGAAGACGTTGCTCAAACAAAGAACTGGCTTGCTCAATGAAACGCAATGTAAACAAAACAAACAGCACAAGCAAGCCTTTGTTAGCAAGAGGCAAAGAGCATAAAATGTAGGTGATGAAATCTAGTCATTTAACAGATTCAGAGGCTCCAATTCTGTTTAAAACCACCATCTAAGCAAATGACATTCGCCCTGTTCTGTCTTTATCCATCATCTTGTGTTTACCTTGTGTGCTTCTCTGAACTTGACCACCACCAAAATGGCATCCGAAAATAAATTCACCACATCTGAATTTGAACTTCTCAACGAAACAGGTCAAGGCACCTTGTTCGCCATCAAGAAAGACGGCGATCCTGGCGTAAAATACATTGCTCAGCCCCACGGCATTCTGAATGGATCCAATGTTGAAGGCGCCGACAAGCAGAAGATTGTTGACGAAACGGTGGCATTTTACAACCTCATGTACGACTTGCAAGTCGGCTCTACTATCGCTCAAATCTTCAACCACGAAAACATCGTCTCCATCGCTGGCTACATAACAACACATCCCGTGACGGCAGCTTCAGAGCGCGCCCATCTCGAGGAGTACATCGTATGGGACTATTGCGACGCCTCAAATCTCAGTGCGCTTTTCCAAAGCAAGCCCTATTCGTCCACCAAATTTTATCTGCCCGAGTCACTCTGCTGGCATGTCTTGACGTCGCTGCTCAGCGCCATCACGTACCTCCATGACGGAAAGCGGCTCTTTCTAGACACAAAGGCAGCGGCGGGAGAAGAAAAGAGGTGGGAGTCGGTGGATCAAGACTGGCACCCGATCCTGCACCGGGCGATTGAACCAAGAAACATCTTCTTCCAGCATCCTCGTGGCATCGAGACGTACGGGCTGTGTAAGCTGGGCAACTTTGAGCATGCGGTGGTGACGAACCATGTGATTACGCCCAATGGAGGATATGCCACGGGGCAGGACGTTGAAATCAGCAGAGCGATGGCCCCGTATCGTGGACTTGAGACGTTGGATATGACGCGCCATCAGTTGCTTGAAAGCACTGAAACGTATACAGCGGTAAGTTAAGAGATGGCCATTGTTTGACTTATAATGTTTCTCTACGCTTCTGGATGAGATGGCACGATGGGAGCTGACCATGGCACAGGAGAACCGCCCTTATACCGTCGCCGATGAACTCTTTTCTATTGGGTCCGTCATATTCACCATGATGACCGGGCGGAAACCAGTCACGTCCTACGAGAACTACCGCCGGTGTCACATCACGTCGTCTTCTCCTCAAGACAGCGAGCAAACATCTTGCGACCAACAAAACACTACACAATTGGAACTCCATCCACAGCCACGTCACCCCAGCTGCCACGAGCCAGCCATCAACACCGACAGTTATCTGGTCAGGGCGCAATATTCGGAACAACTGCGAGACATGGTGCGATGCCTGCTTGAGTGCGACCAAGGCAGCCACAAGGCGCAGATGGACAGAGTTCTGCCGACAACCATGCTCGCAATGCAGCGCTATCAGCACTGGAAGCTTCATAGCGTGCAAGGGAAGCTGTACAAGGACATTGAGGACGACATGGCAGCGAGATGCGGCGCCAAGATGCGGATGGAGAGGTAAAATGGGGCCTTGGTTCCTCGGTCCATGTCTGTGGAGCGTCTGCCTCTGGATCTAATAAAACGGGCATCATTTAGCTTGCATGCCGCTAAAGAAAGATGGTGCGTCGAGGGATATTCGCGCATTCGTTTGCTCAGAGTGCGGTGCGGTTAGTTGCTCGTATGCGATGATCTGGAATAATAGACTGTGGTTGATTAATTATCGTATCGCGAGTGGGAATGGCTTGGCTTGGTTTGGCTACATACGTAGAGTTTCAGCACTGCCTTCTATAAGATTCAAATAGACACAAAAGCTTCGCAGTCTGGCTTGAGCCCCCTCGTGTTCAACTATAGACTCAACTCAGCTCTCCTCCTGAGGCAGTGTCTCAACATCCATGATGTAAGAAAACATCCAGTCACTGTGAGTCTCAGAACAAACAAACATTACCAGCTACAGGGTGTTTCAACTTCACAGTATACATGTACCTACATACAGCTTCAATAACCAGATAGATGCACGCATCCAAATCCTCTGTTCCGTTTAATTTACGTACATGCCCCCCAGGCCATGCACGGATGCGCTTTAGCTCGCCAGCCGCGGGGATTTAGCGAACCCTGCCTCCGCGCAACCGCTAGAACTAATCCAGAAGCCCGCTAAACTCTCAGCAGCTCAGCTACCCGCTGCTGCTAGCAGTCACCCATCCATACAGTATTCCTTTTGCTGCTATCCGCTCCTCCAACCTTCAAAAGTCTCGTGTGTCTCACCGCGAGTAAGCTGCTAATCTCGGAACAGCGCCTCTCTGTTACACGGCATCTCTCGTGTGAGGCAAGGACTAAAAAAGCGAAAAGAGGCGCCTCCGACTCTCGTCTGACTGGCCGGTTCCTTTCCAGGAGAGCGAGCAAACAGTTTGGCTCGTGACGCGGGTGCCGTCCAGCCTCTTTTGTCGCTTCGTCGTTTCCATCCTCGGCTTCTCGCTTCTTCTTCTTCTTCTTCTAGTTCTTTCTCTCCTCGTCTCTCGCAGGTCGACTTTCGCCCTCCCTGCTTAGCTATCCGAAACACCGCCTCGCAAATCTAGAACCACAAACCAGACAAACAAGAAGAAGAAGAACAGCAGGAATTCCAGCACTTCCGCGGCTCAACCAACCATGGCGGCTCCCAGCGCCACGCCTCCTCTCCTCCTCACCAAGCGTCTCAACGCCTTCCTCCACTCCCACCAAAGCGCCCATCTGCCGACTCTCCTCCTCACCACCGCCCAAGGAAAGCTCCTCGCCCACGCCTCCTCCCAGCCCGTCACAGTGCTGCGAACCCACGCCACCGTCGCGGCCTCCCTCCTCGCCATCCACACATCCTCCTCCGCCTCCATCCCAACAGCTCTTCCCGGATCGCGCACGCCCGATCCGATAATCAGCTCGCCCGGAAGCCCCCACGGAAGCGATCTCGACCACGACGCCGACCACAGCAGCCAGGAAGACGCGGCCGACCCGTCCGACCCGACGCGGTCGAGGCAGAGACCCAGACGCACCATCCGACCCGTCACTATCACCGTCCAGCTGAGCGAGGGCACAGTCATCATCCGGCGCCTCAAGTGCGGACTGCTCTTTGTGTGTGTTGGCCCTGCGGCATATAACCTGCAGGATCAGCTGCACCACTCATCGCACTCGCATCACGAAAACGGCGATGGAGTCGGCAGCCCGAGCGAGGTGGAAAGCTTGATCAGCGCGGGTGGCCTGACGACGTCGAGCTTGGAGAGCGCGAGTGCTGCGCCTGTCGTGGCGATGAGGAAACACGCCTCAGAGCTGGCGCGGTGGCTGGACGAGAAGCTTGGAACGTTAAGAGTCCCTGAGGAGGGCATTGGTGTCATGCATCTACATGCACCGGCGCACGTGTAAGGGGCAAAGTCGAGGACAAGATTGGTGAGATGCCAAGGGAGAAGAGGGAAAATGGATTAGTTAAGTAACTTATATAGGCGTTTGGTTTTTTTGTGTTCGGCTTTTTCTTTTGGTACATTTTGCATCCGTCATTCAGGGGGTAAAAGATAGCAACAGGGAGAAACTTTTATTTTTAAGTCTTGTAATACTCGCGGCGTTCAGGATTATATATCGAGATGAACAGCAACGAAAATAAAGTCATTCAACTACTATTAATATTATTCTTTCTGGGGCCTATCAGAGTTGATGTAATTTCATATCAGGGCCAGTCACTATTAGACGATTGGGTTCATGATATGTACATATGTGTGTGCCACCCCCTTTGTCACAAAAAATGAGTTTATTACAACGCAGATTGCGTCCCATGCTTCCTTTGTCCTCCTCTGCCGGTTTGCCCCAGCGAAATCATAAACGCCGTCCCAATGCAGTAAATGCAGGCCATCCACCCCTTTCCAGTATTTCTACACAGTGCCGCTCCCCATGTTTAATGTCACAAAATATACTTGACAGTCATCAAAATACTCCCGCTTGAGGCTTCACTCAATGCTCATTCGCATAATACCATCATTCGTATCCGTCATTCCCTGAAGGCCGACCCTTCCCTTCCTTACCTGGCCTGTTGAGCCTACAGGAGGATTCGCGGGTGTTCCGCCCATGCTTCCTGATTCACTCTGCCCGCTGCTACCTCTGTCGCCGCCGGTGCTACCGGGTCGTGAGCCCCAGGGCATTACATCGCGTTGCATGGGGCTTTGTACTATAGGTGAGTTGTGTGCACTTATGCTGGGGCTGACGGCGCGACGCTTGAAGCTAGTTGGATCAAAGTCATCGTCTCGACGACGTTTATTGTTGATTCGCCTTGTAATCTCCGCAGCACTTGGCAATTGGCCATTCTATAATCATACATGGATTAGAGCAGCTCAAACGCATATTGGGGTATATATCACATATATACTTACGTGGAAGCCACCAGAGTTTAGGGAAGGCGAGTCCATATTATTGTCTTCACTCATCCCTGACGAGGAGCCGCGAGGCAAGAAAGTTGACCCAGGAGGCGGCGTTCTTGCTCCGCTCGATTCGGAAAATGTATCCCAAAATTGCTTGCCTTTTGAGTTTTTCATAGCCTGCTGCTTGAAGCTGCTTCCCAGGCCTGCGCTCAAATCGCCCATTGGGTCATCTGCTATAATATCTTCCAGCGCTTCTTGATTGCCGGTGAGATTGGGTGATGATTGAGTTGTTGTCATGGCGCTGTGATCAGCACCTGCAGGTTGGTGGCGAGGCTCGAAATCAACATCGCTTTCACGGACTTGTTTGACGATTTCAGCTTCTCGCATGAATTCCGACTCAGCTGGTGAGCCCTCTTCTGCTAGAGCGGCCCTGATGCGTGCAAATGCTTTTGCTTTGGGCTAAGGGCAAGTTAGCTACGTGGCCGTTTAAGATGAAGAATCCTAGTCTGATTCTCAGGTCAAGCCTTACCAAAAGATTCCCCCGCCGTGTAACAACCCGCCGTATCACACTCTTCTGATCACTACTGCTGCCTTCTGCAGGCCCACCTTCATCGATGTCTCTCGACGAGATGTGGAGTTGATTTGCTTGCCAGCTGATACTTTCTCTCCTAGCTCGAGCTGCAGCTGAGTTATTAGGTGGTGACTTTGAGAGAACAGCCGAAGCAAGGTTAAATCCTAGGCCGAGAGGGCCGTGTGGCTTCTTTTTTGGGTGCTTGCGATGTCGCTGTCGGTGCTGGAAGCTCGCTAGGCTGCCCATGGATGGTGAACCAAAAGCACCGATGCCAGAGCCCTGTCCTATAGGCATGCCCATCTTGGATACTTGAGGCGTAGTGACGTAGGGTTCATCCATTTCTTCATCCATATCTTCGTCTTCTGAAGAGGAGCTGGATGAGTCTGATGGGACAAGATGGTTACTTCCAAGTGAAGTGCTGATGTTGTGTCGCTCCTGGTCGCCCATCATAGACCACAGAGACGTTGATGTCTGCTCTGCCCCTCCATAGGGACCCCTTCGTGCTGGAATGTTCATACCCCGCTCCCCTATGACAGGTGACGAGTCTGGAGAAGGCTGCTCAGCCAGGATCGAGTGGTGGAGGCTGGTCGCGGCACGCGAGAAGTCGAGGCCGCGGGAGCGGCGGGGTAGGAGGCTAGTGGGAGAGGCGTAGGTGTGCGAGTGGTCCATCTTGGGCGATGACGGGGCTGGCCGTATGTAGGCGCCGGATGGAGTGCCGGGAGGAGGCGAGACCTGCCGAGCCGGCATCTGTATCGACAGGCGTCGCGGCGTGACGGGTGGCTGCAGTCGATCGAGGCTGCTGTCGTCCTTGGAGGTCCTCCTTGACGCATCAGCGACATGTGGGCTTGGCGAGAGCTTCGCCGGCGTGCCGGTGCTGTCAGACAGCGAGCGGGTCTTGAATGTCATTGGCGATCGCAGTTGGGCAGCAGTGGACGCAGCATCTCCGCTCTCTTGGCTGCGTCCTTGGCTGTCCTCGCTGTCCATTATCACGGCATCGCTAAAGGGCATGCCGGCCAGGCCTCTGGGCCTCTCCATGATGGCCTCTTCGTGGGGGAAGTGTGGTGATGGTGGACTTGCGCCGAGCACCAGCAACTGGGTATGACGATTGTCTCACTCTGGCCTGGGAAACGAGATACTTCTTGGTCGCCGATCCCGCCGTGTGAGATTCGTTCGTCATTAACAGATTTTGGTTTGCGAGTCGTAATGCGCAGAGGGGACTGCAGAATGATTCGACTCGTCCAGATGCGACTGTCGGAACAGCGACAAAATACGATCAGCGAGTCACGGCATCGAAGGCCAGCTTGTCGCGAAGAGGGAAGAGGAAACCGAGAGACGAGGGGAGCGCGCGACAGCCAATCAATGCAAGACGGCGGAAACGATGGGCTTTTGATATGCGAATTTAGAGCAGATCTATGCGATGCAGGATCAAGAATACAGATTAGCAGTCTGTTGTTAACAGTAATAAGCGATGGCGACGTGTGTCAAGAGGTCGAATCAGCAGCTGAAGCGCACTTTGTGGTGTGTGCTGGGCGCGAATTGGACGACAAGCTTCAGCTCTTAAACTGGAGGGGCCCACTGCCGCGTCTAAAAAATGCCCCGCCGCATGGATAATCGGGGCGCTAGGGCGGTTGGGGCTTAGTGGCGGGATTAAAAAAGGGCCTGATGACGTGAGGTTTTGGGCGTAATAAAGGGAAAAGGTGAAGATGGACTGATAATTGAATTGTTATGATGAGAAAGATCAAATCAGCAAGGGATGAATTGTATCTGTCTAGTCGCAATTTTGGAAAATTATTTTATATACCCACGATTGCTGGCAAGACATAATACCGTTGCCGAAATGCGGGCCAATTGGAGGCGAATGGAAAAGCTCGCTTTGCTGTGTCCACTTACATATTGGCATGAGATACTGGTGCACAAGATCTCCAAATATGACAAAGTTCAAGACAGAGTTGATACAAACAAATAATATTTAAGAAAAACTATGCCATATTCTAAGTTGGATAGAATGTTATAACAAAGAAAGCACATGTATATACATATATATTGCTGTCTTACAGCCTCCACTGTATGTTAGCCAGCTTGCAAGTCCCTAGAGAGCATACTCTATCCCAAACTTTCAAACCTCCGCAACTTGGCTTCAAGCGCTATATGAATTCTCTGCAAATCGAATTAACGGCTGATAAGAAATCTTAGAACCTAACATCTCTCCACCTGGTGTCAACAACTCAACGGCCCACGCCCAGGCAGGCTTGTAAACCTTTGGTGCGCGTTCACGCAAGCTGTCACAACTCTGGGGTCGCTGCCGTCGCATTCGTCGTCATTGTTGAATTTCTCTCTACAGGTATCGAGCTTTTGTAAAGACCAATTCGCAAGATCGTCGCCCGCACGTTTGTATTTGAGGGCTGGTTGCTTGATACATGTATGTCCTCAGATGCCAATGGTCCTACAGCCCTATAGCCACAGGGGCAAGGATGTAATAACGGTAGGCTCTCTCATTTGTGATGTTTCTCATTCATTGTTCACCGAACGTCTGGTTTGCGGCAAGGCATGAAGAGAAGAGATATTGATCAAATCATATAGAATGCACACAGCGGCATGACAAACAGCAATAGGCATCAAATCTCAGTCCCTCATTGCTATCAGTCCGGTAATATTAAGCAGTATATTACCAGCGCAGTAATATAAGATGGTAATTTGATCTCATTAAGTTGCAGCTGGGAATAAAACTTGATTCTGATCTTGGTGCGATCTGCTAAGATCTGCGGGCCGCGAACAGATCTTGATCCAGAGCGTCTCCATCACGCTTATATTCGCGCACCGCCTTGTATTGCCGGAGTGACAGGAGTAGCCGATGAGAACAACAATAGGATAAGAGAAAGCAGAAAGAAAACGAAAATAAGCGCCACGCTCAATAGCTTCCAGACTACCACAGTGAGGGCTGCAACATCCATGTTGATAACAGGATGCCAATCTGTGAAGCGGTCGGTATTTTTTAGTCCTGCTGAATTCAACTTCCACCTCTTAGATCGATATAAACCATTTGATATCGGTTACTACTGGTATATGTACTATTAGGCAACACTAAAGGCTGTACGAGCCGAAATGGGTAAGAAATATTTTGCAGGCCACGTATGCTCTCCTCAATTGCATGACGACGACGGTGCTCTAAGCCCACCAGATACTAATTTTTGTCCCTTCGATTCTTAAAGAGTTTACTAAACACACAATTTATGCATAACAACTCAAAACTCAATTCCACCAGTAGCGTCTACGCCTTGCTGTTGAGCTGCATGCACGTCGTATTACAATGGCACTTACACGATGCCGATCCACATCAGATAAGAGACATAAGCGCAAAACACTGCAAGCGTAGGAATATGGAAAACATGAGGCATTATACTGACTCTAGCCCAACATGAACTATCAGCCTAAAGTTTCTCAAATGCCATAAAATGACCTCCAATGTCCATCAGTTGCATGCGGCTATGGTTGTACCAGCGGAAAGAAAAGCTGGGATTGCACCAAGAGTGGGTCTTGGCTATTATTGTATTTCGATGAGCCTTGATGTTGTAAGTCTCGTATTCGAGCAGCAGGCAGTACTGATTCCAACAGTACTTCGGGCTGTGTTCCTAGCTCGGCGAGGCTGAGCAACTCCGGATTATTTTCCGCGCGCTTCGCCTTATAATCCATGAGACTTTTAACGTACAGGTAGAGATTATCCAAGGAAATTAAGATACGTCAACACCATGGATGGTATCGTGAGCTCGGGTACCGTATCCGACATTATCTTGCTGTTGGACAGAATGGTAAGAGATGATTTGTAGTGTTACTGTTTACAGGATCTAGTAGGTAATCTAGATAATGCAAGTAGAGTGAGAAAATCATCAACACTTTGGCGTGCGGCATAACATGCGCTTTCTTATGTGTACGATAATACAGGGTAGTTAGACAAGATGTTATTGAGCTATGTGGCCGTATTTCAACGGATTAAGTTCCAAAACTAGTAGTGACAGCTGGTATGCATGAGCTGGTAATACCTAGATGCAATACATGTAGAATTAGCACTTGGCTGTGTCTAGTTAAATCTCGATACTGTATATACGGCTCCTCTTCACACCATGCCCATGTACTATTAGTAGCGCTGCATGCACAGTAGATCAAGAAACAGGTAAATCCAAACCCAAATGCTTGTCTATAATGTTCCACGTGGATCGAACAATGGTTCCGCTGCCACAGCGGAGGCTAGAGCTGGGGTTATATCCGGAGCCGGGCCGGCCGCTACGACTGCCGATAGTGATCTCGCAATTCTCATCTCCATTTGCGTGTCGGTGATGACCAATCCGGAGGGGTTGTCTAATTCGCCAGATGTAGTCTCGCCCTCCCTTGCTGACTGACAAGATGGGTCACTTGCCTGCCCTTCTGAGACGGGGGAAGCTTTAGCAAGCTCTCGGTCGCTCTCGAGAGCTACACAGATTTCTCATTATCTAGACGTTCTGGCTGCCTATTAGTCTTAATTTGAAACTGATCTAGAGATTATCGCGGCGCGCGTGCTAGCTGGCATCATGACGCTCGAGAATGATGTTGAGACCCAGGCGGGACTTACTGAAAGCACGCCCTTGCTGGTAGGAGAGCAGTCGCGCCAATCTCATCCAGATCAGCAAGAAAATAAAAAGAGGTCAGCGCGTTGGTACCTGTGGAGGGCGTTTTGGCTTATTGCTGCGGCCCTTGTCCTTGCAGTTTTTATCAAGGGCTGGATTGACGCAGATGGCGATGTCAATGTCAGTGCTGCTAAACGATATCTTCTCACCTGCTTTTCCTTCGAGTCTGTATTCTAACTGGTATTGTTTAGTTTGATTTGAATGAAGCACTCAAGAAAGCTCTTGGTGGCGGCTTGTCTGGTGCAGCGGCGATGTTCTTACAAGTTCTACTGCTCATGGTATTATCTCACTTACTCTCGCCTTCTTCCTCATCTACTACCTGGCTAGGGCTGAACATCTGTCGCTTTTATTTAGCCTCTGAGAACGATTATGAACTATCAATATCGCTTTGGAACCTCATTCACTGTTGCAACACAGAAGCTCTATGCTGATGGCGGGTTTGGTCGATACTATTCGGGTATCGGAGCCGCACTTATACAAGGTGAGCAACTTTCTACATCTTACTAAATGTATTATTATATCTTGTTGGGTAATGTCTAATATTCGATCATCTACAGGACCTGTAGCAAGATTTGGAGACACGGCGGCCAACGCCGGCATCTTGGCACTTCTGCAGTCCAACTCTTATCTGAGTCACTTGCCTTCGCTCGGAAAGACTGTCTTTGCCTCTCTTTGGTATACTCACACCTGGCTCCTGTCTAATATTTCACAAGATTATTGTTGCTAATATACGCTGCGTTAAGTGCTGCTGCTTTCCGCATGATCCTCACTCCCGTCGATACCCTCAAAACGACTCTTCAGGCCCAAGGTGCCGGCGGGACTGCCCTGCTTCGCCAACGCATCAAAGAACATGGGGTCGGCACTCTGTGGTGGGGGGCTTTTGCCACTGCGGGAGCGACATTTGTTGGACATTACCCCTGGTTTGCGACCGTAAGGCTTGAGCCTACCTAGGACATGAGAGATGAATTACGCGCTCACATTTGCTACAGTATAACTTGTTGACGGAGACCATCCCAGAGCCACCAAAGACTGAGCTTTTCCTATGGCTGCTGCGGTTGGCCTTCATAGGATTCGTCGCATCGATAATATCCGACTCAGTTTCCAACTCTCTGAGGGTAGTGAAGACTTACCGACAGGTCAATGACACCAAAGTCTCATACAGTAAGTGGCTTTAAATTTGCTCAGGGAGAAAAAAAAATGTTTTGAGAGAACGTTCAAACTAATTACACTTATAGCCGAGGCCGTGCAACTGGTAATCAGAGAGGACGGAATCTCGGGGTTGCTTGGGCGAGGGCTGCCTACGCGCATCTTGAGCAATGGTCTTCAAGGACTGCTGTTTTCCATCCTTTGGAAACTATTCTTGGATATGTGAGTTGATCCGCCAAATATCTCAAGGAATACTGTTTGAGCTAATTCATAATTATTTAGCTGGGAGCATAAGACAAGCTCGTAACGGAATAATGGGGTATCTTGAGGCGTATATCTCTGAGGTATCAATGTGAGCGTGCAAAGATTGACATGAAACTTATAAACTACTTTTCGAATTTATTTACATCCAATTCATATATTATATCAGTATATATTTGCTATTTTCAGTGCTTGGAACCATGAGTAAAAGAAAAGCCGCCGATTGAGTATCCACAGGGGGCTGACATACCCATCATCTAATGGGCTACAGAAAAATGATATGGTTATTTTAAGAGTTTTCAGCCATTCTAAGAAGCGGTGGGTATCTATATTCTGTCCGTTTCTTGATTCTCTTCTCTAAGAGATCTCTAATCTTATATCCAACGTGGTTATTACAACTTTGCGATGTACGAAAGTACATGTACTCAACTCATTAACCAACACCCACGTATGTTAAGCCCCTAGCAGTAGTGGAGTAGCCGTTGATGTATCGAGGGTAGAAATGATATTCTCCGCATTGATGCGCAGATCACTATCGCTCTCAAGCATATTGAACACAATATGTTCGAGCTTGTTTCTCCCGGTGCCCATATTCACTGGACTTAACCTAGCTCTAACCGTCAAAATATACTGTAGCCAGTCTTCCATTCGTTTTCGTGAGTTTCCATTGTGGTTTAGTTCGCGCATCAGCCAGCCGGGCTTATTGTTTTCGGGATACTTGATCCTACCAAGCAAGTAGAGCATTGTAATGCCTAATGCCCATATGTCTCCTGGTGATCCACGTGAATTGTAGTCGAGGAGGTCTGGAGGGAGGTACCAAGGTGTGCCTCCCGCGTTCCATTCATTGGCACTTGTAGCCAATCCAAAATCGATAAGAACAGCGCCACGACGAGGGGAGTAGGTAATATTGCGTGGCTTGATGTCGTTATGGATGATTGGCACTGTCTTTAGGTACACCAAAGCGGATGAAATATTGTACAGTATTGTAGAGATGTCGGATAATGACATTTTTGCTTCCAGCCCTCGATAAAGGGATGGTGGGAGAGGCTCTAGATACATTGCAAACATGCGACCATCGAATGCCTTTAGCGATATAACGTTCCTCTGCGCTAGATTAGAAGGGAACTGCAAGTACATCGGAAACAAGAAACTGCGGTATGACTTACATGTTTTAGCTTCTCAAGGGTGGCCTTTTCTCTTTTCCATAATAGCGTAGAAGTTCTGAGACTATGAGGCAAATCTTTCTTGCATTGAAGGACTTTTGCAACTACGGGTTCGGTCAAAGCAGAGTGTTCGCATGTAAAGACAGCCGCAGATGCTGTAACTGCAATCTGTTTAACTCGCCGTAGTTGATACCTGGCTGGTCCTTTTGCTGCAGATAGCGATTGAGACCAGTCTGTCCTATCTCGCAGAGCCCGTATGACAGCTGTTTCTCCGTCGACGAGATCTAGAAGCGGGACGGAAGCTTTGTCGGAAATCCTTCGGGTAGAGGATGATGGAGCTGGATTGTGGGCATCAGTCCTTTTGGTAGCAGTAGTGATAGGTTTTGACTCTGTATTCGAACTATTTATGAGCTGAATGGAGGCAGTTTCCGCGATATCATGATATCGTTTTTGTCTCTTGCTGATATTCCCTTCAGCGTCATCGTCCATGCCTCGCTTTGTTTCCAATGAGTTATTTGCTGTGTGAATTGAGACATCAAATCGTCTCCCGAGAAGCCAAAACTCAGCAAGATGATACTCTTCAGGATCTTGGTCATCGCTGACTATAGATATTCTCCACATGCCAGGTTGGACTAAATGACTGCCCTTCTCCTTGACAGATATCTGAAGAGTCGAAGAGGAACTAAAGTTTGTCAAGCGTAGTTGCGGTTTTGTATAGTTTACCAAAAGGCAGTCATCACTCCCAGGATCGTAGACAATCTGACATTCTACGTCAGTGCCAACTACTGTGTCGACATTATCCAATGGTAATCGCAAAACCAAATCCACATCCTGAGCTTGCTGGACAACACCAAACGTCACCCTATCCTTGGCCTTGTATGAGAGCGGTATAATGGATGAATTCTGGCTTGAGTCATTGGGAAAGCGAGTCGATGCTACAATCATTCGAGCATCTGGCACATCGGGCAAAGCTCTAGTAAGCAGCGTAGCTATCTTCTTGGTGGTTGGAGCTTTTGAAGCCAATCTCTCAGCCTCACGGTCTCTTTTGAGAGCCAGCGCTGCTTCATAAGCAACAACGCGTGGCTCTATCTGCGTCGCCGAGCCGAAACTAGGCTGAGACGATGTCAGAAGACGCTTTTGAGCCCCCAGCGCTGAGGCTGCCGCTATAGCGCGAGGCTCTATCTGAGTCGACGGCCATTGGGAGGAATGAGAATGGGAGGCGCTGATATGCGACCGGGCGGTGACAAAAGAAGCCGACCTGATTGACTCATCGTTGAGCTCAGACATGCTGCAAGCTCAGCAAGCCTGGGATGCGTTGATATGGTTGAGATGAGAGGAAACACTCGGTATATTCTGTAAGATTGACAGTTTCAAGGATTCAAGCTCAAGTCAACCAAGGCGTTTCATCCGCGCAGTAAAAATACGCAGACGCAGGCGACCTCTATCTTACAGGTACCTGAACACGCTGTGAACGAGTGCTGAACACAGGCAGCACAACGCGCCGGGGTCAGCAGCTAGGCCCACTTGCAGCGTCCCTGTGATGCTCCATAGAACGAGACGCCATAACAGCTTGAGGCGCTATCTGGTGCCCCGTCGGGCACTAAAAACGGGCAGTTCCTCGCCAGAAGCCGCAGTGAGTACGGCGCTATTTCGCACTGAGTCGCAGAGATGAGAGTTTGCTATACGATGCGCAGAACATATAGGTACTACTAGTACTGCCTAATAAAATACAAAATATGAATCCCGGCTCGCCAATCGCTAATAGAGAGCTGCTCAAGTCACGCGGAACGCCTTGTACTCCGTGCAGTGTTCAGTTTTTGCGTGATTCGCTGCGCTTTATCGATGCTCTTTGAACAAGTGCCGACACGCAATTAGCCAGAGCTTGTCACGCCCCCTCTCGCGCCACAACGTGCTCCACTACTCATAGCATTAAATGAGCTGACTAAGAGCCCAGGCTGCGATTCAGCCTAGGATTGCTGTCACGCCTCATCTCAGCACAACCACAAACGAACTCTGTAGCTATCCAAAACGACCATCGGAAACGCTCCTGGCTCGATGAGAAGCACCCACACATTGTCACAAGCCGACAGCGACTGCGAGTCTAGCGATAAACTCAGGATATACCGACCATGGTCCGGTTCGATGCGCCATATCCAGGCAACGAGGACACAAAAAACACCGAATGGTCCCAGGCTGCTCATTCGGGCATGCGCAGCCCTGATCATCTCTGGGGGGAATACTGGCAGCGCTTCAATACGTTTCGCATCCCAATCTTTGACAAAGTCGAATATTTCAGAATCGCCATGGCGGTAGCAAAGGATTCCACGAGTAAGGAAGATTTTGAGCGGAAATTCGAGCAAGTGAACGAGCGACGACTTCGAGAACTCCAGTCCTTGTTGAGCAGGATGTACTGGAATATTGAGAGGAGCTCCACACCTCGCGCCGCTCATATCGAAACTTCTGATGCGAACACCCTCGGCTGCCTCGAGCACTTTGTCAGAGTATTAAATGGCTATGTCTTCGAACAGAAAGCGGATATGGAACCTACAAAAATAGTCGTGGAGGCACATAACTCTACAGAAGAACACCCTCTTCAAGAAACAGAGCAAATATTCATGGAAGATGAGACGGAGACTCTTATTAGGGAGATAAGCCGAAGCCCCTCTGCCGACCCCGAATATGAAGAATATCTCCGTACTGGAAAGCTTCCTGAAGAGGATGAGTGGAGCTCTCAGCTTCCTCATGATATAGACTGGAGTTATGAGATTCAAAAGGAACATCAGGCTGGGCGAAAGCGCTACGAGGAGAACAATACCTTCATAAGAACAAATTTCGATACTTTGACACCCACATCTAACGCTGCCGAGTCTCATACCCTCGATTCCGACGACGATACCCCTTCGATGCAGCAGGTTCCATCGCTCATATCAAACGACTCACAGGACTTGGAGGAGGAAAATGAGACTGCGGCGACACAAGATGGGCTGGGAAGGCGATCAAGTACTTCATCTAAAAGAAGTTCGAATTCGGCTAAGAAGAGGGTCCGATTTGACGACGACGATGAAGACATCAGCACCCATGAGCCTAAACGTCGAAGACTAGAGAATACTCTTGCACAAACCGAAACCTCTCCGACCTCCCGCACTACTCGCGCCTCTTCTCCTACAAGACAAGTCGCAGACGGCAGCGTATCACGGAAAAGATGCAGGCCTGACGAAGACGAAGAAGATAATGGATATAAGCGCCAGAAAATAGAGAGTCCGCCACGCCCATCATATTCTGCTCCGCTTACTAGCTCTACGGAAGATGGATCAGCAAGTCTTTTAGCTCGGGGAAGTTCAGAAAAATTACTGGAAGGGCAAGCTCCGGAAAGCAACAAGGGCGGGGGCAAACGGCGAAAGCAAAAGTCCACATCACCAAATCCGCGCGCAAAATCTTTTCGAAATACTCTAAACACAAGGTCTTCGAGGAGAGCCAAATCATCTACGCTTTGGGAACTGGATTCCTCGGGCAAGCCACGTACGACCTAGTGAGGCTTGAAAAAAGAAGACAAAGACTGGGGCACGAGGCTGCTGGGAGTTTCTGAGATCATGGCCGTTATCCTGGCAGGGCTGGGTGCAGCGGTTAGGTCGAAAGAAACATTGACGCGGCGTTCTGACTGAGAGCATGGTCGTTATCCTGGCAGGGCCGGGTGCAGCGGCGTAGCTTGATGAAAGGAAGACGTTCGTGTCTAAACGCAGAACATGGTCGTTATCCTGGCAGGGTTCTGGGTGCAGCGGCGTAGTTCAAGCAGTGCCAATCAAGTTGTAAATTTCCGAGAGCATGGTCGTTATCCTGGCAGGGCTGGGTGCAGCGGCGCAGCTTAGAGAAAACAACGGCGCTTCCCTGATGCAGTCTCGGCTGAGTCTTTGCCAGACTCTTTTCCAATTCTAGGTGGGCATGGTTGCAAATGTGAAGTTTTTTGGGCGGTTCAGCATTATGATAGCATTGATATTTTTGAGATACCACATTGAGCGTTTTTGTATTTAGTTATTTTAGTGTATATACCAAACTGCGAACGGCTTTTATTGTATATACCTAGCTTGATAGGAAGGAAAAGCCAATTATTTGCAGCCTTGAGCACTTTCTGCTGCCAAATATGTTCTAGAATAATAGATTCAAGGGCTCTAAATCAGTGCTGTATCTTCTTTCTCCACCGAGGTCAGTGAGCAAAGCCAAGCGCCCAAGTGCTCGTACAACACTCTTACAAGCAGTATAACAAAATAGGATTTCTCTCTCATACCTACTTGTAGGACAATTCAATTCGTTCCCAGGATGGCCTAGTGAAAACTGGCGCCAAAGTGATATGTGGGGCCATCTTGACCGAACAAGCGCGCTGATGACTAAGCACAGCAGAAATTTCGAGGCCCACGCTCTGGAGGCGTATAAATTCTTCACTCGCCGCGCTAGAGCGAAGCTCTTCTTTTTCTTTTCTTTTTCTTCGTGCGGCAGGCATGATCTGAAATTTATACCCGTGTTGCTCGAGTCCCTCATCAATGGATAAATCGCAGCGTCAATCATGCCCCAGATAAAATATAATTGCAAACTGGTCTCTCTATTCGTTCTGATTCCCATGGCTTTGCACGCGGGATTCGTGGATGGAGGGCTGGACATACTCCCTGCTGTGTCTCTTTTTTATATTGTGACGCTATTTCGATGCTTTGAAATGTAATGCTGTTGTTGGATGAGGGTATCTTGTTACAAAGAACAGCCTTGTTAGACTGTATGGCCACATATCGTGACCCTCAGCTGAGGAGTCTTTGATGTTCTGAGATTTCGATCATAGCCGATGGCGATAGAGGCTACAGGATAGAGAGTCTTTGAACTTCAAGACATCCGATATCAGGGATATCACACGTGTGAACCTGAGAGAAAACTGGCAATTGATTCGCCGAAACTCCAGGATGCTTCGATGGCCTGGCCAAGATCTACCGATGTTCGACAAGTGAGGAAAAATTCTACGATACGGCTCTAGCGCCGCAGATAAGCATAGAGCATGCAAAAACGACGTATTAGACCGCGGCCAATCAGTGTAAAGGATATCCGATGCCGTTGTACGGCCCATGGTTTTTTTTTTTTAGACCCATTCTAGGGTAATTGTAGTTTGGCTGCTGATTACTAGGCACATGTTGTATGCTGCCACAAGTAAGAGTCTTTGATGGACTAGAAGAATATCTTCACATAAATGACAAAGCCTCTATCAATCACACAAGGTGAGATGGCCGGGTGGGAGAGTCTCTTTGCTTATGGCTCTCAAATTGTTATTTAAAATGTTATTTTGTACAATCTTCATATAATCCCAAGTAATAAAGCAGCGTATGCGAAAGGTTTCCCGATTTCTCTTCGTCATTACTTCCTCATGAAAACGTTTCACCCTCTAGCTTCAATGGAACTAGCAACAAGTCCATTTTGAACCGGGTTTGTAATGCAACGAAAACATGGTCAGCATAATCGCTTGCCGTAGTCGGCTGCTGTACCCGACTAGGCCAGCTGACGTCGAGAAAGGAGGACCAACAACATTGAGAGACCACAAGTGCTTTATATATATGTATATTCCCGCTCAACACTCCTTGCTTCATCTCTCTCAATTTGCCTCCAATAAAAAATAAACAGAAGCAATAATCACAAAACTATAATTAAATCCATTTGTTTTAGCCACAACCCTTTTCATACAACGATCGTTTGCGCTCTAGCATTCGACAAAGAAGAAAAAAAATACAGCCAACGGACATGACCGAGAAAAAATTGCATGTAGCATGGGGACCCTACTGTGGACCAGACACGGATTGCTTGTCTGAAGAAGAACAGCTGGATCAATTCAGAGTTGAGTTTTTTAGAGGCCCTGGTGTGCAAGTAACAGGGTGGCCCGCCAAAGGTGGTGTCTACATCCTGGAACGCTGCTTAGGCGTCGAGCTTGACTTCCTGGGACTGGATCGATTCCACAATACGCCGCGTCCATCCGGTCCCGATGCAGCAGCCGAAGAAGAAGCGCATTGTAATAAGAGTAAGAATCACTTCACCGGGGCTTATAGCGATCTTATTGCTATATAACAGTAGCATAGAGAAGAGAGTGACTGATTCAATTATGTCTATAGTGCGACAGCTAGGTGCCACTTGGTGGAGGAGCGAACATGCTTATGACATGGCATATTTCACGTCACCCAAGGGAGAAGATGGTCGCTTTTTGAGAGTTGGCTGGGAAACTGGAGGCGGGGTGTGGGTTTTGAGTACAACAAAGCAAGGGGCAGATCAAAAAGGCACTGCTATAATTCAAAATGCATATACTATGGAGGAGAGGTGTAAAGCAATCGAGAAACTAGGGGGTGTTTTTTATGCGAATCCAGTGGATTGCCCGGAGTTGGACTTGTCTGATGTATAAGTAAACTAATAAACAAAACATCGAATAATATGAATGAACTTGAATCAAATTCTATGAGGGCGGTCTCTTGTCATATACTATATGTACATTGGAAAAAGGAAATCACACGAACTCTCATATATCAAAAAATAATTGCAAGCCGCGTTACAACCGGCCACGTTATTTCCTTTTCTGATGCTCGGGTAAGCAAAATCTCATAAATTCAACCATATAAATGATATTCCAGACCTGTGTCCAAGCACAACTCCATTGCCATACACGAATGCACATAGGGTCCTATATTCCAGAGGAATCCAAAGCAGGCGTCTTCCATCTTTCGTTATCCACCCATCGGTGATTGGAATACCTTGATCTTGCAGGGGCCTTGAGAGGTCTGCGTCTGGGCTCAGAATCTTTTCATCTTCCTGGAACAAGCTCACCTTGTATTGATGCTCTATGTAGAGATATCGGCCATCTGGCGAGAACTTGATATAACTTCGCATCTTGTCTGGAAGATCCACAAAGTATCTCCGCTGGTGCGATCCCGTTGTTGCGTCCCATAAATCTATTTCGCAGCTCTTAAATTTGAATGGCACGCGATGTGCCGACGCCAGCATGCTGCAGTCCGGAAAGAAGGCGAAGGATTGGGGTCCAAACCCGTCGCGACGTTGAATCTCCCACAGGCACTCGTCTGTTTCTATATCCAATAGCATTATTGTTTCCGACTTGAATCCCACCGCCACCCTGTTGCCATTTGGTGAGAATGCAATTGCTGACACAGCATATCTGCCGTGCAGAGTTCTCCGGTAGGTGCATTCCCCAGCCGCTATATTCCACAACTGTATTCGGCACGGTGATACTGATATTAAACGGTTTGTAACACAGCCTGATCCTAATGCTAAGATCTTACCATTTACTGAGAATGCAATCGCGGTATACTGTAGGTACCAAACTTTTCCGCCTCTTTGCCCGGTCGTAGTAGCCCCTGGCAAATAGTCCTCGATTGTTCGCCAGCACTCCCCTGTCGCAGTATCCCATATCTGCACTGTATTAGATCTTGCACATGCTACTCTCCTGCCATCTAGTGACAACGCAATTCTCGTAGATGCATCGGAAAGACGATCGGATTCATACTTCTCGTGCATGCCCATTGTCGCGTCCCATAACCGTATTTTGACATCTGCTGATGCCAGTATCTTATTGTCTGGTGAGATTGCTATTAGTGGATCGTTCTCGCCCATAGAAGTTGACACAAGAGTGCCCATAGCCGGATCATATAGTTGGTTTTCAAACCCCACGAGTCCTAATATGAGTTTTTCACCATCTAGACAAAACGCAATAGCTTTTAAAAAACCCCGCTCCCAGTGAAACTCTTTGAGGGGAGCACCCGTTGCTGTATCGCATAGTCGTAAATTTCGCATGTATCCTGATGCTATTATGGTACCATCTGGCGAAATTGCAATGGCTTCTATTTTGTTATCATGACCTTTGATTGTGTGTCGACATGTGCCTGTTGTCGCATCCCATAGTTGAATCAATCCAGAGTTCAATCCTGATGCCAGTGTCTTACAATCTGATGAGAACGCGAAAGCCGTGACGTCATCGTAACCCTTATTCACCAGCGAGGGCCTGTTCAGTCGCACCATGCGGTTGCCACGGACTGCCTGTGGCGTCCCACTGTCTGGCGATAATGGAATATATGTTATCCGATAGTCGTCTCTTCTTTTAGTTCGCTTTCCTAGTATTGGATTTCCAAACGTGGCAAGCAGAAGCATTCTGTTATCTGGTGAAAACGCAATGGCTGAAACCCCACCGTCATGACATTGAATTGTCCGTTTAAGCGCACCTGTTGCAACATCCCAGCAACATAGTGTTTTATCCCTAGACTTTGACGCCAACGTCTCACCATTGGGCGAAAATGCGAGAGCTATAACTCGATTGTTGTGGCCCTCAAGCCTCTGCAAGAAGGCGTCTGTTCTAATCCCTCGAATATCTTCTATAAATGAGAGTCTCTCATTCCATTGGGTTGCTTTTATGTGATCATGAATTGGACTGAATATAAGAGCTGAGCCGTATACCTGGAGCGGCGATTCGGCAATGAGCGCCCCATTGCGAAGCATAAATTTTTCTATGGTGCTTAGAAGCCCCGAAAGCTGAGGATTTTCATTATGTGGTAGCTACTAGCCGTTAGCATCCCTATATAGTCTCAGACCCCAAGCACGTACCTCATGGAGAAGCTTTCGTATGGAACGTAAGCCTTCTAACAGCCCGTCGAGCAGAGATAGACTTTCTATCCATCGGAGGAGATGGTTCTTCAAAAAAGGCTCCAACGTCTCATGGAGTAGTAGCTGGGCTTCATACCGAGAGCTTGCGCTGCATGTATCGCAAAGATGATAAGCCCAATAAAAGCATGAGTATTTCATCGAAGCTAGAGGATTTGGGTTAGGTGCTTGGACATCTTTTGGCCTAGGTCCAAAGTCTGTAAGGCAATATATATTTTTTGATAGCTTTGATATGGCTGTGACTGATCGCTTGAACACATCCAAATGCCTTTGGGCGACGTCAGTCGAATATATCTCTGCGGACAAAAAATCCTTTGCTGATTGATGGATAAAGTAGACGTGGTCTTCGCTCAGAGTGAGGAATGAACCACACATTAGTACAAGCTTGGTAATGGATTCGAGGTTCTCCGAAATATTGTCCGGCATGCCAGCGAGGACTCCTATTTCAGCCAAACCGAGTGGATAGTATGATGTGAGTATCGCTGAAAGTAGACTTTTACAAAGCCTTTTATTTCTTCTCGGTAGACTGTAGATTTGGTTTATCATCCGTTTATACAGTGCTGCCAAGTCCATTGGCATATCTGCAACAACTTCCATTACCTCCCATTCTTGAACCTCTTCAAGGTCTTTCATCACAAGAGATACCCATAAAAATGTGCCGTTCGCTTTTTGTTGAATCAACTTGCGTAACTGATCTTGGAGGCCGTTGTTATTCTGTATTGAACGTAATCTTGACACTCTGTGTTTGATGTATGCATCCACGGCCTCGGATACACACGACGCATTTTCTTTAAGCTCGAGGCTGAGTATGCCCTGAGGTATATGTGACTCGAGCCGCTGCTGGATGCTGGGTATGTTCCGACTGGATATGATGCATTTAACGTGGGGAAATGAGAATTGTTGTGCAACAGCATCTAAGAGCTTGGGCAAGTCTCTCTCGCACTCGTCTAGTGCATCGATGATCAGTATTATTTCTTTCACTTTTGAGTCTTGTAGAATAGCCACAAAAATCTCAGACAAGGCTACCCATGCATTTACATCTGAAAAGAGGTCTTTGCCTGCATGCTTATACCTTGTCTGAACATGAGATATAAGCAAAGGTTCCTGAACAATGAGGAGATATATAAGGCCGCGTAGTACAGCGGTTGCGTTATTGATGCGTGCATCAGTGCCCTGGCAGAAGAAGTATGATAGGAGGATGGTGTTGGTATTTTGATCAATCGGCTGTGCTAGCTTCGTCATCGGCATCAATTCATCGATTATGCCACAGAGCAGCATTGTCTTTCCCTTGCCTGGATTGCCCTTGATCCAAAGTATTCTGTTCTGTGCATTATTGCGCCAATCTTTAAAATTCTTATTTTCGATGATCCAGCGATACGAATCTTTTAGCAGTCCACCTTTTGTGTTTTGGATGCGTGTTTTATCATCGCGGGGATCAGTTGATCGCAAGTCCTTCAGGCACTGGTTTGCTTGGTCCGACACGCGATGTACATCGCCTAGATGCAATGTGACATTATTTCCAAAGTCATTATTGAAAACACTGCGAGAATTTGAAACATCGTGACTCATTGCGGTTGAGATGCCAAACAGCATAAAACGCCAAATGTCTTGATGCTCGTCGTTGGACACGGAGCCTTGGAGACGGCAGGAACTGATTACTTGTATATTGCATAACTGGGGCCAGTTCTATTTGCCTGACATCTGCCTAACCCCTCACTTTGAGGACAGCCAATTAGGTATCAAATACATTAGTCTGCCTCTTGTTCATGAAATGGGTTAATTGCCATTACCCTAGTATATTTAGATCAGACTCTCTATGTATATGTGTCTTCTCTAAAAGGATAGATACAATCTCCAGATCCCTCTCTCCCGAAAAGAAAAACAGAGAAAAAGAAAAAGAGATGGAAGTATAAGTACGCTTTGTAGAATTCTATACAAAGACATAGGCTGCCAAAATTAATCTAACCGAAGAGTTGATATAGGTTTTCGGTGTTAATCTACTGAGCGAACTCTATCCTAGGGCCCTGGTAATGCTTCCTTGCAAATCCGAACCAGTTAATAGCCATAACGATTGCGATGATTGCTAACACCACTGCAGCATAATCTATAAAAGCTCGAATTAGCATGTCCTTCATAATAAGAAGCATCAAAAAACAAATAAAAAAGAATCGACTTACTCATGTTACTGCCCGTCACAGGCAAAACAGTCGGAAATGTAAAAAAGATAGTTTCAATAACCGCCGCAACAATCGTCCCAACATTACAAGCCCAGCCCACCATTTCAGGGACCTTAAACGCCCTCTTTCTCGGAAGGACTTTTTCGCTCCTCTTACGATATATCAACAATGCAGCAGGAATCGCAAAAGAAATCATCTGCATCAGGGAGAACACCCCGACAAGGGCATTGAACGCAGCTGAGGAACCCAGACTGATACATCCGCAAACAAAAATCAGCCCTGCGTCGAGAAGGAGGGCCGCCATGGGGATGTCGCCCAGCTTGGGAGATAGTTTGGCGAACTGAGAAGAGAAGACGAGGCCGCGATCGCGGGCAAGGGCCCAGAGGAGTCGAGACGTGGTTTGCTGGGTGGCGGCGATGATATACGTGAGGATGATAATGATGATAATGAGGAAGACAGTGCCGGCGGTGTCGGATTTGCTAGCTATGCGCCATAGTTTGTAGACGGGTACTCTGTTAAAAGTACACATTGTGTAAGCCAAAGCATAAATACGTTTCTCACTTATATAGGAGGAAGAAAAAAGAAGGGAGTTTTCTTATAACTGACAAGTCATTCGCCAAAACATCCAAACTCGGGAGGCAATAAGCCATGGCCACAGAAAAGACAAAGCCAGAAAAGAATCCAATCCCGATTGTGGACATGAGCGCCTTTGGCACCGTTCTGGAAGCATCTAGAGTCTCTTCCGCAAGATGAAGCGTGGCGTCGAGACCTCCAAACATGTACGCATGAGTAGTGAGGCCTGTGAAGAAGGACACCACAGGCGTCCAGCCTGAAGAAGACTCAAAGCTGGTCCACAGCCAGGTCGAAGACTGCTTGTCGCCTCGGGCGAGACAAACGACAGAGACGGAAACGAATGTAGCCAGAGTAAGAAAGACTTGATCAATCGAGATTAGTATTTTGTTTCATATTCCCATGCACATGTAGAGAACGCGACTTACAAGCTGCATCATGTATCCAATGCGTCTTCTTCAGCAAGAACAAGTTATACAGCAACGATATCACATTAAGTGCTTGAGAAATGAGAAACAGCTGCCAAGCGCTCGCCTGAAATCCATTATAAAACTCGGCAATGGCAGCGATACACAAACTGGTAACACTACAGACACTAGCAGAGCATATGATCCACGAAACCGTCGCTATCATGCCGCAGACGTAAGATATCGACTTGTTGAACCTTTTCGGCGCCATGATGCTCGCAAAGTGATACTGTCCCCCAGCGGTAGGATACACGCTCGCAAGCTCGGCCAGAGTGACGGCTGCGGAGCCGTACATGGCGGTGATGACCAAGTTGCCGTATATCAGAGAGACGGGACCTCCTGCGGTCAAGGCTGTTGAAAATGCTACTGCGACGGCTAACCAGCTGTTGGGGATGTTGAAGCCGAGGGCGATTATCTGAAAGGCCCCGATATCGCGTTTGGGCTGGGTCAGCTCTACTGCTTGCTGGGTGCTCTCAGAGCCCGTCGATTCCAGCGCATGCCCAAGTTCCGTCTTATCAGATGGGTTTCCATCTGGCTGATCCATTTTATTTGGATATAAAAGCCTGAAATTATGTCTTTCACCGAAAGGCTGATGATATATCACGAACCAGTTTCCAACGACGTCGAGAGAATAACGATTACGAACAGCAAGGTAGAAGGGCATTGACTAGCTATTTATCACCAGCGAGACTTGTATTCCGTACAGCTATTTGAATCGCTTGCCAGCCCACAGACATGGCTCCCTGTCTTGTGTCTCAGTAGGCAAGACATGATAGGGGGCACCTGGATGATAGATTGATGTCGAAATTGCATATCAAGAAGTATAATTGAAAATACCTATATTAAAATGACAAAAGAATCTGTGTTGTATTTATATCTCAACTTTCTGCGTATATCATTTATGATAATGGTAACGCTCCGGTATGACGAAATAGACCATAGCCACCCATTGCCATCATTCCGATCATCTCGAAAAGTTGACTACTACCGGAGATAATAGCACACCTACCCAGTGGTCAAAGTCATCTTGTGGCACACAGAATCGACGCGATGGGCATAGTATGAGGGTGAAATCAACTTCCGTCATGTTGGCGACACATAGTAGACCTGTTTATTTTGGGGGTCTAGGGAAATTACCCATACTTGAGACAATCACCTCTTCTAGGCCAGGCTACTTATCAGTTTGTGCGACACTTTGCAAAGCCATTGCGTCGCACAGCATCAATCATTCTGGCCGGGTGGTGTAAATATTTGAGATCTTTTTCTGGTAGTAAAGGGGAGGTAGATGCTTCTGGGAGGGAAATGCTCATGGTGGATATGAGCATATTAAGACGTACTTAGCTCCGTAATACGGTGAAGTTTGCGTTACTTGTTGGATCTGGTGTCAAGACTGCGAATGAACGTGTCACCAACAGTCTGCGCTCTCCAGTTAGTGAGAATAATTAGAAAGGCGGTTAATAAAATAAAAAGCATATGGCTCCCTTTGTTTCGGCTGAAAGACAGCTCTCTAATTGCAATGGAGACTGGAAGATAAGGCATTTCCGTTGACCATCGTAGCACAGCAATCAAAGCGAGGCGCAGCTTGAGCCTGGAGGCAAATCCTCCACTGCCCTTGCATCTCGGAATCTTAGATTCCATCCCTTGTAACTGGCCCATAACTCGATCCCACCATCCAGTGACACATCGGGCTGTACGGGGAAGTCACTCGCTGATAGCAGGTAGCCACTCGCCAAGACACACGGTCCCTCCACTGCGGTTGGACGGCGGGGAGCATTATCGTCACTGCAGGCCAGACGCACCACCGGCTCCATCGCCGATTTTGGTCCCATCGCCGCCGCTTCTCCACACGCACTAATGGGCGCTAGATACGACACGGCGCAAGCTTGTTTCCAGCTGGAACGCATCGAAGAAGGACGCAGCGAAGACGCAGTTTCATCTGGATAGAGCTCTCTTTCCTGCGAGGGGATCCGGCTGGATCAAGCTTCCTGAGAGGTTGGACCGTCCGTGGTCTGTGCGATGCTGCAAATGAAGTGCGACGTTGGCGCTGACATCGTGTCCAATAGCTCAAAGCCCAAAGGCTAGAAATTGGCGGTACGCGTCCAAGCTCCGACGTTCCGCACTTGGTCTTTGGCTCGAGGCGAAAGCTCGACGGTCCGTGCCCGAAGATGTGCGACACTTGCAGTTTAGCTTTCTGATGTTTGTCAGATCTTTAACGGGTAGCATACGGTGATGGAGGTCTCGACCTACATAGCCGCTGAAGATGAAGAAGCGCCTTGACGGTGATTGCAGCAAGGTGAGCACTAATCTCAGGTAGCAGCAGTGCTCTGTACCAGCATAATCTGTGCGAGTACCCGGTAGGTAACGAAAAATACGAGGCCGACTCGAGATGCGGCTGCTGGCAGTCTGTGGCCCCCCAGCGTTGTATATGCGCTGCTCGTGTGCAGACCGACCTCGGACTAGTATTCGTTAGCACAGAGGGGTGTCAGCCAGGCACAGACAAGAAACAGCTCGTAGAATGAGGAGTAGCATCTCGTAGTTGACAACAGGAATGGCGTAAATGGTCTCGAACCGAGGCAGCTCTTCATCCGCCCGTGACCACTTTCAACAGCAAGATGCCAACGATACGGCTTGTGTTGGGTTGGCAGGTGAAAAAGTTCCCCAGCGCCATGCAAGCCATGCCGTTGGCCGCTAAACCCCTCGCGGCATGTTCCTTCAGAGGGCCAAAACCGCCTACAGTAAACCACATACCTAAAACATGGGCTAATTTTCATTCGCGGGGGCCTCGCAATTCTGCAGCCAACGCCGTTAGCTGCAGCAGCTGCCAGAGGGATCCGCAGCTCGTTTTGGGGACCGTTGAACCTAGCCTGGGGTTTATTTCCCTCTAGTCATTCATTGTACGGCCCCGTTACTCTGTTCTCCAGCAGCTTGTGCCCTCCAACGGTTGTTTCTTTTTCCTCTTCTTCTTACATTAGATGCAGCTTTCCCTCGGTTGCTGCTTCTGGCCGGTCCATGCGTCCTTCGCCTCGTTGTCGGCCATTGCCACTGTCATGGTAAACAGAGCTGCGTTTCGCATCCTGTAAAACTGTGGCCTCGAGTGTCTTCGCTGGCAGCGGCGGGAAAGCTCACGCGAGTCACTAACACTGACGAAGCTTAGGAGAGAGTCGAGACACAACGAAACAAAGGAGCAGCCTGCTTATAAGAGACTCGCAGTCCAATCCGGTGGATGTCTGTCTCTGCGTCTCTTTTTTTTGTGTCTAGGCGCACTGACTTAGTCGGCGGGTCGAGATATCTGAGCTACAGCCGCTGGCCAGCTGTGCGACACTGGTACCAGCCCAAACCAAACGAATCGGGGCTTTGAGCTGCTCTCTGGAAGGGGGAAGGCACTTTTTAATTATAAAGCAAACGGATTTTTTTCTTTTTTTACTTTTGGAAAACATTTCAACGCTACGATGGCGAGCCTCGCAAAGGAAACAGGCGAAGGAGTCCAAACCACCGACATGGCTGCCGACGAAACCCCCCGCAGCGGCGTCTTCCACAAAATGTCCAACTCGGCCAGCAGCACCGAGGCCCTTCGTTTCTGGCGTTCCAAGAAAGATGCCTCCCAGGACTTTAGTCTTCAGGAGCGTGAGACGCCCAGCAGCGACGAACAGAGTCCCGACATCGAGAATGGCACCTCAACCGAGTACCGGACGTATAAGCGGCGGTGGTTTGGCCTGGCTCAGCTGACGCTCATGAACATTATGGTTTCCTGGGGTGTAAGCCAACTCCAAGCTGCATATCTTTGGACAATCACCTCTCGAGATTTCCGTCCTCTTTATTCGTTACGACAGACAGGCTAACAACATATGACTCCAGTGGCTCACCTACGCCCCCGTCGTCAGCGACTCTGCCACCTACTACAACGTCACCTCCTCCGCAATCAACTGGCTCAGCACCGCCTTCTTCCTCTCCTTCGTCGCCATCTTCCCCGTGAGCGTCTGGGTCGTCAACCACGGCTTCAAATACGGCTTCATCTGCTCCGCCTCCCTGCTCATCGTCGGTAACTGGATCCGCTACGCCGGCTCTTCCAAGTCGTCCGATGGCATCTACGCCTGTGCCATGGTAGGCGAGATCTTGATTGGCTTTGCCCAGCCCTTTGTGCTTGCTACGCCTGCCAAGTACTCAGATCTCTGGTTCACCCACCGCGGGCGTGTGGCTGCCACTGCTCTGGCCACTTTGGCGAATCCTCTGGGCGCGGCTTTGGGGCAGTTGATCAACCCCCTGTGGGTAAGCTCACCTAAAGACGTCTCGCAAATGGTCCTCTACGTCTCCATCATTGTAAGTGTTTCTGCTCCATCATCCCTATATAGGATTTGGTGGTAACCATGACACATTAGTCTACGGCCTGCTCGGTTACTGCCTTCTTCATCCCCTCCCAGCCACCCACTCCCGTCGGCGCCTCTTCAGAAACGCCCAAGATGCCATTAATCCCATCCATTCGAACCGCTATCCGCTCTCCGGAACTATGGCTCGTCTTCATCACCTTCTCCGTCTACGTCGGCATCTTCAACGCCGTCTCCAGTCTTCTCAACCAGATCCTAGTCCCGTATGGCTTCACGGATGACCAGGCCGGCATTGGCGGCGCCGTCCTCATCGTCGTCGGTCTTGTCACCGCCGCCATTACGTCGCCCATTCTGGATCGCACGAAGCACTTCCTTCTCTCCCTGAAGATCATCGTCCCCATCGTAGCGGCATGCCTCGTTATCTTCATATGGATGCCCCAAACAAAGGCCCTTGCCGGTCCTTATGTCATTCTCGCCATCATCGGCGCAGGGTGCTTCGCCGTCGTGCCGATTGCTGTCGAATTGCTTGCCGACTTGAGTCACCCCATCAGCCCTGAACTCACATCCACTGCGGCCTGGGCCGGTGGCCAGCTCTTCGGCGCCATTTTCGTCATTGTCAGCGACCCGCTCGTAGCCGGAAACGATGCTAATCCTCCCAAGAACATGAAGAACTTTCTCATTTTCCAAGCCGTGCTTGCCGTGGCTGCAACCCCCCCGGTTCTTGTCTTGGGCTGGTTTGGCCGAAAGGACAAGGTCGTTTTGCGAAGACTACAGGCTCAACAGGAGGGGGAGACATGAGCTGATACTACATGCGGGAGCGAATCCGTATAAAAATTTCTCTTTTCAAAAACTGATCTTATGAGCCCACAACCACTTTGGGATATCATCTCGAAGCAATGTTTCTAATATTTCGAGTCCTTTTTTTTCTGTCTTTTGCAACGTCTGGAATGTGTATATGAATGACTGCTTTGATATCCAGCAGGGTATATATAACGACATACTGACATCTCAATGTAACGTTTAAAAGCCAAACGATACAAAAGAGATGGTATGATTAGTTTTGTCAACTTCAGGGTGGTAATAAGTAGTATTAGTATTAGTGATAGTGATACCACGCTTGTTTGTTTGAAACTTGTATACACACAATACCCTATCTCTTGGTTCTAAACCGTCTTGTGTCCCTTTTTTCCTTCCAATATATTCTTCAAACACCGTAAACCAGTAATAATTAAAACTTTGTGTAAAAAAGAGAAAAACACAAAAGGTATAACATAACAAGGTATCAAATATCGCTCACTCCTTTTTATCCAGCTTTATTATCTTGGCCCACTGATGCCTCAACCTCTCCATCTCTTCCCACGCCCTCGCTCCCATCTCCTCAAACTCCACCAGCGACTCCTCCGTGGCGTTCTTCGTTCCCAATCGTCTCCCCACCGATTTATGCAGCACCCCGGCCGCCGTATCAGCCGCAATCGTCTTGTCCGTCTCGACCTTACCTTCCCATCCCCAGCCGTCCACCTCCGTCTTCTTCACGTCCGACACGAGATGCCTGTCCGTCGAGCTGCCCCATTTGATCCTATCGGCCTGCATGTCGTCCAGCACGGCCTGATCCTGCAGCGCTAGCCAGGCCGCCGACGTGGCACCCTTGTAGCCATCGACGTTGTGCCACGGGGAGCCAATCCAGCGAGCAACCACCAGCGCAAGCTCATACGCCCAGAAGAGGAACCACGGCACGGGGAACAGCGTGCTGGCCACGACGCCAGGGTGCGTGAGGTACATCTTCGGCGGGACGGGCTTCTCGGCAGCGTCGCCGCCGGATTCCTCGTCCATCGTCAGGAAAGGCCCTGAGAATCTCTGCACCGAGGGGAGTGAATATGACAGGGAGACGATGTCGGTCAGGCGCTTGGCGGATTCGTAGGCGGCGGGCTTGAGGAAGCACTGCATGTCGTCGGGGTTGTACACTTCTTCTACGGCCTCTACGCTGGATGACCAGACGATTCGGCCGCGGGACTGGTTCGGTGAGTGGCGAGACAGCAGCGGGAGCAGCTGATGGGCGAGGACGTAGTGTCCAAAGACACAAGCGGCAAACACTTCGCCGAGAAGAGGCTTTTCGGGCTGTAAAGCAGTTTCATCGTCGTTAGCACATCTTTCTACTCCCTCTCTTTCCCCCCGCCAGATCAACAAAGAAAATAAGGCAAAATACATACGTATCCATAGCTCTCCCGCTCATTCAAAATGCTCGTCGGCAGCGAATTCTTAAACGTCGGGTACGTCACCGCCTGGACCAGTCCCTCGGACAGTATCTTCCACACAGCCTTGGGATAGTTGCACCCCGACCAGTTCCCGTACGCCGCGTTGAAGATCACCGTGTCCAGCCGCGGGATCCTCACATTGCGCAGATACTCGCCCTCCAGGCCCTCCGGGTTGCTCACCCGCCCGCGACACAGCCTATCGGCAAAGGCATACACGCCGTGCAGGTCGCACAGGTCCACCGTCAGGCTCAGCACGTGGATGCGCCGCACCGCGTCCTGCCAGTTGTATTCCTCCGCCTTGTCGCCATTGCCGGCATATCGGGCTCGCAGCGCCGTCGACGTCTTGGCCGCGTACTCGGCGTGTGCTCGAAGGGCCGAGATGGCCACCAGGGACTTGGAGTCGGACCGCGTCGTCGGGATGAGGACCAGGTGCGACGTCAGCGACCGCGTCGCCAGGAAATCGTCGATGAGGCGTTGTCCTGTCCCGAGGCCAATGCCGCTGTATCTCGTGGCGAGCCAGTTAGCATTTCGCCCGCAACGAATCAAACGACGAGCGAAGGATCGCAGCCGCGTAAGGGGTCAGCCGCCACCGCCGCCGCTATAGAGGGTATTCTAATACTATACCTGTTTGCGCCAGTAATCAGAACAAAGAGCTGCTCCTCTGGCGCGACCGTCTCCCACGGCGCTACTGCCGATCCTTCTGCAGCTGTGGGAAGAGGAGCCTCGATCGTCATTGTCGCGTGTGTGTGTCCCGAGCCAGGCACCAGGGGGGAAAAAGAAAAAAAAAAGCAAGGTAAAAAAAGAAGACCGGCGCCCCTCAATTCGAGTCGCAAAAAAAAAAAAAACCTTGAGGTGTCACTGCAGCACAGACAGCTTTACGAAAAGAGAAGCTGAAAAGCGGGTGTCGCTCGGATGGCTTTTTGTACGCTGGCAGAGCCACAAAAGGCTAGAAGCGCTTTTGGGATACGAGTACGGCGCGAGGTTTCAATGACGAGTGGAATGGAATCGATGGTCGTCCGAGTTGGTGGCGCGGCTGAGTGGCTTTTTCCAATTTCGGCCCCTTGGATTGTCTCACCCCGCCGCCATTCGATGCTGGTGAGATGGTTGAATGCTGCCGTAGCTGCGAATGGGTTTGCCAGCCTATTAATAGGGACGTGTTATTAAGCCTCTATCGTAGAGTAATAGGCGCCACTAAAAAAACGGGCCTTGAGGCTAAGTAGCGCTATAGCCTTAGTAATATAACTATTGTTGGAATCTGTTCAGTGATTTATATAGAAAAGGAAAATTAATATTTCATTCTTTATTGGTAACCCTTAACTAGTGTTGGAGAGTAGTATATTAAATTAAAGCTATTTGTAATATAATTTATATAATAACGGCTCCAACTATGGAGTTGTTATTTGGCTGCTAATCCAAGACTGTAGATGAGGCTGGCCTCGATCAAGCCGGCTGACTACAATCAGACATCGTGGCTTCGATCAAAATAGCCGGCTTCAATCAAACAAGGTGACCTCGAACGATCCTGTTGACCTCGATCAGACCGGCTAACTACGATAAAATCAGGTGGCTTTGATTGGCGCAGCAGCTTTGCTCACCACTATGAACGCTTTGAGCGGGCATCAAGATTTTAATATCTATAAGCCCGGCACTAAAGGACAGCGGGTGTATTAGCAATTGTTGCAATGGCTTCCGGATGACGAATGGATTAACGAGATTCATGCAGAGTTTAGAGATGCGAATCTCTTTTCTGTGTTGATTAAGAATATAAACTTAAAGAGGCTTGCTACAGCCATCACTTGTGAACTCAAGATTCAATTTAAAAACATTCATCACAGCATTATTTGCCAATTAAAGATTGTACACCCCAAGTGCCTTCTACATTGCATTTTGCTATTTGTCCAATTAATCTTGGACTTTATAAAACATGTTACCTTGCCGCCCCCTTTTGAACCATCTCGACTCATTTAATCGAGACTTCTGTTCATCCATATTTGCATGCTCTCCCGCTTCGCTTTATGCTGTTTAAGAGAAATACATGTCATCATGGCTGCTCATTTACTCTTTCGACTTGTTCTGTCCCTCTCGGACAGCAGCCAAAATCAGATCCTTGGCCTTCTCCACACCCTCGCGAGTGCCGGTGATCTCAATAGCCTCGTCCTTTGCTTGGTCTCGCGGCACTTGGATCTGGCAGTTGCTCTGGTTCCGGATTGACTTGACCTTGCTTCCGTTTTGGCCGATGACGTAACGGTAAGTTCGAGGGTCAGGAAGGATAAGATAACCCGTAGAGTCATTGGCCTTGGCCTGCTCCAGGGCCTTTTGGATAATGTCCTTGGCTTTGGCGACATTTTCAGCAGTTCCGCGCAGGATCCATGGAATGTCACCCTCCTCGCCTGACTCGATGCTCACAATCTTCCAAGAGTGAACATCGGTCGATGCATCGGCATCATCTGTAATCAGGGGCAGAGATCCCTCAACAGCCCTGGCTGACGGCGTGGGCTTGGCAGGGATGCTCTGGCCGGCATGGTCCACCGTCACCTGGTAGTTGTTGCGAAGTTGGCGGAACAGCTGTCCATTGTTGGACACGGCATGGTGGGCATTTCGAGGAATCTGGAGCGTCTCGCCCTGCTGCTGCTTGATCAAGCCAGCAATGTGCTCCTTGGCCGAGGCCACGTTCTCTGGTCGACCAGAAATCTTAACTCCCGTCTTGCCGTCGCCCTGGCGAGGAATGTCAATGGAGACGCTGAACTGCGACTCAAGCTGGCGCTTAGCATCTCCGCCTCGTCCTATGAGGGTTCGGTGCTGGTCGATGGGCACTTCCACAATTTTAGTTACCTGGCTTTCACGCTCCGCCACAATCTCCTGGATACGCTTGATGATGTTCTGAACAACTTGAGTGCGGCCCTCTACCTTGATAGTGTTGCCATCTGCCTCTTGCTTGGGGAACTGGATAGTTCGGGCAAGTGCACGTCTATCATCAGAACCGCCGGCTGCGACAACAATCTCGCGAAGGGTGGATCCTATATCATTCGTGTTAGTTTAAAAATTCTTCTTGCTAGTTATCGTACGCATATAGGAAAAGGAAAGAAGCTTACCGCTTGTTCCAATCAGGGCTCTGTGATGCTTCTTGTCCACCTCAATGGTCTGGACAACAGTGTCATCAAACTCCGTTCGCTTCTCTTCAAGGATCTGCTTCGCCTTCTTAACCTGAGCTGCAGTTCCCTTGATGACAATCTCAACAACTTCAGTATCTCGGTCAGCTGGAACATCAATTCGAGCACCGGTCAACTGTCGAAGCTCATCCAAAGCAGCACCGCCTTGGCCAATCAGGGAGCCAACTTGCTTCTGCTGCACTCCGACGGTGGCTGTGTGCGAATGCTCCTCCAGGTACTTGTGAAGGGAGAAGATCTCGTCGCGAGCCTCATCGGCGCCCTTCTTGGGACCACGAATAATGACTTCGTCTGGAGCTTGCTGGCGGCGGGGCTTGCCAGCGTCACTTGCCGCATCGGCATTGGACTGGTCATCTCCGCCCTTGGCTGATCGAGGGAAGAAAATGAGAACCTTGTATCGAGTCTGAAGGCGGTTGATCTGGCTTCCCTGAGCACCAATCAGCTCTCTGTGGTACTTGGGGTCAATCTTGAGAGTATGAGTTGTCTCATCCGCCAAAGTTCGGCTAAGGTTCTGGATGTAGGTTCGAGCCTTCTCGGCCTTGGCCTGAGGTCCCTTGAGCTCCACTTTGCCGTCTTGAACTTGGATTTCGACGTCAAAGCGATCACGAAGCTCCTTGATGTTGCTGCCACCCTTGCCAATGAGGTGGTTCGCGAACTTCTGGGGGAAGTCAAAAGACAAGGTGTATCCACGCTCCTTCTCGTCAATCTTCTCCTGCTCAATAAAGGCAGTGGCCTTGCTGGCAAGAGATTCAACAGCAGACTTGGGTCCTCGCAGAGTCACAGTGGTGCCAATCTTGGTCACTCTAACGGGAATTTGAGCCTCGGAGCGGCTCTCCTGCTCCTTCTTGATGAAGCGACGCAGCTTCTCGTGGAATTTGGCGGGAACTTCAAGAGCCACGCTGCTGAGTTCCTCTTGGCTGTTGATGAGGCTAAGAATATGCTTTTGGGCGTCATCCAGTGCTTTCTTAAATGCACGTGCCTCAGCATCCGTAGGCTTGACACGAGGAGGCTGGTAAGCGCCTTCAGCAGGATCAGGGCCCTCGAAGACGAGGAGCACGGGAAGATTGGACTCTGAAGCTTCCGGTACAACAATATGGACACCGAAATCCTTCTTGATTCTTGGCGTGATATCGTTGCGCAGATGCTGGTGGAAGAAGGGATCAACGGGGACAGTCTGCATGCGCGACGGCGGGTGTCCGTTCAGAATGGCAGTAATCTCCGATTGCGCACGAATGGCGTTCTTACCCTCACGGGAGTACAGCTCCCAAGGTAGGGCGCCGTCTTGAGAGAATGGAGTGTTAATGTGAGTGCTGTAAGTCTTCTCGAGACGCTCAATCTCTCTGCGCTGACGAAGGTACCTGGTGATGTTGGCAGCGTGAGCAGCGGCTCCGCCAGGGGCATTGCGGTGAGATCTTGAAATGTCAATGTTTGACATTTGCATGCCCATGGCGAGGTCCATGGCTCTCTCGAGACCGGCCTGCACCTGGGAGGGAGGTCCAACGACGGTGATCATATCATCGTCTTCCTCTGAAGGGAACAGGATGGCACAGCCAGTCTCGTTGAAGAAGTCCTCCAAGGGAATGCCACGCTGTCCGATAATGAACTGGTGCCTGCCTCTTTGGATGGAAAGCTGTTCGGCTTCCAGCTGCCTCTGCAACTCAGCGGCGCGGCGTTCAATATCAGCTCGAGCCTTCTGCACGGCAGCACGGTCACCGGCAAGCAGAATATGCTCGTCATCTACACCGGCAGGGGCAAACACGGGCCGTTGACCAGGGGCTGGTGCAACCGGAAGGGGCGCGGATGAGTACAGCTGCTGTGTGGGGACACGGACCTGAACTCCATTGGCTTCTTCGAGTGCCTGCGCCAGAGAGTTTCCAGGTCCGGCGATGAAGGGGTAAAAAGCAGCAGGGATGCCCCGCACTTTGGTCTGAACGTTAGCAGAACGTTCGCCAACAATCTTGAGAATCTCATCCCGGGCATAAGCAGCAGCGAGGGCATGGCCCTCCACGATGACATCGACTTCGGCCTCGCCGTCTTCATCATCGATAGGCTGGCTCTCATCAGACTTGGGCAGCTGGATCTTGGCACCAGTCTTCTCCTGGAGAGACTTTATTGTGGCACCACCCTTGCCGATGATGAAGGCTCGGCTGGATTGAGGAATGGGGACCTTGATGGAAACCTTTAAAGGGTAAAGAGGAAGCAATTAGCAAGGGACGCCAGGCCAGAAATGTGGACAAATTTTGAGTACATACCTTCAATCCGATCTGACCAACCAGATCCTTGAGTGCCTGTTGAGCGGCTTCCTGAGGACCAGTAGCAATGAACTTGAGGTGACCATTGGGAGACTGGGTCATGGTAATGTTGGCACGAGACTTGCGGTTGATATCCTTGAGGATATCGGGGATTGGCCGTCTAAGCTCGGAACGAGGGCGAACGTGATGAGGAGCGAGGGTGTAAGTCTCAACCCTGCGTCCAGGAATGGCCATGGATGGAGTGGGTGCCTGGGCAGACGGAGTCGAAGTGCCAGATGCCGGAGTGGACGAACGAGAAACGCCATTGGAGCCTCCGTTGGCATTGCTCTTGGCCCCCCAGATGGGGGCAACGCTAGGGCTCTTGCCTTTAGGGGCTCCAAGCTCCGGGAAAAGCTCGTGAGACTGGGTATCAAGAGCGGCTTGCTTTGGCTTGCCAGCTGCCTTGACAGCGGGAGAAGATCCAGAAGCAGAGGCCTCCTCAGTCGGCTGCGTGGGCAATTCGTCATCCGGCACATCTTCAACAGTCACATGGTGCTGCTGGAGACGTTGGGCAACGGACTCTTCGCCAGCATTGGCGAGGCCGGCAGCGACAGGTTCTTCGGAAGCCATTATAACACTCGAATTGGGGGCGTCACACGTGGATGGAGACTAGATAGGAACACTGGTTCGACAGCAGTAACAAGTTAGCAAAGGGCACTGGAGATTCTCTTGGGCAGCCATTGAGGACAGCTGGGGTGGGAAATGCCGCGAGCAGTTGCTCCAATGGCTGCAGCAAGGCAATCGTCGCCAAACTCACCACACTGCAGTATGTGCTGACAAGTACAGGTAGCCTTTGGGCTTTGCGGATAGCGGCACAAGACGTTTACGAGACCAGATAGCGGGGATTCAGGCGATGCTTTTTGTTAGAGTCTGTGGTGTCTAGAACATTGTGCAGACAAGCCAACAGACGACGAATACCAGAGACCAGAGGGGAGAACCAGAAGACAGGCGGCGGCCGGGCGACGACAAGCAGAGCCGATGAAGCAATTTGGGGAGAGATGAGGATAGTTGAGGGTGAGGTGGAAGTTTCTCCAGCGTTCTCCAAGGAGCTCAGTCCCTGAAGGTACGTACCTCGCTGGCCTTATGCCACGACGACGACCCCAACAAGCTCGGAGCGGGACTCTGAAGTGGCGGCTGCCAATGGCACCACCGCCGAACCATGGCCGTGCTAGAGCTCCGCTTCTCTGCCGCGCCAGAAGCCAAAAAAAAATGCCCATTGCCCCGAGAGGAGATGGAAGATTGAAAAACGGATCACGAGGGAAATCATGTGATGCTTATTGGGCTTTGGGGCTGTCTTATCGCCCTTATCGAGGGACTGCAGCGGATATACCTACTGTTGATATAGAGTCGGAGTATAAGACCACATAGGAATTAATTGATCTTTATCCCTCGAATATCTACCAAATCTTTTATTTCATTGACATTACTGTTATTAATACCTACCTACTAGTATATAATAAGACTTTTTTTATCAATTGCAATGCAATTTTCTTTCTTCTGAACATCGCCGCAGAAGCAGTTTAAACTCAAACTTTATACGTGCACAATCCGTTGGGTTCTCTCAATCTTCATCTGGCTTTCATACCATCGCTGCCTGTCGTCATAGTTACTAATCGAAGCTACTGCGTATACCATATACCATTTCTCTCCATTTCGCGAGGAGTTCACAACTGGTTCTCCTACCACAGGCGCAGTGCACGGGCCTAGGCACCTACGCATCTAGTTGGCGGTAGGAGACCGCAGTCACCGAGTACAAGCTTTGAACTCGCGATGCTGAAAAAGCAGAAGGGAAAACCAAATCATACTAGAGTTTTTACTTGCATGGAAACTCCGAGACAGGTATGTTATCCTCAGATAGCATTGCTACGATGTCGCCTGTTCAATGAACAGACATCCTAGTATACGTGCCATATGTCAACTTATACGGATTCCATTTACCGCCAAGCCGCTGGCTGAAGCAAGACGACCCTGTGCTGGAGCTTCGCCAAGCTCTCTTTGCCGTCGTCAACACGGGGTAGATTTTGAATGCTGTAGTAACTTGAGATTTATCCAGATTTGCAATACACTCAACCGTGCCTACTTGCATACTTTTATCACCACCACACTCCTGTCAAGGAAAGGAAAGAAAGAAAGGAAAGAAATGGAAAACAGATAAAAGAGCCGAGGCCCGGCTGCCAGATTAAACTGATAGAAGAGTCGAATAGACAAGTGATGGTACTCCTCTTCGTATCCAACACTACTGTAGTGCTGGTATTGATCAAAGGCGCGTCTCATCGAGAGACAGGCCAAGCGCCCGATCCTGTCTCTGCCATGTGTCGACCTGAGACCAAAACTCAGGCTAGCAAACGCGAAAAAAAACCACCCTTTGGCGCCTGCGAGATCTCAATGGCTGCGTTCGGCCCGCCAGTGCCGTTGTAATAGTCTCCGTGAAGGGAGCGCTAGGCGTCACGATCCCTTGCTTGTCTGGGACGTGAGGGCAGACTTCAAGGGATACCCCTGGTCAGATCGAGCTACTGCTGTGTTATACGAGGAGAGAAAAAGCAAAGAAGTTGAGACAAAGTTTTCCGTTTACTGTACGCTTGGCTGAGCGTCAAAAATCAATCGCTGCATATTTCATAAGCACAGAAAAGGTCAGCTCAAACACGCCCATCGGCAGCCCGCTTGTTACAGCTGCAAACAAGAAGCTGGTGATGGAGAAATTGCATGGAATGGGAGCGGGGTGTCTTAAAACAGCCCCAGCACCATGAAACAATGCAGCTGTCCACCGGCTTGCAACAAATTAATGAGCTGAGATGCGATGCCCTCCATCTCGTATGTATGGAGTACGTACAGGTATTACAGGTACAATAGCAGCTCCCCCTTTGCATACCAGACGCATTGTGAGAAGTGACCATTCTTTGCGATCGATATTGTCCTGCAGGGATCGCTAAAAGACCCAGCGGCGGCTCGTCTCTGGAACAGCCTCGTGTCTTCAGCGAGCCACGCCCAAAGTGCACTAGGCTGCATAGAACCCGACGTCGTCAAGTCCAAAGCCGCCAGCAGATCCTAATAAACCTTCTATTATATGCGTGATGCTGCGAGATGGCTCTGAACATCATGCGTAGCACGGCTGGCTTACAAGGCTATAAGCGTTAAGCCCCCTACATACTAGGCGCCGGCGTAACTTGGAGCTGGAGGGCTTTTTGCCCTTCTTCTGTAGGGCTTACTACATCAATTGGCCGTTGGCTATTGTTCTTCCAGCTCCTTTGAGATTTTAAGTCGCAAAAGCCACCAACAGCAGCGCTAGTATAAATCGCACTGGGCCACAAAGCATTGGAGAGGAAAAAAGAAAAAAAAACGGAGCAAAGCCAGAATCAAGAATCGATACTGTGCTTGTGAGAGGCTTTTTTTTCCCGGCTTGTACGTATTGTATAGCTGGGCATCAATTTTCGAATCTTGGTATGTACTTCGTATTCTCGGCTGCAGTTGGCCCGTTACATGATTCTGCCCAGAATCGTAAGGAATAGCGCCTGATGAACGACTGGGCCTGTAAGTGAGCAGGGCTGGCAGGGCCGTATTTGGCGGCGATCTGCGCCAGTGACGATTTCAGCAGCAAGCAAGCTGGGAATTCTGGGCGCAGCACAAGCTTCCCCAGCAGACGACCGGGGGGCCAGATACGGGGCAACTGGATCGATTGACTGGGCACACTGTAGCACTCGGCGCACGCAGAGACAGCAGACAGAGGTGCGATTTGTCCGTCACAAAGCAGATATGCTCCTACACAGCCGTCACAGCGCATTGCGTCTATCGAGGCGGTTTACTTGGCCGAGTCCCCAGTAATAAACGCCTCATGCAGGCCTCATCCTGGCCCGGCCTTGACTGCACGTCTTCTTTGTGCCACTAAGCGCGGGCCCCTCCCCCTCCTTCATACAGCGATGCTCACCAGCCTGTCTGCGCTATATCCACCATGTGCCCGCGCCAGCTCCGCACTGTGTCTCTACAGTGCTTGATTTGGTTTCTAGCTTCATGTTCCTTATCTTCCCTCTTCTGATATACCCAAAGTACGAGTATATGTATATGTAGATGGTGAGAGAGAGATTCGAAAAGAGAGAAGCTGCTGCCATCGACTTGGGTCAAGCAGGACATGCAGGTGAGAAGGATCATGTCCATGTACCAATCACGTAGTAACGAATATTGAGAATCGCGGGCCTTGATCAGGGCCATGGCAGCCTTCACCCAATGGAGGAGCATTGACTTATACCTGGCGGCGCAACTCGAGACTGCGCGCGTATTGTGCTTCTATTTTGGGCGGTGGCTCATTCACTATGCGCTCTGCCAGCCTTGGCCTGTTGGATGAATGAATACGAATATGTCGCATGCGGCGGTTCCAACAGACATTCACTCAAATAGAGATGGATCTAGATGTTTTTGGAAAAAAAAAAATGATCGCCGCCGATTTGTTATATCTGTGCGTTGAATACTTGCAAGTGCCGCGCGAGACAGTTGGTGGTCGATTTGAGCTTGTACCCCTTGTTGACCCGCAGACGCAGCACAGTGCATTTTCACTTCCGGCTCACACGCTGGCGCCCCTCCTCGGCCTATTATCTCTTGAACAATCTGCCACCATATGGGGCCCAGGACAAGAGCAGGCAGGGAATAGCAGGACGAGCCAAAATTGAAGGTGGACGGGATAGAGAGAGAATCCCGGAAAGCAGCCTTCCAGAGCGTGGTGTTTCGCTCGGGCTCCGTTAAGATTTGCACGTTCGATGAACTGTGCCAGAATACTAGTGCTTCCGTACGCCATCTCACCTCGCCTTCTTTGTCGTGCCATCACCTCGTGCCTCATCCTAATAGCCTCACCCGTTCGCAACCGCATATAGGTCCTTCACCCCGGACCATCGTCGAATCCCGGTCAGTCAGTGTCTTCGCCCCCATCGCAGCCTGCTCTGGGCAATTGGTTGGCCATTGTTGCGCCGCCGTCTTTTAAAATAGTCAGTCGAACCACGGACGGGCCACGGTCGGGGACCCTCACTTTTTGTGTGGGCTGAGACAGTCTTAGGTAAGGGTGCGTGCTCGCAGCAGCAGCAAAATCCGTCCATCCCATTCGATCCATCATGGACCGCCAGAGCCCGCCGTTGAACGGCAATTCCCAGCGTCGCAAACTCATCAAGCGGCCCCCCTCGCACCAGCCCTACCCGCGCTCCTCGTCTGGCTACGACACAGAGTCGCTCGACGGCAAAAGCTCCAGCTCGCGCAATCTTCGACGGGCCCCCAGCGCTCCGCCAGTGCGCTCCAACGCGTCCAACGGCTCGTCTTCCCCGCGACCGCACCCCTCGAGCTTCCAGCAGCGAACGAATGCATCGCCGGGCCTGGGCCAGGGCGAGTTCTCCCGCACCAACCGATACCGCCTGTCCGACCCCAACCAGAGCGACCGCCGCGGCAACGAGGACCTGATCGGAGCGCCCTTTGACGGCAACAGCATCCTCAACCACATCGAGGCCACCAAGTTCACCAGCTCGCCGCCGCCGTCGCTCGTCAAGGCCGCGACCGACCCCCGCTTCGCCAGACCGTCGCCGAGGACCTCTGCAAGTTACGGCGGCGCCATGGATCCCACGGCGCTGGAAAAGTCCCAGGCCGGCCGCATGGCAGACGCCGGACTCATGAGCCCCAAGCGCTTCTCCGACGAGGGCAAGGACTCCAAGCCCACGACGTCGCGCAAGAAGTCTGGCTTCTCCGGCTTCGTTAACAGCCTGGTCGGCTCGCAGAGGAAGCCCGTGATCTCAGCGCCCGAGAACCCTGTGCATGTCACGCATGTGGGCTACGACAGCACAACCGGCCAGTTTACCGTCAGTCCAGCCTTTGGTGCCATGTTCCGCGGCCACCTGAACCCCGCATGGCGATGCAGTTGCTGATGCTAATGTCCAACCAGGGATTGCCCAAAGAATGGCAGCGACTCATCAACGAAAGTGGCATCTCCGAGAAGGAGAGGAGAGAGAACCCTCAGACCATGATTGATGTCCTGACCTTCTACAAAGAGACCACCGAACGACCAGCTGAGGATCAATCCCTCGAGAAATTTCATAATGCTGCGGCAGATTCTCGCCAATATGCCGTCTCCCCGACATCACCCAACACATATCCCGGCAACTACTTTGGTATGATTTTTTTTTTTTTTCTTTCTTTCTCTCTTTTTCTCTCTCTCTCTTTTCCCAACTCTCTATTTCAAATTCTATTTGCTTTTTCTTTGTTATTGTGATTGTCGAAGCAGCCGTCTAACTACCAGTTTGCCAATGCAGGAAGCTTTGAGAATCCCCGAGCACCACCTCCAGTCCCTGCCGGCAGCAGAGGTCATCCCTCCGGCCCGGTCAAGGAGATCATGCCGAGTCGACCAGCGCCGAAACCTCCGATCAGCATGAATAACCGGCCACTGCCGCCCGGCGCATATGCCACAAAAGATTCCGGCATCGGTATGAGCCAGTCGTCGGACGACAGCCGCTCAAAAGATGGCACCCCGACGATGCTTCCAGAAGAGCATAGATCACGGTCTAATTCTCGCACCAACGGCCTATCACCTTATACTCCCCAGACTCCTTCCCCCAGCACCGCCACCCAAGCCAATGTCTACCAGCAGCAGTTGATGCAGCAGCAACAGGAGCAGGCCATGGCACAAGCCCAGGCTGCCATGACTGGACAGGTTGCCCGAGCTCCCAGCAAAAGACAACAATCTCCGCATATGGCGGCCGGTGCGGGATACGCTCGCGCCCCCGAAGCCAACGGCCATCATGCTGCGCAGCGCCAGCAGCCTAGTCCCGGCGCACCAGCGGCTGCTGCAGGCGCCCGCCCGCGACAGCGAGTCCGCCAGAGCAACGGTATGGACGTCGTGGCATCACTCAAGCGGATATGCAGCGAGGGTGACCCACGCAACATCTACAGAAGCTTCACCAAGATTGGTCAGGGTGCTTCTGGAGGCGTGTACACAGGCCATGAGAGAGGAACCAATAGATTGGTGGCTATCAAGCAGATGAACCTGGAGCAGCAGCCGAAGAAGGATCTCATCATCAACGAAATCTTGGTGATGAAGGACAGCTCTCACCCGAACATTGTCAACTTCATCGACAGCTACCTCTGCGACGGCGAGCTTTGGGTGGTCATGGAGTACATGGAGGGTGGCAGTCTTACCGACGTTGTGACTTTCAACATCATGACAGAGGGACAGATTGCTTCCGTCTGCAGAGAGACATTACGGGGACTTCAGCATTTGCATTCCAAGGGCGTTATTCACCGTGATATCAAGTCTGACAACATTCTTCTGTCCAGCGATGGCAATATCAAGCTCAGTGAGTCATTTTCTCTTCTTGCCTTATTTTCAGCTCAAGCCCCCTTTTTTTCTTTTCTTTTCCACGCAATGCTAATCATATATCGCTCCAGCCGATTTCGGTTTCTGTGCGACCATCAACGAGGCCCAGAACAAGCGTACCACTATGGTTGGCACGCCTTACTGGATGGCCCCAGAGGTCGTCACGCGAAAGGAGTACGGCCGCAAAGTCGACATCTGGTCTCTGGGCATCATGGCCATCGAGATGATCGAGGGCGAGCCGCCGTACCTGACCGAGTCACCCCTCCGCGCGCTGTGGCTGATTGCTACCAACGGTACGCCGCAGATCAAGAACGAGGGCGATTTGTCCCCGGTATTTAGAGATTTCTTGTATTTTGCATTAAAGGTGGATCCTGAGAAGCGAGCCAGTGCACATGATTTATTAAGAGTGAGCTTTTTGCCTTCCTTCTTTACCCTTAATTATTTCGTCGTTGCTGACTCTTTTTTTCTTTTTAGCACGAATTCATGAAATCATGTGTCGATCTATCACAACTGTCACCATTAGTAAGAGCAGCACGAGAGCAACGAGCCCAGGAGAAAGCTCGAAAAGGTTAAGCATTGTTTTATTATTCCACCTCATAAACCCTTCTTTCTTCCCTCTTTGTTTAGAGGAAAACCAACAACAGCTAGAGGTGCCAAATCCCTCTCCCGCCTTTTTTTTAATCGTCATCAACGGAGAGGAAGAAAGGAGGAAATTTACTTTGAATATTAGAGACGACTCTTTACTCCCCTAACCCAACCCCCTTTTCCATCTCTCAATCCTCCTCACAATATTTCTACCAGCATGTCTTTACAGGAAAGGGGGGATTTTCTAAACTGGGGTTATTGCTATGTGTATCTAGAGCCGCAGGCTCCTCTTACCATGTGTTTGTTCCCATCTACTCTTTTTTTGCATTTTCTTTATTCATTTCTTCTGGGGGCACTTCTTACGAAACTAGTGCTGTTGCTTCTTATCTTTTTTTTATTTATTCCTACATGTCTTTTTTTTTTATAAAAAAGAAAAATCAAGAGTTAATACCCAGGGTGAAATAATAAAATGCATTCTTCTCGATAAAAACAATTTGCTTGTAAATGGGCGCCTTGAGAGAGTTTAGGGAGTGGGGTACCCTGTCAATATATTATACTTTGTATGCTTTTATATATGCTTTTTTGGTGTTTTCCTTTTTGAGCAAGTTTAATATGGCGCCTGTCAGTTTTATGCTTTGTATACTTTATATATGCTTTTTTTTTTTTGGTGTTTCACTTTTCAAGGAAGTTTAAATATGGCGCCTGTCAAAGTGGTGAGTCTATACTTATAAAGTATGTGGGTATGATTGCGAGAGTAGATAAATAGGATCGAAGAACTGCTGCCCAGTGATACAAAACCGATTGATACCAGCGTCGACTATTAAATATCTTTTTGAAGCAGAGAGTAAATCTCGTTCAAATTATTAATTAAGACATTGGTCATCAGCGAATTAGAGTCTTGATATGAATTGTAACAGCTCAAGGCCACTTTATTAATGACCTGCCATCTTTGGCAAGATCGAATTTTCATCTAAATATCTCTAATCTTCGTCATTGAACTCGACGTCTAATTCCCTCTATGCTCGTCCGGCTCTGTGTACCCCGACCAGCAGACAGCAGACCCAAAGAACTCCAAACAAGTGAAATCAGGAAAAAAAAATGCGATGCAACTCTCGCGATAATAAAAAAAAAATCATGATCATGCAGTAGCCTAAAGGCCAACCAAACCCCTATTTTTATAGCTACCCTCAAAATCGACTGCAAATCTCATGCATCGATATCTCCCAAAACTCCGATGCCCAAGCCTTGAGGCAGTGGACAGTGTCGCTTCCGTGATGATATTAATGTGTTGTGATATATGATGTGCCATGCTAGAGGAGTTTTCGTCCTTTAGTAGCAAGAGTAACCGCCGTCAATGATGACGTTGGAACCAGTCATGAAGCTGGAGGAGTCGGAAGCAAGGAAGACGCAGAGACCGTTGAGCTCATCAACAGCACCGAGACGGTCCTGAGGAGTCAGGGACTTCCAGATCTTCTTCTGGGCCTCAAGGGCGGGGACGCGGTTGAGGGCAGTGTCCATGTAACCGGGGGAGATGCAGTTGACACGGATCTTGTACTTGGCCCACTCAGCAGCGATGGACTTGGCGAACTGGATGACACCGGCCTTGGAGGCGTTGTAGCAGCTCTGCTCCTGGGGGTAGTTGACGATGGAACCAGACATGGAGGCAACCAGGATCAAGCTGCCAGGCTTGCCAGCGGCCATCATGGCGCGGCCGACGGACTGGGCCATCAGGAAAGAACCAGTCAGGTTGATGTCGATGAGACGACGGAACATGGCGGGGTCATAAGTCTCAGCCTTGATGTTGGAGTCGGCAATACCGGCGGCGTTGACAAGGACGTCAGGGGCGCCATAAAGCTCGACAACGGAGTCAACGGCAGCGTTGATAGCAGCGCCGTCACGGACGTCGACCTTGAAGAAGGAGACGGGGAGACCAGACTTCTGGTGCAGCTCAGCAGCGGAGGCGTCTCCGAGCTCCTGGTTGGCATCGAAGATGATGATGGCCTTGGCACCAGCCTCAGCGCAGGCTCGGGCCATGTGGTTGCCCAGACCACGAGCACCACCAGTGATGATGATGACCTTGTCCTGGACGGTCATGCTCTTGACGGTGTGGGGGAGCTGGTCGTAGACCTTCTTGTTCAGGGGCTCAACCTCCTCGCGCTCGGCGGGGACGGGGCTGTCGTAGGGGACCTTGGCGGCGCCCTCAGGGACCTGGAGAGTCTGGTGGGCGCCCTCGCCAGCGCCGTAGACGGTGACGGGAACCTCCTTCTCGCGGACGACGCTCTTCTTGTTGGCGGTGTCAGACACGCGGACGGCGCGGGTGGCAGAGAAGAAGCGGACGGCGTTGCTGGGGGCAGCAACACGAGAAGCGGCTGAGAAGTTGGCGACGCGGGAGGCGCGCAGCATGCTTCGAGTAGAGAAAGACATTGTGAATGTGATGTGTCTTTTGTGTGTGAAGATGGAGGAGATGGAGGAGAAAGGAGTTCTTCGTAAGGCGGTGTAACGAAGGCTCGCTGTTGTAGAGGTTGGAGGAGATGAAAGATTGACAAACGATGGAGGGAGTTCTTGCGGTATAAAAAGCCTTGAAAGAGAGATGACTTTCTGTCTATATGCTCTTGATTGCTTGCGGGATGAAGAGGTGCTTGGTATGCGGAGGGAAAGGGAGAATGGCTGCTTTCGAACGGCCGTCGAGGCGTGTCTTGATATAGATTTCGGCAAAGTCACAGCTGGAGGATGTGGGGGCGATACCTGGCAAAAAAAAAGTCGAGGGGCAGTAGCGCAGTGGGTCTTCGGTGGATGCGTCCAGGGGCTGCAGTGGGTGTGCATCTGGGTCTCAGCGATGGCGAGTGGGTTTTTAGTGGGTGTGGGCGCTGCATTCGACTAAAGCTTAGCGCGGCGGGAGGTCCGGCAGCGCAGGGCCCCTGTAAGACGTTCCCAAGTGCGGTGCAGCGCTGCATGTACGTACTCAGCCAGGAGGTGGGATGACTGCGAGGAGAGGAAAATTCTGGACGCGGCTTGCTCTAAAATTAAATCCAGTGGCTGCCCAATGGTGACAAAAAGTCGGCTCACGCGCGCCACATCGGGGGTACAACTACAATTGCAATTCCAATTGGCAAAAACTCCGTCTTCGCAGCGCGAGTTACCGAGAAACCGTGCCTCTCAGAGCACAATAGGTACATGTGTACATGCAGTGGTTGGATGACCTGGAGGGGCAAAGAGGAGCGAATACACCAGTTACCCCTCTATTCCCATCCACCGCTGGGCTCCGGTGCCTGTACCAGTACAAGATCTTCACCACCCGTCCTTCGTGCACTATCTTGTTGTTTCGATTCTCCCTTCGACAGCTTTCTTGGTGGCGGACCCGTGGATAAGCACCGTTGTGTGGATTTTTTATGGGCGTGTGACGCAAGGCAGTGCCGATTCCTTCTCTGGTTGTGATAGCACGGGGTTTCGGAATCTATCTGCCTTGGTTGATATCGCTGACAGCTGCTAGACCGACCGCCGTCTTGCCAGAGCCGCGATGCCGATCGAACGTGAGATTTACTTGGCGGGAGCGCGGTGCCAAGATGAACAACATTCCGTGGCAATGCTAATCAGCTTGGTTTACATCACACAAAATCCATCCTGCTCTGCATCGCTGCCAGAAGAGAGTCGAGGCCATGCAAGTAGCAGCAAGAAGATGCGTTCTCGGCCGCCCGCCGAAGCAGTCTCCATATTCTTACTGCGCCCAATTGGACAGCGATTGGACAGGAAATTTTTTTTTTTTTTTTTTTTTTTTCTTTGGCTGCGCAGACCCTGTACAGATAACGTGGCTTGGTAAAGTTTGTGGTGTTGTGGCAAAAAGCGACAATGGGCGTTGGTTGGGCGCTTTTCGCCTTCGATCGGGGTTCACTCAGAGATCTGTTGCCGTGTCGGATCCGAGTACTGTACAGCACAGAGTCAAAACCTGGGGTTGCACTCTGTCGCTGCATCTGCAACCAGACGATCGAGGCCACGATCGAGGCTGGACAAAGCTCTCCCCGAAGAAGAGGAAATTTGCTGAAGCTCTCCCCGCCACAATGCAGTGCAGGCAGGCTAGTCTCGTCCTGAACGCGGCAGAGACACCACGGTGAGACACGGGCAAAAAGGGTTTGGAGAAGCCCAAAGACGCGGTTTGTTCCGCTTGCGAGGAGGGGTGCGCGAGACGCCCTCCAGCCTGTGGCATTACTGCAGCAAGCCAGCGCCAAAAGATTTCAAATCCATGGAGTAAATGTTGAGAGTATCTTTAAAACACCATTATTGGACCGATATGTCTTGACAGTAGACTGCCTTACAAAAGATACGAGGTACTAAGTCTAGTAGACAGAGGCATCAAACTACCTACATGTATGTACCAGGCATCAAAAATGCTGGCAGCTTCGCATCTGCCGCCCGAAGTCGCCGCAGTAGCAGGGGGGTTGCCGGCGAGCCCAGTGCTGCAGTAGCACTGCTACCACCACACCACCACGCTGCCGGCCGCTGTGCCGCAGCGCTGGGCTAGCACTGCCCACACAGCATCTCTGCCGCTGGAGTTGCTCGGTGGCCCAACGCAAACCTCGCAGTTGGCATCTCCGCTGAGACCTGAACTCAGTCCCGTGCATGAATCTCTGTGTCAACGTTTTCTGGACTCTGTTGCCAGTCCGAATCCATCCGCAAACCTCTCCTCATCGCCTTTCTAGACCTCGATGGACCTCCCAGGCATCTACATTCTTTGGCGCGCCCGTGGGGGTTCCCACTGAGCCCGTTGTGGTTCCTGGGTGCGACGGTAGATGTGGCGTTGCCCGGAACGTCTTGGCGCAACGCAGCATTCGGGTCCCGCCTGGAGCATCGTGAAGTCAAGCTACTGCTAGCAGCAGACGTTGGAGAATGCGGGATCGAGGGCAGCCACAGCTATAGCTACATGCACACTATCAACCTCACTGCAAGGAGGCTGTGGTCGTACATGCAGAATATGCGGCGTGAGCGACGAACTCCTTCGGACTACAGCCTATGAAGGAATCATGCTAACCTACATAGTATATTAGAGGAACTTTCCCCCAGCCAAAGGATTGCGGCAGTCTCTACATAAGGAAATCTTCGACACCGTGGCTTACGCTCCCATCTTCTAAGAAACGATGACCAAACGGAACCCTCTCGTTTCCAAAAAGAGAAACATTGGCTGTGGCAGCCGATGGTGCTGTAAAAAAATATTCCAATCAGCAGCATGAACCACATGAGCTCCTCTCGACCCAAAAGGCCCTGTATCAAATATCAAAAACGCTCTTACGAGTAGCAAGATACATCTCAGCGAGTCAGATAAAGGCCTCAATGACGCAGTTTTCCCGTCCACAGCCCTGTCTTCTTCCTGGCCAGCGTGGGTTCCATGGCGTCAGCGGGCCTGAAGAGGATACCGTGGACCCCTGAATCTTCTTGATTGTTCTCAGCTTTAACGTTAAGAGGCCACGAGGCGCAAAAAACTAAGATCCCGTTGAAGCCACATATTCCAATTTTTTTTTTTCTTGTTTGCTTCACAGAATTTAATTACCAAGTGGCGGCCCATGTCAGGTCCGGTATCCAGCCTCCCCCCCACGTCCTGCGCGCCACTGAGGTATTGACTGGGGTTTCTGCATCGGCTTCTGGAAGCACGGCACACCAACATGAGCTCGCCCTAGAAAGGGCTAGGAAATTTTTGTGGGGCTGTAGCGATACTGCGGCCCACAATGGCCCACGAACGAATTGACAGAGAGCACGGTCGTCGATCAGGCAATGGGACCCGGACACTGCTTGGCTGCCAGAAGCGGAGCACTCTGCTTTCACAGAGGACGGAAAAAAAGGTACCCATACTCAGAGATTGTACGGCTCCATGCCCCCAGCCTCGTGGAGCTAGTATGGAGTATCAAAATGTGTCTGCCTAGAGGTTTACGGGGCTCTGGGGCAAGCTTACAGCAAGCCTTCTGGGGACGTCTACGGAAAATGTATCAAAGCAAGCAACGCAAGCAACGCAAGAGGGGAAGCAAGCGGGATGAAAAAATTTCTAGCAAAAGAATGGATAGGGGAGAAACCTTGGGACACGAGAAGTGCGGTGTGCTAACGTAACGTCCTGCTTGCAGCTAACGGGAACACATGCCCAAAGTTGCCGCGAACCTGCGACTTCGGCCAGGGTCTCTGTCTCTCTGACCTTTGGGCTCGGCCAAGCTGGCATCTGAGCACTTGAAGTTGCTTTTCTCGATGCAGTATGCGTGGGATGATCACCCCTGAGTCGCTGCATCATCCCACGAAGCATTTAGAAAGTCGTATTAGCGACATTGCTTCGTGTCACGAGACTGAGGCCGTAAGCGAGAACAACTAGGATCAATCAGCCATCTGACCATGCGACTTATCCGGATCGTCAGGACATGTTTCTCAGGGTCCTCGAGGCGATCAGCTCTCGCCGCGTACACCGTGTAGATAGTCTCCCCACCGTTTTACTTTAGTGCGGTTTTCTACCGTTTTCCCGCAACGGGAAGACGCCAGTGTGGTCGTTAATAAGGTTGTTCGAAGCCTCCTTGGCGAGGGAGGTCTGGCAGGGGTAGCTCACCCTTGTTAGCCCAGCTACAGGGTCTCTTCCAGCAGCGTGGAACTGATGCATACGAGTGCACTTTTTGGCCCCCTTTTTTCTCTAAAGTGTTGAGAGTAAGTTACGGTACTGATGCCTTCTTTTAGAATTGCCCAGCTGCAAACGGCGTCATGTGGTAGCTGACATGCATTGCATTGTCTCAGGTCATCGGGCGTGGCTTCAGGTGCAAAAAAAGGACAGAACATGGCCGGCATTCCTTGTGTGCCCAATGTCTTGTTCCAGCCTCTTCTCTGTGCAAAAGGTGCCATATGATGGTACTCGCCCATTTCACTTGGCTGAATTCAGACATCTCTCATTATAAACTAGCAACAAGACAACACAAGAGGAGTCTCAATCCATTGTCCCATAACAGCCGTTAGCAATTCGCAATCCATAAAGACCTGGTCAAAGCTCCTGTTCACTCTGCCTGCCGACACCCCGGATTTCGTGAACCGATGCGGAAAAATCAAACTGTCCGCATGACCACTGCGAGATTGACCTGGGTTTATTTCCGGGGGCCGGAGCACGACACCGCGGCCGGCGACGCGGGCTCCCCACGTTTCCCATTCGATGGTTGGCGACTGAGCCGTGAGATTGCCGGCTGATGGTTGGCACTGTCAGCCCCTGAGCCACCACCTTCAGCGGTACTTGTCAGCTTCGCTTTGGATGCACTCGTGTCCTCCTGACCTTGCTAAGATGAAGCTTTCATTTCGGGGCTCCGGCAAAGACGCTCCTCCTACAACGGAGCAGTCTCCCGGAAAGCTTTTCCATTTACTAGCAGTGGTCTAGTTGCCACAATAATGAGGCTCAGACCACCAACACAGGATACCACTAGCAGACTCCAAAGTTGGGTGCGGACTCCAATGCGAAGTGACCAGAAAATTTTTATGTAGCTGCCTAGACCCTCTTCTCCTCACCAGCAACAGGATGGTGTGGCCAATGCTGCATTGCCGGCAGTCGAGGCGCGATCTATTGAATTGGCGTCTCTGGATGCTTATCCACACACGGGCACACCACACGAAAACCTCCAAAGTGCGGCTCCCACGACTCACGCTTGTTCTCCAAGTATCGTCAGTTTTCAGTTTTCGAGAGACGGGGGGGCGCTTCTTGGGCGGCAGCCAGCCTCCCCCACATCGGGCAAGATATGGTGGTGCATCCCGGCCGCTCTAATCCTACCCCACGCTTCGAAGCAGCTCAATCCAACAATACGAAAAATGACTAGCTTCTTGTAAGTCAGTCGCACACTTTACAGACTGCGAGCGTGCACTTCACTTGATGCTTGATGGGAGTGTGGCGTGCCCCCTTAACACCACTTGCTCTCTGGTCAGCTCATTAGTATCACGTTGTCTAGACCGTGCCCCATCAGTTTTGGCGGCCGCTGTCGACTATCTACAGTCTACTGCTGCATTGGATTCGCGTCGCATCGCATCGCATCGCATCGCATCGCATGACTAGTATTCCGCGCCAAATTCCAGCCATCAATTAGTGGTGCTTCAGGAGGCATCAGCAATGTCGTATCGTCTTTTCCCGAGATTTTAGGTTTCTAATCTATCGTGGCCCAACGAAAAGCGAGACCCGACGACGCGTTTGAAGGCTTCAAGCAGCCTTCATGCAGATGCGGCCCCTCTCCCCCTCCGGAGCGCACCTCCGAATCCCTTGGGAAAAAAGTGATGGTCATTTTTTTCAACATGTCAAGTATATCACATGCAAGCGCCTAAGCTTTCATGCTGAAGGTATGCATTGTTTTGGCTGGTCAGGTCCTGGTGCATTGCATTGGCGCCTAGCGCCTGATGTTTGCAGTAGCATCATGTACTCTCCGTGCTTCTGCATCGTTGGGCTATCAGGTATCACCAATGGGCTTTCTAGCTATACTAGCCTCACTTGTGCCATCCTGTAGGGTGCGTCTTTACCAGGAACAGGGGAAAGCGACAAACCTTGCAGGACGCTATCTTCATAACTGTGCGTTTGACGAGCATAGTTCTCGCTAATGGAGGCAGGGGCTGTTTCGTTATCACAGTGGTATTCTTCCTTGTGAATTACTGTCTTTTCTTTTTGTTACAGCCCCAGCCAGTAAGAGGGCAGTATTCAAGTGGTATAACCATTTTGAATATTTTACCTGTTCCAATAAAGGATTCTTGCAATAGCTCGCTATAAACCAGTCCCTAAACGGAGAGCAAGCCAAAAGGCAAGTATAACCAATCAAACTTGGCTCCCTAAAAATAACTATTCTTCCTCACTATCCCACATCCTCCATCCATCATTACCCATAAACGCCGGGGTATTAGAACCACGCGGGCTAAACCTCGTATCATGTTGTACTGTTACATGTCACATTACCCCCAACCTCTTGCAAAAGAAAACCAAAAAGTGCAGAGCAAAGTAGCCAGTTAATCAGCTCTCCTACCTGTGTACATCTACTAAAGTTCGTAACGCTTCTCGTCTAAAAGTTTGTGGTATCAGATACCTAGTGCATAATAATGCTGCGAGCTTTGACTATAAACGGCTTTGCGGTTCTCTAGTCGCGTTCAGGCACCGGTATAATTAGCTCCAGCAGGGACGCAATATATGGGCTCTGTAAAACAAGCTGTGTTAGCTGCAATAAACATCCAAGAGGGGGTGGGGGGGTTGCAATGTAGACAATACGTACCATGGCAAGATTTTCCGCCAAAATGCCATATAATTGTGATAAATGAGGCCGGAAGAGCTTCTCATTCCATCCTCCCTTCCCAGGACTCCTAGACTGTTCTTTGAGGAGCTCCTCTTCGGCTTCTGTCTTGACCACATTACGCGCAATGTTACGCAGCACCAGCACGGCGCTTAGCGGGATACCGCCAGCCTGGGGAGGTGCCTCGGGCGTCCGCTCATCTCGGAACGTCGGCGTCTCCTCTAGCACGATGCTCATCGTCTTTGCTGGGATGATCCACTGGTTCCGCTGGCGCCTATGCACGGCATTCGGGCCGGGGATCATCGTGGAGATGTGGGTAGTGATGTGCCGGGCAAAGCTCTGCAGGTTCATCTTGATCGGCTTCTCGTACTTGGTGCACTCGCCCCATGTGCATCGGAACTCCTTCTCGGCATTAGTGTACTGGCCGTTGGCGCCCCTCTGTTCGTTCAGGTGGGTTGTTAGGATGTGGTTCCACATCTGCTCCTGCTTTAGATAGAAATGGCCGCATTTCTCGTTCTTCTTGTCCGGGTTCGTGGCCCACAGACAGCGGCCATATTCGGTGCCATCAAATGCGAGGGGTCTTGGCCGTGCCCGAATACCGTGTATGATAAACTTCTGTTGCGGGTCACCAGGCTCTCGAAGCACTTGGGCGTTAGAGTCCTTGTAGACGGATGTGCTGTTCCGAATGAAATCTGCGGGCGTGATCATTGCTTGATTTATTGTCTTCAAGGGGGTGGCGAATGCCGACTGGTAAGCCTGCCAAGCGGCGAGCTGCGTGATAAAGGACCGGTTGTCTTCCTCAAAGAAGCACTTGACCCACTGGTGGACTCGATCAGGCTCTTCCAGTCTAAGCATTTCTTGGAGAAGATCGTCGGGCATTGGAGCAATTTCGTCTCTCGCTGGTAACCTCTGCTCTGGCGCAATTGTGTAGTCTCTGGTATATTTTCGAGCACCATGGGCCAACAAGCGAACGAGTTGCTGGACCAAGTTGTCGGGGACGATAGATCGTACTAGATTGTCAAGGTTGGGCACGACAGCAGTGTATTGGTAGAGAAAGTCGAGACAAGCATCAATGAGCTCATCATCGTTCAGCAGAAGCCAATTCACGATTCGCTGGAGCACTGGACCTGGAACTTCACCCAGCTTGTTTGTAGCCTCCAGATTCACAGAAATCCTACCAAGTGCACGAAGTGCTGTCAGAATGGTTCCTCGATCTTCCGATGCTAGCTGGGATAAAAGGCTCTTGTAAAGGGGGTCGTCGGATTCCAGAGCCATGAACGGTGTCAGCTGTTCTGCAATATCAAGAGCAAGTTGCTTGACTTCTGTAAGAGAATCCCTCGCCGGCAGGTGCAAAAGAATACATATCAGATCCTTCACCGGGTGAAAGTCCGACATGTTGTGCGCATTTTCGGGCAGCGTTACCATGTTTCTGATGGTAAGTATAGCCTCCGTTGTCAAGACCATCTCATCTGCGAACTTTTCGGTCTGGATAACGTCTGGTATCTCCCGTTCGATCAGGTTTTCGATTCTCTCTAGGATATCCGGCGTGCCGTAATTGCCATCTAAGCAGCCAACGTCATTCGACTCAGCAAATGAATCCCATGATACGGTCCAGTTGACATAGTAAAAGAGACTGCCTATCTGCAGTGCCTTCTCCACAAGCCCCTCAGCCAGTCCCGGGAAAGAGTCGAACTTGTACTTGTCACCTCGCTCAAACGAGATTTTCACCAGATGGTTAAGTGCAAAAGCCTGCTCTGCGGTAACACCAGAACGAAGGGCGTTCAGGCAACGAGTATAAATATTAGGGCCATCAAAGCCAGCTGTAAACAAATAATGTTAGCACGATGTCCCTCTTAGAAGGTCTCCTCAAACTTACTGCCGGGCTGCATGGGCTGCCTGTTAGCAGCGTCCAGAGCAAAGCGATGCGGCAGCCTCGCTTTGAAGAACTCGCTCGGCGCATTGCTTGGAGTAGCTACAGGACGTAGTTGGAGCGGTTTCATTGGCTTCGGCTGGTAGGAAGTGACTAGATGTGACGTGTTTTCAGAATTGGGAGGATGATGTAAGATTGAAGGGCCGCGTGAGTTGTTGTGAATTGCCATTGGCGGCATTGGATGAACGGCTGAATGGTGAGCGGCGGCTTGCTGGCCGTGGTTAACAGCTGGTGAGGCTGAATTGTTGGCCTGCTGGTTGGAGGCCTGTCTTGTGGCTCGGGCTGGGCCAGTATCGGGCTGAAAAATGACTCTTTGGGGAGGCGCCTCACGAAGACCGCGAGAAGCTCGAGCGCTTGACGCAGGGTCTGGTGCTGGCCGTTCTCGTGTCGGGGTGCCATCATCACCAGACGCAGGGCTGTCTGTGGCCCCAACGTTGCTCTCTCTCTTGCCGCGGAAGTTTTCTCTCGTCCGTGTTAGAAGGCTCGCACCCTTAGCAGTGACATCCTCCAAGATATCTTTCGGCGGCGGTTCTTTTCCATGGACTGTTTTGATCTCGTATGCCGCCAGATTCTTGTAGAATTTCTCCTTGAGAGCAAAAGCCGTCGATGCCTCGTTATTGGAATGAAGGCCAAGCTCAGCTGCCATTCGACGCCATGCCAACTTCTCTTCTGATACTTTATCGTATCCACCATTCGCGACAATATGGTTGAAGACCTTGAACAGATCCAAATGGATCATTCCAACCTTGGGCTCTGGGTCTAACGCCGTGCCTCGTTGTGTGTGGTAATCTTTAAGTTTGTTCATAAAGTCTTCATATTCGGGCGTCCTGTCGATGGAGTGCAGCGGCACTTCCTGAGGAGAAGACGTCATTTTTTACGATTATCGGCCGAAGGTCGCTCGCACTATGCCGGTATATTGACGATTTCTATCGAATTGGACAATGCCAGGCGCAGTGGTTGCTGCTGGCAGAGGGCGCTCCAACTATTTTTGACCTGCGCGTCTGCAGTGTCGGCGAGGTTGGGATAAATGAGCGTTGTATACGGTGCAATGAAATGCGCCACGGTCGAGTTCCGAGATCCGTCCAAACTCTCTCCCGCGACTCTTATCGACAGAGGAATCGTCGGCGCCAAAGTCGCCTCGCGTGCGGTCTCTACAAGGCTGCAGCTATCGTGGTTGGCGCGGCGCGACGAAAATCGGTTGGCGCACAGGCAATCTTATCTGCACGTGAGATGCGCCCACCGCCTTGGCCAATCGGAGGTCTCCCATGGTAGCTTCCCTGGTGCATCTTAGATCAAACAAGCCCGCAGCAGCTCTTTCCACGTCTGCGAACCGACAAAACAACATAATGGCAGGACCATCGCCCTGTTCCTTTTTCAATCTCGTCTCAGCATGAAGCGCTGGCAATCATTTCATCGCACATCTTCTCATGGGATCTCTACTCGCCATTGCACCAACAAAGGACGAAATTCTGCATTTTCAGCCATGGCGGCTCCACCACTGTCCGGATGTCCTCTCAAGCGTTTGGAGATCCATGGCGGGCCCACCTGCAACACTTATGACGCTGCCAGCTTGGAGAGTTCCTTGACGGCTACCCTGGACGCGCAGAGATCTACCACGGGAAGCCATAGCAATCTATTGCTTCAGTCTCACTTGGGGATGAGACGAGTAGTTCGTATTCTACCCGATATTTTCTTCTCTTTCTTCTTTTTCCTATATACTTAACGGTCGTCTAATGGCATTAGTTCTCTATGCAACTCGAAGATCTGACCGCATCACCCGGCAGTGAAAGGGAAATTGTAGAAACGTATCAGCCGTCTTTGAGAATAAGGATCCAATTTTTTTGTACGGCGCAGACTGTTATATTTTATTTCGAAAAGGAACAAGACTTCGGTCACGCTATAATTATGCTCAAGCGCATTGGATTCCGCGTCCAAGATGGCGTCCCGCTTCAATTGCATACTTGTGCTACAACGAAGCTGGACCCTGTATCATCAAATCACTTTGGACCACGGTTAAGTTCATTTACTCCCTTAAGGAATGAAGGGCAGCAGCTTTCTCAAACCCACTTTTCGTTTACGTCAATGCTGAATTCCGACGTTCCCTTAACGCAATTACTGCCACCAGACACTCAAGGTCAATGCATTCATCAACCTTTACCCTACGACATATCACAGGAGCCGGATCTGCAGTCGTCTCCAGTACCGGCATACGCCCCTCATATAAGCCCTCAACATGTTCATCTCAACCAACGGAAGAACACGTATCAGCCGCGAATTAGTTCTCCTTTGCGACATACTATCCGAATCAACGATCAAAGTGAAGCGAATAGCCTATCGCTACCGAATAGTCAGCCAATCCCTGATACTGACCATGCAGAAATAACATCTTTCCCAAGTCATCGAGGTATCTCTGCTCCCAAATTGTTGTCCAACTTTTTGCAATTTCCTCAAGTTGCAGTTACAAATTATAATGCATCACCCGACTACCAATTTAGCCCCTCGGGAAGTCAAGAGAGTAATACTTCTGCTGAAAGCTGCTCACAAACTACAGCGGCCACCGATGACGATTTGAATTTACAACTCGGACAAGATTTTCGCAAACTAATGCCGCGAACGCGCAGTTTGCCATTTTTAAAAGGCAGAGATCACACTGTTGCTCAATTAAAGCCGAGAAACAAGTCAGATCAGCGGCACAATAACTCATGTGAGAAAGAAACGGTTCCTGAGAACGCAAATGTATTCAAAAAAGAAAAGGCCAAAGTATTGAAATCAAATAGTATCAGCTCTCAACTTGTTTTCCGTTGTACTCCGCCTCAGTCAAAAGCTTTGCAATCTGGCGACACTCCAACCTGTCGCCCATCATTTGAAGTAGCTGAGCTGCCCACCATGTTGATTACTGACCCTGCGCTGCTAGAGAGGGCAAACAAAGCCACTTCACAGCTGCTTGATCAGTACAGGACAGATGTCAATCGGGGCTCTAATACTGCAGCATACGCCGAATTCTACTTGGGGCGGCTACAGGCAGTTCGCAGAGAGTTCTGGTTCAATGAACTAAATCAAATGGATGAAAGTGGGAGTGGAAACTTGTATTAAATCTAATTTGCCAATGGCTGCTGGTGTTATCGTCCACGACCTTTGATCTATCCGTCATTTTGGGCATCTCGACACCGCTTTTGAAGAATATTTTGGGTAGGACAATACGGCATGTCGAGATGAAGCTAGATATTGCATTGATTCGGCACTCAGTATGTATTGATTGACCTGGCCTTGATACAGTACATATGGTGGTTTCCTCGCATTTCTTTTATGGAAAACGTTGGCATAGTTGTCTGGAAGTAGAGAGTTCACAGCTAGCGATATGTACTCCAAGTCCTACATATTCGCTTTTTGTAATTTAAAGGTCCAACTTGAGGCAGTGGATGGAAAATATCATACGAATGATTGAATGCCTACGTTTATTGCTCCCAGATAACGACGTTGCCTGATGCCTGAGAGTTCGTCAAACAAAAGGAGTGACAGAGTGAGGATATCTCTTGAAGCATTAACGCCAAACATGAGCGATACATGTAATAAACATGGGTAACCAAACAATAAAAGCTCTCTCAAGGGGAATCAGTAAAGTCAGCGCAGAGGAGGTAGTCTTGCTTTCCCAAGAAATCTTTCTCTTATTCCTACGCCTGCCTATCACCCACTGCACTCTTTCCTCCGCTAAAGCACCAACAGTTCCAAAAAAGAAAAACATGGCTATCCATCAAACGACGTGAAATAAAAGAAACTTCATAAACCCAGAAGAGTAAACGCAAAAGACGTGTATGAGAGAAAAAAAGAAAAAGAAAATAAAATGAAGACATGATCAATTCAAACCGTCTCGAGTAAAAGCCGTGTTAAAACAAGTTGGTATCCTTCCTATTGGAGCCCCTTTTTCCAAGAAGAGAAAAAAATAATGAAAAGAATAATGATAGCAAAGAAAATGAAAAGCAGCAGTCTTTGTGGTATCACAGGTATCTCGATTCCATCTCTTTACTCCCTCATCTTGACGTAGTTACTCGGGAAAATGCCGTGTCGTGCTCCAATTTGACCGGTCCTAGACGTATCGTTGTTAGACTTGGACAATGCACCTAACAATTAGAAATGAAGCAACGCAAATACTCACCACCAGTCGTTATCGCTATCCGTCTTCTTCAGAATTGTGATGATATCGCCCTTCTTGAAGCCCAAGTCGCCAGGCTGGTCCGCATCAAAGTTGAACATGGCCACAGCCTCGTTCGACTTCAATGCAGCCTGTCGGTTTCCAAATGAAGGCTTTGGAGCAGTGGGACGGCCAGGGGGAACCTTCTTCTCTGCCGGCGCATCATGCCACCTGTAGTCGTCGCCAAAGCCTCTCGTACCACCACCCATCGTGTTTGAGCGCGACGGTGCATTGAAGCTCTCCCTGTCGTACACATCGTCCTGCCAAGTGTTTGATCTCGAGCGGTTGGACCGCTGGCCTTCACCGTAGGCAGCTCCCTGGCGGCCCTCCCAGACGACATCGTCGTGGTTGTCGTCGTATACGGGCATATCGTTGTACATGGTGTCGTCGGACTGGCCCTGCCTCATGCCGGCAAATACCCTAGAATTGAGAATGGTCATGAGAGGAGCGGCCTGCGGCGGAGGCGGCACAGACCCCGTAAGCAGCTGCTGCGCAGTGTACCGCGTGCCATAGAGCTTCTCGTTGGCGTCACGGCGCTCGATGATGGCCGATCCTTCGAGCGACACACCGGCGAACAGGCCCTTGGTCTTGGAGTAGCTGAAGATGCCGGCCACGCTCTTGAGCGAAGCTGCACCGGCGGCCTCGGCATTGCGACCAACGGGTCCCGCAGCCAATGACACGTTGCCTCCCAGGGTGATGGACCCGGCCTGTGCAAAGGTCTTGACGGCCGAGGTGTCGTTGAGGATGAAGACGAAGTCGGTCAGCTCGAAGCCAATCTGGCCGCCAAAACCTCCTCCAAGCGTTCCAATAGCGCTGGGAGCGCTCCAAGTACCATCAGGCAGCCGAGCGACCACAAGGCCGCTGCCGAATCGACCAGATCCGAGGAATCCGGCCTTGAAGACGGTGATGATGGCGAGGCCCTTTGCATTGGAGAGGACCGACGGCGGGATGATCTTGTCCGGGCCAAACGCCTGTCGCGGATTGATAAACGACGTGAGGATCTTGCCGCACTTTTTGCATTCGGCTGTTTAGAAAGAATAAGTCAGTGTCAAGCTTCACTATTTTTTTTTTTTATTATTCCACAGAGAAAGCTCCTGCGAAGACGGCGCAGCAGGTGCCGGCAGCGCGCGAATTAATATCACTTACACGCCATGGAGGCGGGGAGAGGGTTGTTGATGCCCATCGTGTCTGACGTTGCCTGCGCAAGGCGGTCTCCCAAGCGATGCTGGCGAAAGGCAATCCGGAGGCTGAAGCAAGAGAGGCTGACGAGGATATACAGATAAAACAAAAGTATATAGAGGGAGGACTGGACGCTGCACAAGAAACTGCCTAAAGAGAGGGTGGGTTGCGTCAGCACGTCCATACAGGCAAACAAAAAAAATAACGGATAATAAGCTGGAACTCGGCGAGCGCGGCGGGGTGGAGGGGGAGCCAAAGTCCGCGGTACAGGGTACCGTCGCGTGCGGGCAGGTTCCGGCGTATGCAGCGTGTATGGAGTACCTTTTTGACCGGGATGTCGCCTGTTGCACCCTTGTTGATCGTGACGTTGCTGTTTTTATGGGCTGTTGACGGTGGACGGCGCCCTGGAACTTAGCAGTTGGGACAGCGGGTGCAGTTATCGTGACAGTGCTCGGAGCAGTGCTGGAGGAGAGTCGGAGTTCGGCTGAGGCGAAAAGAAGTGCCAACTGGCAGTCCTTTTTAGGTTCCTGTTTTCCTAGAGCGTTCGATCGATCAGAGTGCCGCTCAGCCACATACGAGCATTCTTCATTCCCAAAGCTTCAGGGCCGGCGATGGCGAGAGACGAGAAAGAAAGGAAGAAGCAGGATCAACGCAGCAACGCCCAGCAACACGCGGCAACGCTTCTACTTATACGCAACGCATGGCATTACGAATCGTCGTAAACTAACTTGGCCTGCTCCCGTGTATTTCGACTAACAAACAGCTCGACACGCAACTCATCAGCACATTGGAGGCTTTGCATTGCACCGCATCTCCAGACCGGATTTCCGGCCCCACCGCCGCGTGGTTTGCGTGGCGGTGCGGAACGTAGTCGCTGCATGTCACTAAGACGCGGCGCTGGCACAGAAGAGCAAGAGAGCGCTGAGGCGCTGAAGCGCAGAAGGGCTGGGGGGGGACTATCCGCCACTGCACCAAAAGTCAACTGACTAAGAGCACTGCAACTGCTAGCCCTCTGGCGCAGCCTATCAAATCCGTCCATCCGACTCGTCTTCCCCGGTGCCATTAATCATTCCGACACCCTTCCATCCTGAGCCTCTTATCGCCCATCGTCATCCACTTGGAATCACCATCGAGACTTTTTTTCTTCACACGGTATCGAGTCTTTTGCTTGCCCTTTGATTTTTTACTTTACTTTTATCTGCGCACTACCGCCGCGACAGCCAATAGCGTCTTCGAGCCTCCTTGACGAACCCTTTCCAGGAGCGCAATCGGCTTCGTCGCCTCCCCCCCTTCGATAACTGATTTACGAAGGAGAAAAGCTGGGCTTTCCAAACTCCAAGGCGACGACACATTTCTCGCGATATAGAGTGCTTCGAGCCACACATAGAAGAGAAGCAAATAACTACAACAAAGCGTTCATCCTAAACCACCGCCACCATGTCTGAAGCCTACGAGCGTGAGCGCCAGAACAACGCTCGCCTGGAAGAGCTCTCCTCCAAAGTCACTGCCCTGCGCGGCGTCACCGTCGACATATACGACAATGCCCGTGCCCAAGATGTCATCGACCACACTGTATGCCAACTCTCTCCCAAACCTTTTGTCGTGGAAAACATCATCAAACACTTTTTTTTGTTGCGCTGTCGCTAACGGGATTTTCGCCCCCTTATTTTTAGTCTGATACATTCACATCCATGACCTCCCAATTCAAAGGCTCAGCGTCCCGATTAACGCGCATGGCCGCTTCGGGAAACAACGTCGCTATATTGAAACTCGCGGGCATCATCATCGGAGCGTTTCTGCTGCTCTACTATGGCCTCAAATTGATCTTTTGAGGCACTGGGCGGGTCGAGAGCGATGCGAAACAAAGCGGAAAACAAACATAGTCTAAGATGGTTATGGGCGTATACATACTAGACAGGCGGGCAAGCCGTGTACAGCTATCTTCTTTTTGTCGTTTTTTTTTTCTCTTTTTTCTTTTCTTTTTGGTAATTGTCCTTTAGGATATGGGGGAAGAATGCGGTTGGGCTTTCGAAAGACAATAAATACCCTTGGCGCGATATCCGGAGTTGTTCTTATTTGATTTATATGAGCACATCAATTTTTCTTATGGCAATAAATAAATTATGGAACATTATCAATTATACAATACTTTCACGACATAAATCAGATAAGATTCATCACACCACAGGCACGAGCAATCCCGTGGCCGCGCAACTCTATACCTCCTTTCTCTTTTTTCGTGCAATCTACAAGACTCCTATCATGCAAAACGCCCATTAACATGCCCACCTACCCAATTGTGCAACCAATAATTAGAACTTCTCCCTCTTGTCTTGCCAACTGCTTCATCATGGAAAAAAAGTAAAAAAGAGGACACCCTACTGCCAGACATTGTTGAACAGATCGTCACTGCCTCCAAAGCCTCCCTGGTTGGATGTCACGTTAGAGCTAGCTCCACCGGTGCTGCTCGCCCAGCCGCCAAATTCCTCATCAGCGGTGACCTTGGGGGCAGCTGGGGCAAAGCCTCCACTGGATCCGGGGACAATTGGCGTGTTGGAAAAGGCACCTCCCTCCCATCCAAGACTGGGTGCTGATGCCTTTGGCAGCGAAGGGCTCTTTTGAGCTATCGGGGCGGCCGTGGATGGCCCGCTGCTCCACTCGTTGCCACCCCAGACGTCAGCTCCCGATAGGTTGGCTCCACCCAGCGCGGTTGCAGCCGAGCTCGGTGCAGGCGCAGGAGCGGGAGCAACGGGCTTGGTCTGGGGAGAAGAGAGGTTGAAAACCGAGTTGGATACCGGAGCACTCGGTTGCGTGGCTGGCGGAGAAGTCGGCTGAATAGTAGTGGCGGGCGCAGAGAAATCAAAGAGATCGTCCATGGCAGAAGACGCCTTGGGGACAGGGGCCGGGGCAGCAGCCATGGGAGATGAAAAGTCCCCGAATCCTCCAAATCCGGAGCTGGAGTTGGACAGGGTTGATTGGTGAGAAGGCTGTGCAGGTTGTGTAGGCTTTGAGTTGAAGAAGTTGCCTCCGCTCAAACCGCCAAAGGCACTGCTGTTAGTGGACTGGGATGCTGCTGCCCTAGTGCCCAGGCTGGCAAAGGGGTCGACTGGTGCCGGCCTGGGAGCGGCGACATTGCCTATGTTCAAGCTACCAAAAGCATCATTGAAACCGCCCATTGAGCCGCCCACCGAGCCCTGAGAGTGGTGACTAAAGGTTGGGGAGGTCGGGCCTCCGAATCCCTGCTGCTGATACTGCTGCTGTTGCGGAGGCTGTGGCTTGGGAACGGAAGCATATAATGATAGAATAGACTGTTTAAGATCCGGTCTTGATTGAGCTCCAGCGGAGCTCACTCCAGGGGTGCTTGCAGGCCGGGGCGGCGTGTTAGCTTCGCCGAGGAAGTCCAGTCCGAGCAGAGAATCTTTGGTGCCAGTCGTCTTCGGAGGGGCGGGTTCGGCCTTGGGAGTGATCCTGCCAACGGGAGGCCCGCTAGTTGCTCGCACCGGTACAGGATCATCGCTGCCGATGAGGTCTCCCACCGCGGGCGCCGGCAGGGGAGCCTTTCGAGGTGCTTGGGACTGTCCGATCGAAGCCTTCCTGATCGACTCGTTTCTTTCAACAACTTGTTTCTCTTTGACGATACTTAATGGGACATCATCGTCTGCTGCAGCGTCCAGGGTTGCAGGGTCTGGCACCGGCCCATCCATTGCCCATCTCTTCAGCTCGTATTTGGTGCGGATAAAGTTCTCTATCTTGGATTCGGAAGGGGTGTGGCCGGGGGCCAGCTTCGCTTCCCAGTACTTGTTCGCGCGCGCATTGCCCCAGTTCAAGACGCTCTGGAGCTGTTCGTCGGTCCATGAGTCCAGGTCGACGGATTTGACTCTGCTAATGTGGGTTCCCATGCCACGGTGGATGCCAGAGCATCGGATGCAGATGAAAATGCCCAGATTCCAGCTGGCCCAGCGCGGGTCTGGAAGATGATTCATTCATTAGCTTTCAGTTTGGGGATGTAGATTGACATATTCGAGACTGAATTGGCGGCAGATTGACGTACGCTTGTTCTTCTTGCAATCAGCGCAGATCTTGTTGGGCTCGAGCTTCAGGAGACTTTTGATGGTCGCCTGGTTCTGCGCCGCCCGCTCGGCGCCGGGATTTGGAGCTCGTCTCGACATGGCGGTTCGAATTTCTGTGACAAAGCAGATGAGGATTCTATAGGCGAAGATTCGATATGTCGACGGGTTTTTAAAGTATGCGGTGCAAAGAGCAGGAAAATGGCAGCCTAAAGCAACGTGTCGTGCGTGGCCACTTTGGATCTCTCCAGCAAGTTAGTTGCAACTTGACCGCACCCCACGAAGGCCGCCTCCTGTATCAGACACAGCCGGGAAGACTTCGGAAATCCGGGGCGCTGGGTCGTGCAGCCTACCCTGTAGCCGGGGGGAGAGATTTGGTGGCTTTTGTGACGGCATTTGTTTTGCAGCAGCACCGGCTACTGTAGAGCTATGCCCAGCAGCTTTCGTCATCGATGTGATACAGTATGAGCATAATAATACAAATGAGTAAATCAGCATTTTTTTTTCTCATTGCGCATGGGCGAGACTGAGCGAGGCTATGGTGGAGCGGTGTGGAATAGAATACATGTCATGCAGATGCATCATTGCAATCTTTGTCTCGCTGTATGAAATAGTAGTGCCTAGCTAGACCTTGAAACAGTCCAGGCAGCTGACAGTATGGCTCGTGGCCTCCTACTTAAGTAAGGGGCGCTGAAGCTCCCAGATTCCAGCACTATGGGGCCTCAAAGAAGCTATTGCGGCCTAGCGCTGATTCTCCAGCGCTTCGCAGAGCCTAGAAGGCACAGTACAGTGTGTCGAAGCTGGCGCTTGGCCCTCTTTTGATGATGCAATTGACCCGATTCCATTGCGGCTATACAGCGATTTGTCAAAAACCTCGTCCCAGCTCCCCGGCGTCTTCCAAATACTACCTGCCAATCCAATAACGCACGTCAAAGGGTCCCCTCCATCGAGACATATAAGAAGACATCTCCGTCGCCTCTTGCTGTCTAAATCATCACCAACAACTTCGCCTTCATGCGCTTTGTGCATACATTCTCACGATTCATCTTCACTCTATCCAACTTCACTCGCGTTAAGCCCCCGCATCAGATTCCACAGCGCGCACTACAGCCTCTTCGATTGCAGTCCATGTCGAGCATCCCCTTCTTGAGCGCTCTATTTGGTTCTTCATCCAAACCATCATCCAACATGTCTTATCCTGACCAGCGAACCGATGACGAATGGCGCGCCATTCTGAATCCTAGTATGTCTTTTTTTTGTTCTCTTCTTTGTCAAGCGCTCATCTTGGTAACAATGTCTACAGCGCAATTCAGGATTCTCAGAGAAAAGGGAACTGAGGCCCCCGGCACTGGAGAGTTTAATAAGCACTACCCCAAGGAGGGTGCCTACACCTGCGCTGCATGCGATGCGCCGCTCTACAAGGCGACGCACAAGTTCAACTCTGGCTGCGGTTGGCCGGCATATTTTGATAGCATCCCCGGCGCGGTTACCCGGCACGAGGACCGAAGCTTTGGCACCATCAGAACCGAAATTGTCTGCTCCAACTGCGGCGGCCACTTGGGCCATGTTTTCAAGGGAGAGGGATTCCCAACGCCTACGGATGAGCGCCATTGTGTGAATAGCATCAGCTTGAAGTTTTCACCGGAAGATAAGATGGTGGAGAATAGCAGCAACGATACCAAGGCATAAGGGATGGCCACTGGGGAGAGATTTTGCAATGTGTATAAAATTGGATAACCTGTATAAGATAGCGAATGGAATTTGAATTGGAAATACACATATAATACTCCAGCTGCATCTGTTGGCGAGGATGTGCATGAATGTGTGTATATGTGCTTGGCAATCTAGATCTGGATCTAAGATTTAATCTAGCCTCGACGGGCATATCGTAATGAAACCTAGGAGTGACTACCTATAAGATAATCAAATCTGATCTATAAAAATAAATCCTCACATTAGAATGCAGGGAACATTCTATTTCGGAGGAAACATATCTGCACTTAGCCCACGATGCAGATCTATACAGTAATACAGGTCGGCATATTTTAAGCTTCCTGTTCTGACACCTGTACCGACGGTCTTAGAATAGCACCAACGTCATATTAAGATCGGCCAGTGCTATGCTAGGTGGTGCATGATAGTTTTTCTTGCCGCTAACTGTCCTTTTACCTTTTCACAAGCAAGCCAGAGCTGGAGTGAGCTAACAGCAGCTTCTCTAAGCATGTGCCTGCAAAGTCGATGCGGAGTGGACTGCCGCATTCAGCTAGACATGGACATGGAGTAGATTGTACATGTATAATACAGCCTGCACCTGACTTTTCATTACTCGAGTCACTATTACAAACTGTCCGTGGCAAGCGGGTGTCTGTTTCGACGAGACAAAGTAACGGGCTGCTTATGATTATTGATCGCACGCCCCGTGACAAGAGCCCGGAGGCGCATCAGTTGGAACCAAAAAAAGCTGGGGAAGCCCAGGGCCCGTCGGCATGTGAAAGCGCGCTAAGGAAAATGCGGGTAGTAGACCAGGGCGTTAGTTTCGCCGCATGCTCAGAGATGCCTCGGCCGACGTGGAGGGCTGACGCTACGACGTCGTTTTGTGACATTTTGGGAGACTGACAAAACATCCGAGGTCAACCGGAGCCCAGCTGCTGCTTTGATTATATACGCCGTGCACTGCATCCATTTTTCTCTCGCATCTTTGATTCTTGCCCCCTTTATAGCCTTTTTCTTCCTTCCATCACCTCCGTCACCACAGACCGAAGCATCCATCCCTTTCCCGTTGCATACTCTCGTCTTGATCTTTGTATTCTAGCTTTTCCACACCTTCATAATGAGCGGTAAGTGATTCTTGTACTACTGCATCTGTTTTTTTTTTTTTTTTTTCTTCAGCGCCAGTCTAGTAAGCTAACACGACGCCTCGTTATAGCTGTCGCACGGATTTCTCAGATCGGAGGCCAGATCTCTGGCAACCCCACTGCTGGTGGCCGCGAGAAGCTGTTGGAGAAGCACCCCGACGATGTACGCTCTGCCACAAAGCCCCCCCTTTCTCTTCATCATCCACGCGCAGTCGAAATCTCATATACATACCAAATACTCACATGGATATCGCAATAGGTCGTCGTCACCGCCGCCTGCCGTACCGCCTTCACCAAGGGCGGCAAGGGAGGCTTCAAGGACACACCCGCAGGTGATCTCCTTGCTGGCGTCCTGAAGGCCGTTCTCGAGCGCTCCAAGATCAACCCTGCCCTTGTTGAGGATATCGCCGTCGGCAACGTGCTTGCTCCCGGCGCTGGTGCTACCGAGTTTCGTGCTGCTGCCTTCGTTGCTGGCTTCACCGAGGACACCGCTGTCCGAGCTCTCAACCGACAGTGCTCATCCGGTCTGCAGGCCTGCATCGACGTCGCCAACCAGATCAAGGCTGGTATGATTGATATTGGTATTGGTGCTGGTGCGGAGAGCATGAGCTTGAACTACGGGTGAGTTTAGGAAGGAAGAAAAAAAAAAGACTTGAAAGTAATGAGGACACAAGAGCTAACAAGACGTGTCATCACAGCCCTGCCGCCGTGTCCGAGTTCTCTGATGATTTCCAGCAGAACCAGGAGGCCGTCAACTGCAAGGTCCCCATGGGTAAGCTCTCTGAGGACATGGCCAAGGATCTTGGCATCTCCCGAGCGGTCCAAGATGACTTCGCCGCCAAGTCTTACCAAAAGGCCGTCAAGGCACAGAAGGCCGGCCTCTTCAAGGATGAAATCGCTCCCGTCAAGGCCAAGGTCCAGGATCCCAAGACCGAAGAGTGGAAGGAGGTTATTGTCGACCGCGACGACGGCATGCGTGACGGCATCACCGCCGAGTCACTCGCCAAGATTCGCCCTGCCTTTGCCAAGGACGGCAGCATCCACGCCGGTAACGCCAGCCAGATCTCTGACGGCGCTGCCGCCGTGCTGCTGATGCGCCGCTCAACTGCTGAGAAGCTCGGCCAGCAGATCATCGGAAAGTACGTCGCCGGCGCCGTTGTCGGCGTCAAGCCCCTGCTCATGGGCCAGGGCCCTTGGAAGGCCATCCCCAAGGCTCTCGAGAAGGCCGGCATCTCCAAGGACGATGTCGACATTTTCGAGATCAACGAGGCGTTTGCCAGCCAGTGCCTGTGGTGCGCCAACCAGCTGGAAATTCCCCATGAAAAGATCAACCCCAAGGGTGGTGCTATTGCCTTTGGCCACCCGCTGGGCGTCACTGGTGCTCGACAGGTTTCCACACTGCTGTACGAGCTGAAGAGAACAGGCAAGAAGATTGGCAACACGTCCATGTGCATTGGTACTGGTATGGGCATGAGCGCCGTTTGGGTTGCCGAGTAAAATAAACTGGCGTAATATGAAAATGAATTTTGTACGAATAGAAAACGAGCTTTTTTTTTTGTTACTGGTTCTCGTACCTATATAGGGAGAACAATCTAATATAGAAACTATTGGATACCTGATATTTAACGAGGAAATTGATTCTTTTTAAACATTCTTATTCTTTGCCAACGCACTTGAACATTTGATCACTTTTTTCCCTCTTTAATATATTAAAAATAAAATTGAAATGAATCCGTATAGTGTGTTTATGCAGCTGGCGCGGCCAAACCATTATGCTTCCCATGCCATCATCGTTTCTAAATATCCAACGCTGTATCTGTTGTTACTGGACATTTTTTTTTTTTTTTAATCGTCTCATGCCATCTTATTCAGAAGCCTTCAATCTGCGTGCCAATATTCTTCCGCTTCGCAATCTCAACCAACTCGGTTCCAACCACCAAGTCCATCAAACCCACCCCGACGCTCTTGTACACGACTGTGCCGTCCCGTAGCCAGCGCGAGAGGGCGTCATCCTTTTGCTTCTCCTTGTCTTTATCAGACACGTTGCTCGAGGTTTTCCGGAAGTGCTTCCCAAACGGCGATCTGCTGCGTGTAGATGTAGATGTCGGACTCGAAGGGCTTGATGGCATGTCGCTGTAAACTGTATTCATGGAGGGGCTCCTGTCGGAGATGTCTAGCTCTGAGAAGGAGGAAGTTTGTGACATGACGTCGGAGGCCTCGGACTCTGACTCGTCGACGGCCATTCTGTGAAGCATGACAAGTTCGCCAAGTCTGGGGTGGCAATTGTTAGCTCACTATATCTATATAGATGCATGTATTGTATGGATATGCGGCGTGCATGATATGCTATGGGCACTTACTCAACCAGCTGGGTGGGGGGAATCTTTGCGGCAATGATCTCTCCAGCTTCTGACAAAACTCCGTCTAGTGTGTCTACCACAATAACGCCACCTTCATCGGCATGTCTGTGGAAATGTCTATGGCCCTTTTCACGGGGCTTTGTGACCAGCTGTAGGAGACCTTCGGGCAGCTCCCTCATCTCTGGTGTATAGCTCCCCACCGCAACGATGAGCCTGCCCTTCTTTCTTCCTTCATGGTTCGTCAAAATCGAGGCATCAAACAGCTCTTCCCGAGATGGTGTGCAGCAGTAGATAATGTCGGCGTTGCGGATATACTCCTTCTGTAGGCGGTTGAACTCATGGAACGTAGGCGTCAAAATTGTAAACTTGGCCGCCTCCCAGCCTTCCCGCGCCTTTACTTCGGGAGGGATAATGGCAAACTTCTTTAGAATGCGGCCGGCGCTGTCAGAGAAGCGGTGGTTGATGATGTTGACGTGCTTGACTGTGCTACCCCTCATCATGAGCGCGAGGCGGACGTGCCAGTAGGCTTGCATGCCGCTGCCAAAGACGGTTATCGTCTTGACGTGGTTGCGGCGGTAGACGAGACATAGCGAGGCGAGGGCAGTGCGGAAAGCAGTGAGGGTGCTGGCGTGGACAAGACCAATGGGCTTTCCGTCTGGAGAGAACAGGTTGACGACGCCGGTTGGACTGATTTGCTGGATGGTGGGGTCCTTGGCTGCCTCGCCGGAAGTGAGAGATACCACTTATATGAATGTCAGTTGATGAGTGCTGAGAGTGCGTGAGGCTCTATAAATTGAATGTATGTGTATGTTTACCTTTACAGCCCATGCCAGAGGGACCGCATGATGGCATATACAGCGTCGTGGCCTGAGTATCGGGATGCAGCGTGGATACTCGATGCGGCTGCTGGAAGACGCCTAGGCCATCGGTTCCCAGACTTGTAGAGAAGGCATGAAGAGCACTGGCCAGTGTCTTTCGGAAATCCTCCAGCTCATCTAGGCTCAGATTTTCTAGGATATCCTTGACCTGCTCATCTGAGAGAACAGTCAAAGTCATGTTGGCAATGAAGGTATTACCACTAGACTGTTTTCAATTAGCTTCAGGTGCATCCCGCCATAGGATCCACAGAATAGATACCTTGCGAACGAAAATCACAATGCTAAAGTTTATCAAGAGAATAGCTATGTTCGCTAAGAACTCTTTGGTGTGTTATGCAGAAGTGTGTTGGTAAATACGGCGAGTGATATGATGTAACCGTCCCTCGGCACCGGCCCGGCGTTGAGGAGTCCGGTGGGGAATCGAGTCTGGAACGGCGCTCAGTCCCAGTTGACATAGCCTCACATGCTCCTGGACTGATTCCCCACAGTCGTGCTGTTGATAAGGAGTCATCGTCGTATTCGGCTGGTTCCTTTTGGCGGAAGGCGAATTCGAATTCTGGGCTTGGCTTGGCGGTTACTCTATGGGCATGGAGGGCATGGAGGGCATGGAGCCGGGAGGGTTGATATTCCAGATGCCGGCCGATGCACTGCAAGTCTGCTACGTAGTCGACGATCCGTCTACGCTGGTAAGGCTGGATAAATAACGCTCAGGCACCGGATCAACGGGCCGTACTCGCATGGAGAGCGCACAAATCCATAATCAGGCGAAAAGAAGGAGATCAAAACCGAGCCCCTCACATGTTGTGGCGAGAGCGTTATGCTGGTTCGTTGTTTGTCTGGACTGGTCCAGGCATGTACTTTGAGGAGACGGCACAGGGCCGAAGCAAAGTTTAAAGGCACATTTGCTGTGCTAAGGGCGAATCAGCAGTGACATTGACTCCGCCACAGCGCCTACTGTAGTAGGCAGGTAGGTAGCATACAGTATTTGTACGAGGCATAGAGTAATGAGATGAAAGATTGGACAAGCGATTTCGCCGTAGCCTCCTTGCCACGTACTGGCCTACGTCACAAAGGATGCGGGCGATATCAATGTATTGAGATGCCTAGAGTGAACAATGATGCCTGGAGGATTGTGAAAGAAGAGGCGTGGTGATGAAGGGGAATTGAATTGGAGTATATAATATATAGTATGTACTAGGTAATATATAAAGAAAAAACTGAAACGCTGATTGAGGGTTCCAGCTTTACATTACGATACAGCATCTGTCGCCGTCTCAGAGCACGGGGTACCTGCGCCAGGTCGCCGGTACAAAACAGCGGGCGCAGCAGATTCGTTTCTGCCCGCTAAGCCCTGTGCCTCGCCCCTAAGCAGCGCGTATTCTCTACCTGGCGCATCTCGTACCCGCCTCGTTCCTCGTGGAAACTCGCTCCTTCGGCCGCTATACCGCAAGGGGTACTAAATCTACCTGGCCAGAAGAAGGCTTGTCACCCTCGTCTCTTGGACAACGTTCCTGACATTCCACTTCCTCCTCTGCCATCGACAAACCCGCAACCCGCAAATCGTCTCCAGATCCTCGACTCAGGCTGCATAGCGCGCGATTCTGACATTTGACTTGCCGTCTCTCAATCGACTCTCGATTTGTAAGGCCGCTGCGCGCATCGCCAACTACGAGTGATACGCTGTTCTAATAGCTGCCGGACAGCTTCGTCTACAACCCGCCAAAATGACGCTCAGGGAAGAGTTCCAGACTCGAAATTTCAGTATGTGGCCTTTGCGAACGTCGAAACCGTCGTGGATTTGAATCGCGTTGATGCTGACCATGTCCTAACAGGTATCTACGGACAATGGTAAGCCGCTGATGCGCCAACCGCTCTTTGCTCCTGGCTCTTCGCATATGATTTTCAGCGAGATTGCTGTTCGAACCAGTCTCACGATTCGATGCGCGACGTTGATATAGAGCCGGAGGCTTTACCTCCTAGAATAGACTGAAAGAGAGGATGTTTTCTAACACAATGCCAACTCTAGGTTCGGCATTCTGTCCATGATTCTCTGTTTCGCAACAGGGCTGGCCAATATCTTTACGCTATTCTCTAGGCATGCGCTCTTGATTATATTCTGCGCCCTTGCGCTGTAAGTAACTTGCGCTTTCTGAAATAAACTGGTTGCTAATCAGGCGACAAGGGCCTCATCTCTCGTCATCCTGTTCATCGAAGTGCCTCTCCTGCTCAGAATCTGCCCGACATCCTCCAAGTTCGACGAACTCATCCGGAAGGTCTCGTCCAACTATATCCGAGCAGGTACCTACGGCGTCATGTCTCTCATCCAATTTCTCAGCATTATCGTTGTGAGCTCGAGTTTGATCGCAGCAGCCGTTTTCCTAGCGCTTACGGCCATCTGCTACGGCCTTGCTGGACTCAAGGGCCAGGCTTTCATTGGAAGCAAGACCCTTGGTGGTGCAGGCATTGCACAGATGATTGTATAAAGGCTCTTGTGACCTGGCATCTACGGTGAAGAAAGAAAAGGGGACAAGGAGAGTAGCAGAGACGAAGACTTTTGACGATACGTTTTATTGCATGAAACGACGTATGATTCGAATGAGCTGGGCGGAGTGATGAGACTTGGGACTTGGACAAAAAAAATTTTGCAAGCAAGGCAAATGAGTTGAATTTTTTCTAGCCTGTATTTCTTCTGACTGCTTGCCTGGGGGTGTTTGTGGGCCTTTTTATCCAAAGGGTATTCCGGCGTCAGGAATGAGGCATGGCCTATATGGTTGATTTCAATAGCTGCTTCTGTGCGTTTCTCACAGGGCCATGTTTAGTGAAATAGAGTTTCTAAATGATGTTTACTGTTGATTTTTTATCCTTCATTTTCATTGTCTTATTTTTCTTTCTGGTTCATGGTGTCCAGATTGTCATAGTCGGTATATAGAGATTTGAGTCTAGCAATTGGCATCGTGTCAGATCTTGGGCTGGCCATTGTTCAGCGACTGTGGCCAAAGAACAGGCCTTTGATATGCTGTATCCATACTCCAAAAGAAGATTCACAGATGAAAGGTACTAGCGCCTGTCTGAATGATCAAGTTTATTTCTGTTGTAATGTAGCTTACAATTGCATTTCCGCATTAAGTATCGGTGAAGAAGTTCAAAAGGCTAGAGTTTGGGTTTGAATCACGCATCAGCCCTTACTCAGCATCTGAAGCTGACACAGAAATACCAGAATGGGCGAGGGCATTTCAGATTTTTTTTTCTCCTGCTCCACTGAAGTCTGGCGCATCTTGATTGTATCTCTCATATGAGTAGCTAAACATTTGCGAATTGTGGGCTCTCCATACGCCTGTGGCGTCTGACAGCTCCAGCAGATGATGTAGAAGTGGATGTACCTGGCAATGATTCTGCTTGTCCAGCGTAGCAAAACAAAGAACAAAAGCAAACGGGAGATCAAGTATCCATAATGTTTCGAAATATAGATGAATACCTATTATAAGAGGCTATGACCAATGAAAATGGTCGCGGGAAGTGACAACGCCATACATACAGGGGTTGAGAATCACATAGACGCTTTAGCCATTTAAAACAAAGGTCATACAACAGACGGGGAGCCGAGTCTGCAGATCTCAAAGCACTGTTGGGACGCTGCAGGTCGAATCACTTGCAGCTCCTAATAGGCGGCAACTTCTTCAACTAAATAAGGAGACATGCAGAATAGTACTACCAACAATGTACACAAACAAATCTCCCGGCCAATGAAGATGAATCAAAGAGGTGTGTCTGTCAATTTGGGTGCTTGGCGGCATTACTGGCGGTGAGCAGCCGAGAGAAAAATTCTCATGCGGCGTGCGTGAAGCTCTGCCGTTTGCTCCTACATGATGCCGGTTTTTTTAGTCGCATTAGCTTTACAGGTCACCCGATTCGATTTATCCAGCTATGAAGGAATGATCTCGGTGGTGGGGATTGTGCTAAGCTACTGTCTACGCAGTGACGCAATCAGGACTCGGCTGAGGATGACGATGAGAGCGATGAAGACGCTATTCCGTCAGAGATTCGAGATTTGCTGCTTTTCATGGATCATGAGGAATCACTCCACGCGTCTCTGTACCACCAGCTCGTACTCACTCTGCGCTCCGTTGAGCGCCTGCAGATGCATCAGTAGTAGGAGGTACCTACATATAAGACGCGCAGTGTAACGCCAGTTGAATGCTTGACCACGGTTCAGCGTGTGTGGCGTAGAGGGGTCACAGGATTACGGTGCGGCTGACGGGCTATCTGCACTGTGCCCCCAGCGTCCCATTGGGCGGGGCTGCCACCGTTTCAATGAGCAGCCACACAGTATTTGACAGACGCCCCGCGGCCCATGAGGCGCTATCGCTTGCCAGAATTAGCGCACAGGCCTCCCAACCGTCTCCCAATAGCGGCGTCGGCATAGATAAGCTACCAGGACCTGACGGTATTGTTCGACAGTTCCAGCTCTGGAAAGCCTCTTCAACCCTGACTATCTGCAGTTTGTGCTGTTTTCGTTGCTAGAATCCGATTCATGCTGCTACACCTGTAGTTCTATTGAGGTATTCAGTACCGGCTCGAGAAGCAATCGCAATTGGTAAGTTGCATCCATGTCCATGCTATGACGCCGTGGGGGACAGATGGTCATCGTCGTCATACAGTACGGCTGGCCGCCAGCTGTCCCCCTATGACTCCTCTGTTACGCATCTTTGCTGTGCAATCGATTCGCATCCTGTGAAGGGCTGCTCATTGCCATGATCCCAATTCTGACGCTGCGATCAATGGGCTCATTGGGTTTCGCACGCTGGCTTTGGGCACCCCTTTTGTGTTGCAGCCTTAGTCCTGTGACATCCCACTTTCCGCTGCCGAGTCAACACCACAACTGACTCTTCGTGGCTTCTCTCTAGGACATTTCGTGCCAAATCCGTTTCGAGATTCGATTCTATACAGTTAATACGACAATTGATAAGCTGTTTATCTTTTCCGACTTCGCTACGCTTTTATATCTACTTCTTTAAATGATTTACATACTATGACGGCACCCACAATGCAGCAGCCAATCATCCCCCCTCGTCCGTCCAAGAGCCCGGCCAAAGACCTCGCGGCCGCCAGCTCTACACCTCTGATCCCGCCACGACCGGCTAACAAGCGAATCGATCGCTCAAAGTCACCTAATCCCGATCGATTTGCCCAATCGCCCTTCACCGATGGCGCAATTACTGTGAGCCCTCTTGGGACCCAGCTTAGCCCAAGCAACTCCCACGGAGGCTCTGGCGAAGGCATTGATCACTCTGAGAGTGTGCCGATGCCCTCTGTTGGTGAAGAGGGATTGGAATATAGCGTCATCACTTCCGAGCTGCAAGGACCGGGAACCGAGGATGCAGAGCAGACACGCACTGTCGCCCAGGACCTCAAGCTCCATGCCCCTAAGCCTTCTCTCCCCGCTGCGAGTGCCAAAGAGCGGGTTATGAATGTCACTCGCACCGATTCGGACAGGGCTGCCTCGTTTGGCATTGGAAAGCCAGGACATCTCGAAGGCCGATCAACCTCCCGCAATGGCTTGAGGAAGAAATCTAGCACAAGTTTCTCTGCTACAAGCGAGGACCAGCAGCTTGATGATGAACATGGCATTCCCGAAATTGGACAGCGAGTCCCCATGAACCCGCATCTGGGAGACGTCCAAGCTCCATCGCCTGCCCCGACTGATGGAAGCGGTAAACACCATAGCCGCAAGCTCAGCTCTCGTGGTCTTCCCCCTGGAAGCTATGGAATGCACGGCCACGGAGTGGAACCTCAGGATGAGCTTGATAAGGCTTATTACAAGAAGCACCCTGAAGTTATGCAGCGAGAGCATCATACCCCGCTGCACGATCATCGCCAGACCGATTTTGCTCTGAGCAGCAGCGATCTCAACAAGCTAGTCCGAGACACAGCTAACCGTAAATCTATAGGTTGGTAGAGACTTTTGGATTTAATTCTTTAACCAGCATCAACTTTGGCTAATTTTACTTTGTACAGATTTTAGTGAGCAGCATGGAACTCCCAACGAAGAAGTTGCGTTCCAAGCTCACGAGGAGTATGCTAGCCGCATGGCTACTCCGCGTCCAGTCTCGATAGTTCTTGACACGGGCGCACCATTGGAGGACCCCGGTGCATCTGAGAACAAGCCTATTCATGTCGACGATCCTAAGCATCCAGAGCAGTATTCCTATGGCGCTGAAAGCCCGGTCGAAGCCCGTGGGGACGAGTTCGAGGCTCCTATTCTTGCCGCAGATGAGATTGAGAAGGATGCTAGGCGACCCGCTCAGCAGCCAGCCATTCGGCCCCATCTCGATCGCAACAGCAGTTCGTATGATGGCACAAGTCGTCCAACTAGCCGTCCCTCTAGTCGACCGACGAGCATTTACAACGCTCATACCAACCTCGACTTTGACCACACTCCTTTGGAAGATGTTCGCGAATACGAACCTCTGTTCCCTGATGAGGCCGCCAAGAAGGAGGACGAAAGGCGTGAAAGCAAAGACGGGTCAAAAGCACGTCACTATTTCCCTAGCAAAGATGTTTGGGAAGATGCGCCGACCAGTGTTCACTACACCGCGGAGGTCTCAACCCCTGATAATGCAGAGGAAAATGCAGAGGAAGACGCCCAACGAAGGAAGTCGTCAACGCATCCTGAGAATCGCCCCATGACTCCGGCTCAGATATTTGCTATGCAGCAAGAAGAGCTCGCCGAGAAGGAGGCAAACGGCAAAAAGCACAACTTCTTACCCATCTTGGAGCAACCTAAGCCTACTTGGGTCGATCACCAACCCCATCTGAAGAGTGGGAAGTCAAGTACAGGTCATCGATTCCCCAGTAAGGATGTCTGGGAAGATACTCCAGAGAGTCTTCTTTACGAGGCAGAGGTAGAGGAAAAGCCAAAGAGCGAGAACAAGCCTGAAGTCCCCGCCCGGCCCTCAAAGAAGCTAACTGAACTGCTTTCACATAAGCCTGCTATTCCTGAACGTCCAAAGTCCACTAGACAGACTAGCGGCGAAGATGTACCCAAGCCGCTGGTACCTACTCGGCCTGTCAAAAAGGTCTCAGCCGACTCAAAGGATGGGGAACTCTCCAAGCCCAAGCCCCCAGTCCCCTCTCGTCCTGCTGGAAGCAAGATTGCCGCTCTACAGGCTGGATTCATGAGCGATTTGAATAAGCGTCTGCAGCTTGGACCTCAGCCTTCGAAGAAGGAAGAAGCGGAGAAGACCGAAGCGGTGGAGGAAAAAGATAAAGTCATACTGTCCGATGCTAGAAAAAGTCGGGCTAGAGGACCACAGCGTCGCGCACCAACCAAGAGCTCAGCCCCAGCTGCTGCTGCACCATCAGCCAAGGAGCCCGCCGCTGTCACGCTATGCTTTTCTCAGCCGCAGACAATTTGGAACATTGATCCTGATCATGGCGACGTTCATGTTGTTTCCGACTCACTTGAGGTCCCTGAAAAGGAAGCTTCTGAAACCGTACTAGAATCAGAAAGACTGCCTCCCGTGCCGATAGAGAATGAGAAACCCGCTGAAGTAGAAGAGCCTAAAGCAGAGCAAGAGAAAGAGACGGAACACGCTGCGAAGGTGGTAGAACCCGAAGCTCCCAAGGAAGCTGCTGAGCCCGCTGCTTCAATCGAGCCTGTACAGTCCGAGACTGCGCCGGAACCTGAACCTTCGACTGAATCTGAAGAACCCAAGATCCTTGAGAGCGCCAAAGAGCTCGAAATCACCAAGGAGCCTGAAGAGATCAAAGAGTTGGGCGAAACCGAGAAATTAGAAGAAGTCAAGAAATCAGAAGAGCCAGTGAAGGAAGAAACACTTGCGGCAAACATGGCTGGCGAAAGCATTTTGGAAGCGAAAGTGGAACAGAACGATGATACAAAGGAGATAGAACCCGTTGAGGTTGCAGACGAGGTGAAGGCTTAGAGTAGGTGGTTTGATGTGCCCGGGCCATCTTTTTTTGGTCTTGTGCACAGATCTACCGATGAGACTGGTTCCCTTAGTTTTGCTTTCTGAATTTTAGCTACATCAAGGTCTTGAGACATAAACTCGCTCCTACCACTAAATCGAAGCTGTATTTCACTCTTTTGACAGTATAACTAAGGATTTCTTTACCGTCTTTGTGTGAATTAGACTTGGGCCAAAACAGAAAAATTTGGAGATTTGAGTGAGATGTGTACTCTCTATAAATAACATACGCACATACATATATATAATACATAGGATAAGCTAGTTTGTGCATGTGAGCTATTTTCTGCTCCATGAGCTTCTCTCCTGACTCTGGCCCTCGCGCTCCCTCTCTAGTAGGCGATCAAACTCTCGCTGTGCCTGCCCCCTGGCCAAGTTCTTTTCCTCATCGGCGCTCGAAAATGTATAGCTTTCCCGGGGGGTTTGTCCTTGGTACTGCGCACCTGATTCAGCCTCTGATCCCCATCCGCCTCCAGACTGAGGCTTCTCCCATGTCTTCCGACCTTGCTGGGAAGAAGGTTGGTATTGGGCTTGTTGTCGGATGCGGTCCCACGCTGAGCCGCTGAAGTTATTTGAGGCATCTGAGCTGCTTCTTGCTTCGGGTGCGACGGGTGAGGCGTCATCAAAATCATCGGTAAAGGAAGAATCCCATGCATCAGATCGCTGTTGCTGGGGCTGCGGAGGTGGTGTCATGGAGCTGCGGTATGACGTCCAAGAGGACTGCGTTGGTGCAGCAGCTGGGGCCTTTTGCTCGGGTTCTCTGTATTGCTGATTCGAGTTCTCATACTGCGCTGCTGACTCCCATGCGTCATTGATTTGCTCGCGAGCTTCCGGGCTGCCTCCGAGCAGAGTGGCGCCTTGGGCGCCTCCATCGTGTAAGAGCGCTCGTAGCCTAGGATCCTGCTCCATCTCTCGACGCTGTCGCATAAAGTTTGCGCCCTGGAAGACTGGCTCTCCAAGAACCCAGAGGGTACCGTAGTATGCGGCGAAGCGGGCGCTGTGCCACATGAACTTGAGGCCCGGGCTGCCGCCGATGGGGCTGAAGCGCTTGAATTCCGGGTTGAAGAAGGGGAAGCGCCATGTCTTGCGGCCACGGTAGGCCATGTAGCCTGCAAATCCGGTCATTGCCCATTTCCACGCGAGCAGGTTGTGAACACTCGACAGGAAGTGCTCCGTGAGGGCCTGGGTCTCTTGGTCCTCAAAGGCCCTGTTGTTTACTGCGGCGAGCGATAGGACGGTAGACTCGGCCAGGGCGAGGGTCTGGGCCTTTCCGAAGCCGCGGAGCTGTGCGTAGAAGGGCGCCTCGTAATTTTGAAACAGGCGCTGGATCTGTTCGTGGATCTGGGGCTCGAATTGCTTGCGGTTCGTCATAGCCAACTGGCGGCGCTCTTCGATGGCGGCTCTGGCATTGCGCATGTATTCCGACCGGCTCATGTGTTTGTAGTCGGGATTCTTGTTGCCGCCCTCGCCGCCGGCATTGTTTCCGCCTGAATTGTCCATTTTGCCTCAGCAATGTGACGCGAAGGTAAAAAAGGAATTCAATGTTTCGTTCAGAGGTGACCCCGCGAAATCTCCCGGGATCGAGCCATACCGAAGGGGCCATTGAAGCATTGTGACGCAAGAGATTTAGAGCAGCTTTATCGATAAGTTGCCGCCCCCACGTGACTGCTACCGTTAACGCTGTGCTGCCGGGCTTTTGTTGCGGTTGTTGGAGCAATTGGCGGGGCGCGTCGCGTTTTAGAGGCGCGTTCTAACGGCAATCTGCCCTTGTAAGTTAAATAGTCCTGGGACGATAGATTGGCATTTTTGCTTATCGTATATGCCAAAACTATGCAGTGCTGGAGGGTTTTCGATGTAAGACTCTAAGCACAATCATCTCGAATCATGCCGCTCCAGAAGTCCTATTCTGAGCGGATTGGGCTTCCAAGAGTATGTTTACTTTCCGCAGACTGGTTGTTTTGTTTTGTTTTGTTATGACTGTCACTTACATGCGCGATGCAGCAACGCTCGCCCTGGCAGCGGTCTCACAGCCATCCCAACAATCTACAGCCAGCGAACCCGAAGAATCCGATTCCCATATCAGAAGCGACGAAGAAGAAGCTGAACAAATTTCTGTACAAGGACTCGAACGATGAGTCTGCAGCAGACAGGGGCGTGGATGGGAGGGGCAAGGGTGCAGCGGCAGCGGCATCTGCTTTGAACGAGCAAACACCCTCCCATTTAAGAATGATTGGAAATAGTGCCACTCCGGTGACTCGCTTGGATTGGAGCGACCTCCTCGAGCCATGCAGCCAAATACCAGAGGAGGACACCACCATCTCGCCAAACGACAAGCTGCTGTGGGACAACAAGCGGGATCCCAATGCATTCGCCACCATCTCGCCGATGATGCCCCGCAAGGGCAGGAAACGAGCCAGGAGCTCTTCGCCGATCTCATCGCCCTCTGCCGACAGAATCGCTACGCCGACAGTTAACGTTAAGAAGCTTGCCAGAGCATTGAAGTCGCCTCACCCCGATCCGACGTTGGAGCTCTGGGACCGATACTCGTTGAATGGTCATGGGGGGCAGTCTCCTGCGTCTGGTGCGGCGAATCCGATCTTGGCCCAATTGATGGTGTCTTCGTCTCCACGGCCATCCAAGAACCAAGCTGCTCTGGTCGACCAGGAGAATTTGCGTCGAGCTGCTAGCTGTGGCTTTCAGTGGCCCAAAAGGAGGAGGATGGAGAAGTCGAAATCGGGCAGCCAGGTCAGCGCCAGCCAACGAGAATTGGAGGCAGCGTCCAAGTCCTCTCTTGTCACAGCGTTACTGGATTCAGTTTCGAGTAGTATGCAAAAGCAGAGCCAGGAAGACGATACCGAAGTGGGGGGAATGGACTCGCCGTCTCTTAAGAAGAGACAGATTGCGCCCCATAATAACAACTCCCCGTCGAGAAAGTCAAAAGGCCGATTGCCGAGCCCGATTGTTTCGGACTACGGTGATGACGATGATTTGGATGATGAGTTCTTGATGCTTGAAGAAACTATGCTGGCGTCTCAGGTAACCCAAGCTACTCAGGCATCTCAGACAACGGAGAGTGTAGCACCGGCCGGGCATGGCACGGAAAGAGCGGTCAAACAAGAGGGCAAAAAAATGGACAAGAAACCTGCTTTGAACGACTTTGACGACTTTGACGACGATGATTTTGATGAGGCAGACGACTTGCTGGCAAGTTTAGAACTAAAGACTCCGGCGTCAGGGAAAAGGACGACTTCAAAGACAATGAAGACACCACTCAAGAATAAAACTCCACAGAAACTGGCCGACCTGGAAGATGAATTCGGCGACGATGCCTTTGACGGAGACGTCGACTTTGAAGCGGTAGAATTCGCTGCGACCCAGGCGGCCCAACAGCAAGGCACTGCCTCAACAGCTGTATGTGAGGAAGCTATCCGGAAAGAAAACATGCTAAACGTAGGCCAGAACAAGACAAAAATCAAGACTATTCAGCGGTATTTAGTAACAAGTGTTTTAGACGGCGAATACGTCGATCAATACAACCGTGTCTCTCCCGAAAAGGTACGCCGAGCTAGCGGAATTCATCTCATGAGTACATTATACTAACTCATGCTAGATCCTATTGATTCAAGCAGATGGCTCGAAGAGTACCCGAACTGTACAGTTACGAGGCTCTTGGTATGACACACCAGCGCATTCTGATGCCTACGTCCATGTTATCGGAGAGTTCTCGAGCAAGGGGCAGTGTGTTGTAGATGATGCCCAGAACCTGTTGATTCTGCACCCTGATCAGTTGGTATCCGCAACAGTTGTTGCCGATTCTTTTGGCTGCACGCGTCGAGCTGTGCTCCAAGATCGAGTCAAGGCTACCAGCGAAGCTTCGCCTCCATTAGTATACGGAACGATGCTTCACGAAATCTTTCAGGAAGCATTACTTGCTAACAGGTTTGATCTCGGATATCTCTCTGAGTTGATTGACAAAAATATTGAGAGACATATTGAAGACTTGTATACGATTAAGATGGGCATCGCGGCTGCCAAAGAACACCTGCAGTCCAAGATGACGGAACTTAGCTACTGGGCCAAGAGCTTCGTGGCATCCCAGCCTCAGGTAAGATGAAACTTTTTTCACAGATAACAAGAGATTGACACTTATCTAGGCCGACGCCATTGTGGAAGGGAGAAATGGCGACAAAGCCACCATCGCTGTTAGAAAACTGCTTGACGTTGAGGAGCATGTTTGGTCACCCATGTATGGGCTAAAGGGGAATATTGATGCAACGGTGGAAGTCATGATGACGGATGGCAAGCAGAGCCAAGTATTGACAGTGCCGTTTGAAGTTAAGACAGGAAAGCATGCCAACAGCAGCCACATGGCGCAGACGGCTCTTTATACCCTCCTATTATCGGATCGTTACGACATTGATATTACCCATGGCATTTTATACTACATGGAAACATCTAAAACGATGCGAATCCCTGCAATTCGACACGAGCTCCGGCACATGATAATGCAGCGAAACCAACTGGCATGCTACATCCGAGAACGAAGTGTTCAGCTACCCCCAATGTTGAAGAGCAAACACATGTGTGGAAAATGCTATGCCAAAACTTCTTGTTTCATCTATCATCGGCTAGCAGATGATGGAGACGGAGAAACTAGCGGCATGAATGAAAAATTCAATGAGGTTGTCAAGCATCTGACGCAGGAACACCAAGAATTCTTCATTAAATGGGAAAACTTATTGACGAAGGAAGAGAAGGAGGGGCAGAAGACGAAAAGAGAGCTTTGGACGATGACGAGCTCTGAGCGTGAGAAAAAGTCTCGGTGCTTTTCGGACGTCATCATTGAAGAAGGATCTGCATCGGTTGATGAAGATAATCCTCGAATTAATCGATTTCACTACACTTTCATCAAGCGAGAGCCAATGCCCGATTTTACTTTTATTGGATCAGAATTGACAGTTGGCGAGCCAATCGTCGTGTCAGACGAAGATGGGCATTATGCTTTGGCAATTGGATACATCACTTCTGTTCGAAAGCAAAGGATAAGCGTTGCAGTGGACCGGCGTCTACACAATGCTCGGATTCGGCAGCCCGGATTTGACGAGCTCGATAACCAAGTTTTTGCTAGCATTATGGAAGTTGCACACGAAGGAGCGTCGGTGGAACAAAGCCAAGGGAAGATCAAGGAGCCACCTATTCGATACCGCCTGGATCAAGATGAGTTTAGTAATGGCATGGCCACTGTGAGAAACAACTTGATTCAGATGATGGCTAATGACGTGCCGGCTGCGGTACGAATTCGCGAGCTTATTGTCGATTTGGAGCCACCTAGATTTAAACCAGTGGCGACTCAATACACAGTTACAGATGGGGAGAGTTTGAACGTTGATCAGCGGCGGGCTATCGAAAAGGTCATGAGTGCACAAGACTATGCTCTGGTACTGGGAATGCCTGGTACAGGCAAGACAACCACCATTGCTCACATCATCAAGGCTTTGGTGTCACAGAATAAAACAGTGCTGTTGACGTCCCATACACACACGGCCGTTGACAACATCCTTCTCAAGCTGAAATCTGACAAAATCCCTATCCTACGTCTTGGAGCTCCAGCGAAGGTCCACCCTGATGTTCAGCATTTTGCACACCTCGCAGGACAACCAAAGAAGACTTTTGAGGAGATAAAGGAAGCTTGGCACGGCACCCCGATTGTTGCTACTACTTGCCTGGGAATTAACCACCAGGTCTTTATCGAACGATCATTTGATTACTGCATTGTGGATGAAGCCTCACAGATCACCTTGCCCATCTGTGCTGGTCCGATTCGATTAGCAAAGACGTTTGTTCTGGTCGGAGACCACAACCAGCTTCCTCCGGTGGTGAAGAATGAAGAAGCTAGACAGGGCGGCTTAGATGTTAGCTTGTTTAAGCTCTTATCAGACAGACACCCACAGTCTGTCGTCAACCTGGAACATCAGTATCGTATGTGTGAAGACATTATGACTCTGAGCAATACCCTCATCTACAACGGCAGACTTCGTTGTGGAACAGAGCAGTTGCGCAAGAAGAAGCTTCACATTCCCAACATGGAGTCTTTAAGACAGCACCATCACGACCCAACGACTATTCATCGATCTGGAACAGCTCGCTCGTTTTGTACTGGCCCTGTGCCATCACGATGCTGGCTTTACGACCTCCTTGACGCTGAAGCTCGTGTTCGATTTGTTGATACGGATACAATTCGGCCCCTGGTTCGTGAAGAAGCTCAGGGAAAACGTATCATCAACCCGGCTGAAGGGCAAATTGTCTCGCAGCTTGTTGAAAGCCTGCTCACGGTGGGCGTCCCTGCTACTGAAATTGGTGTCATGACACATTATCGTGCACAGCTCCATCTTCTCAAAGATAAACTCAAGCACTTTCCTGGCATAGAGATGCACACAACGGATCGATTTCAGGGACGAGACAAAGAAGTCATTGTTCTGAGTCTGGTGCGAAGCAACGAGGCTTGCAATATCGGAGACTTGCTCAAAGATTGGCGGCGTATCAACGTGGCATTCACTCGTGCCAAGACTAAGCTCCTAGTCGTGGGCAGCATGAGCACTCTTAAAGGGAGCGGAGAGGAGACCATGCTGAGCAAGTTTATCTCTTTGATGGAAGACCGCAGTTGGATATACCATATGCCGCAGAATGCTCTCGAGAGCCATTGTTTTGCAGATCTGAGCACGCAGCTCACGGGGTTTACGCAGCGAACGCCTAGGAAATCGCCCAAGAGGATGCCGGCAAAGGCAAATTCCACTTCTCACGCGGATAAAGAGAACCAAAAGCCGTCGCCGAGAAGGGCGCGGATGGGAGAGGGTATGTTGCTCAAGGGAAAGCTAATTACGCGAGATATCTTGAATGAAATGACCGACGGCGCATATTGAATTAAAGATGATTATTTGGTATATGTTTTTTTTTTCTTCATTGGGCGGGAGGATTGGTCACGGAATTTTATGTCAAAGGGCGCAATTATGGATTATCAGGATACTGTGAATATAGGATAAAGAGACATGATATTGAAGACATTATTTATTTTTCTTGGCAAAACGTATGCCATGAGCTGTCATTGAGTTGTTTAGTGTCGTTCGCCAACGCTGCCTTAATCGTTATCTTCATGATGATTGTGCTCGTCATCTTCTTCGTCTTCATCATCATCATCATCATCATCATCGTCGTCGTCGTCGTCGTCGTCGTCCTCATACGGCTCTAAGAAATTCCATTCGGCGTCAAAGCTACAGCGATTCAGTTAGCAAGAACTAGCTTAGTGAAAAACGAAATGAGATGGGAGGTATTACCCTTGCTCGCCCACAATCAGCTTGGTAAACTTCTCTAGTTCTTCCAGCTGTGCGACGCAGCCGGTAAGACTCTCGTTGTACGAGTAGCTGTATATGTCGCACCATTTCTTATGCCATCTTATGTCACTCGCTTCGCTGTGATGGGCCATTGAGTCTTCCACGGCTGCTGTTTCTACGAGGAGCCTTCGTCGGGCTGCAGCGGCGCTGGGTAGGTAGCGCTATGTTCAAAGATTAGGATTGATTGGATTGAAATAAATGTTAAAGGGTGGGGGAAAAAAAAAAAGAAAAGAAAAAGAGAGTGGTACGTACGGGTACTTTGCGGTCTGCTCTCAATGCGCCAGCGAAGATGTATAAATTGGCTAGAATCGAAGCCACGGCATCTCGCCTAAAGCCCAAGAGATGCTGAGCTGCCACTGGATTATCGCGGATATAGTCTGGGTTATAGAATACGGCAGACTGTCGAACGGCTATGAGGTAGTCGAAGAAGCGTTCGCATGAGTCCGCAAGGCCGGAATATGGGAGGGGATTGAAGGGGCCGCGGAGGCGAACTTCATGGCGCGTCATGACCTATTTGAACCGTTATTACTTGTTTCTTCTGGCAAGGTAAGATGAATGCTTACGAGAAGTTGTCTGATCCTTACAAAACCTTCTCTAATGCGCCCCTCGACGATTTCGGATCGGACGATATCTTCAGGGGTTGGCTCTTTTCCTTCTTCGAAATAGATGTATTTTGCCACAACATCTGTCGAATGTTAGCACATATACCTCAGACCCTACCAGCTTATCTATGCCTAAAACATGACTTACTTCGATATATGATACTAAGGAAGAGGAGCATTGAAGATAGTGATTTTCTCAACTCGTGCCTTGCGACAAACGGCCACAGACACCAATTGACCACGATAGGTGCGATGGTGCCAATGAGGAATATGACGCCTCTGAGTGTGGCAGTTAGAGCGGGCGATGAAGGGAGATTGCCGGCTTGAAGCTGTAGCGAAATTACTGTAAAGGATAAACACCCCGCAAGGCCAGATCTCTATGAATATCATTAGCTTGACTCTTGATCTTTGGAGCGCTGCAATTTGATTCGTACCGGGTGACAGCTTAGTGTGAACCGGTATAGCATAGGTATCATGAAAATAGCCGCAAAAACTGCAACCACATAGGGACTACCATCTCCAGCAGCATGCGCAACGCCACCCCATACGGCACCGAGAATGACTAAGATGGCTCTTGCGAATAGATCTTGAATGTTACCACCTACGCGAGCATGAATTAAGAGCCAGCTCATGGTGACTGCCCACCAAGCTTCGTATTCGTCCCACCAGACCTTGTCCCAACTTAGATATGAGGGAACTGAGAGGAGAGATGTGACGAGAACAACTTTGAAGGCATACCGGCTCTCATAGCCTTGCATAAGATGCAAGATCTTCCAGATTCTATAGCTTAGCTTGTTCTTCTTGATATCCATGTCAGGCGGGGCACCTGGGTCCGTAAGGTGCGACAACTCGGCTCTCAACTCAGTTTCGGAGACGTGATCGTCATACTTTTCCAAGGGTTTGTATTCTCGGCATTTTATCGACTCCAAAGCACGGGCGATTTCAAGGAAAGTTACATGGTACGACCCGGCTGTGGCACCTCCGCGGTCGTGGGTTACCTGAGGGTTGACAAAGTGGATGGCTTTATGTAACGGATAGGACGGCGGGTGAATCTTTGGCCAGTTCGAGTATTGATGCATGGAGCATACTTTTCCCATGAGATTTTCGATTGTGGTGGCAGTTTCGCGGAGATGTCTCGCGAAGATGAATAGTTGAACTACGGCTGAATCGTTCATCGACGCGGGGGGTAGTTGGCCTGATTCCAGGAGTTCTGACTCGACGCCATCGAAAATTGCTTTTGCGGTCCTCATTCGAATTTGCACGGGTGCAATCTCGGATGATACGTCCCTCGGAGGGCCGAGATATTGTCGGTAGCCTGATAGGTCCATTAGTGTAGCCTGGCTTGCCTGTAGCCCTTGGTTCATGCAGGCGAGGATCTCCTTGGTAGGCTTTGCCAACTTCTTAATCACAATACGGGTTACATCCACCTCCTTTACCAGCTCGGGAGGCTTGTCGTTGGTAACGTTGGTGAGATCGTTGCTGCTAGAGGATGAGGAAGACATTTGAGTGGCTTCGACGACTATAGGTACATGCCCATCATCGGTCTCGCTAAAGAGAGCACTCTCTGTTTCCATGGAGAGTAGTGCTCGAATGACGGCCTGCATTAGATTTCGCAACTCTCTTACGTCGGCGGGCTTGAATCGGGTTATGGTGAGACTGGACCGCATGTCTTTGTAGGCAGCGGATAGGTCTACGAATGCTTGAACTAGACGTCGCCTGAGCCTGGTATCTCGAGGACGTGGGATGACTATGGCTTCCTAAGCGAAGGCAAAGAGTCAGAACCTTGGTATAAAGTGAGCAATTCGGTAGTGGATGATGTGTGAAGTACAAACCAGCATAAGAGAAAAGGATTGGTGAAAGATGAGAGCGAGCGGTCTTGAACCAGCGTCGGGGAAGATAGCACAGTTGACTAGCAGCGCAATTGCCTGCCCTAAGAGCCAAGGAACGACATAATTTCTCAGTTTTTCCCATACGATGATGGTGCCCGAAGTCTGGGCTAAAAGAGTAAACGTAATGGCAACACCTGCGCAGACCACCATTTGGTAGAGCCTGGAATAGTACGAGCGTATCCATGCCACAACTGCCATAAACAAGGCGAGAAAAAGTGCTAGAATGCCGCCGTAGCCTGCACTGGCGGCGGGAGTCGACGTAGATAATAGGAGACCAAGAACCCCCCATCCCAAACCAGCTGCTGTGCCAATGGTGGTGAATAAGGCACCTTCTACCTGAGCACCAAATGTCCTGGCCGGATGATTCAAGATGACAGAAACGGTGATGATGTAGTGGTAGCGACCAAACCACTCTCGAACAGCCGGGACCAGACACAGGATGTAAGCTGCAAAGTAGGCGGTAAAGGACCTCAGCAGGCGAAGGCCGGTTCGAGTTGTTGCGACCCGTCGGAGCACCCATTTGATCTCGCGATACTGTCTGGGCAGAAACCGCCGAGCTGCCAGCGGTGAGTCTTCGTCAAAAGCAGCGGGCAGCGAGGCCCTGGATCGTTCCTCAAAGCCATCCGGCACCAACGGCGTGTGCTTCAGGAACAGCGCGTCGAAGAATCCATCTCGGTCTTCTACCACGCCGAATGTTTCCGGGTCGATGTGGTCGTCTGGGAGGATCTGGTCAATGGGAGCTATGTAGGAGCTGCGCCTGCTGCCGTACTCGGACTGGGCTGCTGAGGTGGTGGTTGTCCGGAGCGGTGGCGCCTGGGCGAGGAAACGAAGCTTTGTAGATGCTGGACGCGAGAGTGGAGTGGGTTCATTTTCGACGTCGATGCTGTTTGGAGATTGAGCTGGTGGAGGGCTGGGACTGAGGCTTCTGGGGGGCGATGAGCTGTTGGGATTGGAAGCCATTTGGTGTTGAGATGCTGTTGCTGTGTCCGGCTCTAGCGGCTGAGATTTTGTCAAGCTAAGAGTATCATGATAAGAAGCATCTGGATTACAGGCTCGGGATAGTTATCAGAGGCATTGCCGAGGGTTAAGGGATCATGAATGAGAAGAAGAAGGAGAGGAATTATATATAAGAAAAATAAATAAAAAAGGGTGATGAATTCGTTATCGCAGTTTCGGTGAGTCTACGGAGAGATTGAAGTCATCACCGGCGTTCGGCATCTGACGTCAGAGGAGAAATCGACTGACGATTTCTTATCGCGAAGACAGGCAGTTGGGCAAGAGGAAGGAGGCCAATGACCGAAAAAATAGGACGGCAATACAACAGACATTGAGATGCTCAAAAGCAATGTACTTAATGTCTGGGATGGCTGACGCAATTGCTGTTGCTTTAAAATTGTTGGCGCAAAGAAGCAAGTTTTAGCAGCGCTTGGTGGCGCTGGAGGCTTTTCCTCTTAGGGCCTGATTTGGGAAATCAGCTTCGGCAAATCACATGCAGTCAGCATTAGACTATGACCTATCAACGATTGAAAATGGAACATTATACGGCTTGTATATGCATAGCCTTGAACCAATGTAAACACTTTTAATCTGGAATACGTCGCTTGTTCGATGCGAGTAGTATTCGCAGCATCGTCTATTGGGCGAAATTCGAGCAGACAACCTTATACATGTATTCTATGGAAAGCTTCATGTAAGCTCCCTAGGTAGACAACTAGGACGTGGATAATGCCTTTTTATAGCCAATCCTTTCACAACCTCCTAACACCTCTGACCAACCAAAATGACGGCGGTGTCATGAGCAGCAACGGATGCCGAGTACGAAGTTAGACAGCCCAGACTCTTGCCGCTCCACACATCCTTTACACGATACCTTCCAGCAGAAAGACCCGGAATCTCTGACCAAACTGCCTTCTTCGTAGTTGTCTGGCCCAAAGTGTTCACCATCAACACCAGATGGCCATTCTTGGAAGGGCCGGCCCAGAACTCGGCGGGATATGTACTGTTGTACGTCCAGTTAGGGTTGATACCCCACTTGTATGGAGTCGCAGGCCTGCCGTAAACATCGTCTTGGTTAAAAGCCAGCAAATCCTTGTTCTTCAGGATGTTGATGTTGTCCTGAGACAGCACGCTGATGTCGGTTCCGATGAGAAGGGGAGATTTCATGGCGGCCCACAGAGCAAAGTGGGTGCGCGTCTCGGCTGGTGTCAAGTTGCCGTTGCCAACCTCGAGCATGTCGGCGTCATTGTGGCCCCAAAAGCCAACCGAGTTCATCTTGAATGAGTTCAAGTTTAGGATGTGAGTAACAGAGCTCCATTCGGGAGAGATATCGCCGCTCATGCGCCAGCTAACGCCCGTCGTGTTGCCCCAAGAGAAGACGTCGGCCGTGCCCCAGATACACAGGCTGAGCACAATTTCATGGGTCTGCTTGGCCAGGGCGTCTCTCATGCGGTCGAAGCGCTGGGCCGATTTCGAGGTGCCCCAATCGTATCCTGGAGGCGCAAGGTTTGGATCAAGAGCAGTGGTGCAAGTGCCATTCGGGCCGGTTGCGACAGCGTCTGGGTCGCAGGCAACATACTGATCTTGCCAATCTGAGGGAATGTTGCAGTTGTCACTATCAGATATAATTAGCCTAGGGAATACTTGATGATAGCGGAAGATGGATAGGCTCCAGCTTACTATTTTAGATCTGTTCATCGAGTGTTAGTTGATATCATGGAGATGACACTTGTAGTGTGAGATGCGAATTAAATGTGCACTTACAGTCTACTCCCCAACTGGCGAAATCCGCGGCATCGACATCCTCGTACCCAAGACTGGCCGGATAGCCAGCACATGTCGCACTTCCGGCAGCTAATACGTATTATTAGCATTCTTTAGAATACTATCGAGGGAGATATGACTTACTGCTGTAAATGCCTAGTTTTAAGCCCATACCATGGACCTTATCAGCCAACCCATTGATGCCGTCGGGAAAACGGGTCGTGTTGGGGGCAATATGGCCATTAACACGCCCATCCTTCATCGACCAGCAGTCGTCAACTGCATGTTGTTAATACTGGTTATTCGCCAACATTTATGAAAAGAAGCAACTTACTGTTGACGTAATTATATCCTGCGTCAAGGAGACCGGTGCTCACGATTAGCTCAGCGGCTGAAAGAAATTTGCTTTCATCAATATCGCAGTGATAGGCATTCCATGAATTCCAACCCAGGCTTGGAACTTTTCCCTGTATTTTATTCTCTTAGTATAAAGGCATTTGACCAAGGTCTGAATAGCAATCTTACAGTTCCACTAGGCATCACAATTGCGCCTGTGCCTGATAAGAGAAAGGCTAAAGTAGCCATAGAAGATGGCTTGATGCCGCGACCCGTCGAAGGATAGCCCATCTTCACAATTGATAGACCGGCGTATCTTTGACTCTAGGGAATTTTGCAAGGGGTAACTGGTGTTTGCACCAATAGAAGCTACGAATCGCGCTTCTAAGAAGGCGTATATAGATAAAGAACTGTCGACAGCTTGCTCCCCTGCAGCAATGGAAAAGTATAGGTCTCAATGGCTGTTTGATCGTACTTATATACGTTCCAAAGTATCCGTGTAAACTGCACAGAGAGGGGTTGTGCTATAACGCATGTAATCTTTTCCAGATATCCTCCATCTCGTACGAGGCATCAGGGCTAGCTAATGCCGACTTGACGCGACCTACGACAAAAGTGCTCCTTTACACAGGATAATTCCGTAGGATCGGGTTTCTGCCGGGCCGACTTGACTTGGGTTGAGAAAAGCGATGGCACTTGAACAAATCTCGTTGAAGCGCACTAATAGGAACACGAGCGAGACATCGTTGTCCTGCAAAGGTAGGGTAGCAATGGAGCTCTCATGGCATTTGCATAGTAGGCAGCCATAGCGGCGATGCGCCGATGAAACATCATTGGAGACCAGCCTTGACGATGGCCCACCCCCGCAGAGGGACCAAGGATGAGCGGCAAACGATTCCTCCGCAAGCTACGTCAGATATGGGGGACATCTGGCGATCTTTAAGCAAGAGAAACGACAGGTCAAGTTTGAATGCATGGTTTAGTAAATATACAGTATAGTGATGTTGTTGCGCAGTTTGGGAGGGCTAGGTACATACTATGTACGTTTTCTGCACACTTGTACCGAGAACCGGCAGTTGGTTGAATCTGGCGTTCCTGGTAAGGCGGATGATGACCGAGTTTTTGCCTATTGTAGCACCGACGCCACTTTGAATACAGTCAAGTCTCTCGCTCAGAGGTCAGTATGTAGTTGTACAAGGGACTCCAGTGGCTGGGTATTTCGTAATAAACGTTATATTAAATATAATTGCATGTCTGTCTTCATTTAGCCGGCAAATCGATGGATCGCCGCAGCAGTCTGCCGCTATCCGCCCCGCGGCAGGCCATTCGGAATTCACCGCCGGTACTGGCGATTATCGCCAAACTCATCTTAACTTGTTTTCGCAATCCATATACACATTGTTGGATAAAAGCCGACGGTAAATTGTATCTCTATGTGGATCACAGAATCTCTGTAAATGACAACTCATATAAACTCTATCGGATCTGGTGCCACGAAGATCGTCGTGATATGTCCGAGTTTATCCCCAATAGTGACACTCGCGAGTCGTTTAATCGCCCCGTCTTTGGAAGTATCTAACTTAAAGGGAGCTCTATATTTGAGTCGATAGCTCAACCATGTGATTTTGCTCTTGCGTGGGATGATACTACCGATCTGAACAAAGAATGGCATCTGATTTTAGGCTGAAAAGCTCTTGAGTTGTTCAAGTTCACAATTTTCCAGCCTCTTGTAATTAACCATCACTCGATTTGTTATCCCACGGCATTCATCCTTCGCTTGAAGCTCGGCACTGCTGGTGCATCATCTCTTGAGTCAAGCTCTGCTGATTCCACGCTCCGCAGCCGGTAGTAGTCGGAGGTAAATGTTTGGAACAAGAACGAATATATCGAACGGGGTAGTATTTCGTTATCTGTCTCTTTCACAATTATAAGACAAGTGGGGTATAATTAAAACACTCTCTGCTACTCGCCTGAGAGCCTTCGTGACTCAGTATCTGTGCCTTGTGCTGTAATCCTTCGGGCTGACCACCAAACCTCTACCTTTCTTCGCTCCTCTGTATATCGTTTCAATAATGTCGATGAGCTCCTGCTTGTCCTCCAACACCCAGTTGAGCTTGTTGTTGTTACCAGTGCCGAAATCGCACATCATGTGCTTGTTGCGGAAGAAGAACAGAATCGAGCAAGGGTCGTAAAGTTCATACATGGCGTTGAAGTCAGGAACCTGCTTTGAGTTAGGGAGAATTCTTCCGGGTGGAAAGCATGAAAAAAACACACCTCGTCAATATCGCAAAGATAGATGACAGCGAAGTTTTTGACACGGTCAGCTATCTTGTAGAGCACTTCATCTTGCAACATGCAGTCCTAGAAAAGTCAGATGGCAACGAATGAAAGAAGGGAGTCCACGGGTTATGTGAGAACGCTCTTACCCGATCATGGTCGCGTCCAAATCGGATGACAACGAGACGATCCTCTTCTATAAGAAACGGTCAGCACCCAAATCTGTGCCTTGGAAACTGTGCAAAGGAGGTCACAAAAGGACAGGAATTATGAGCCAGCATGAAAGAAAATGACTAACCGGATAAGATGGCCTGGTCAACGTGCCAGCCTGAGTTGAGGTGCGGAAGAACGACGGATCCCATTGTGAGATGCTGCTCTTGCTGCTGAAACTGAATACAGTGGAGATGACGATGGCAGCAGCCTTGACCTAGTGACGCTGAGATTTTGGCCCCTGCGGTAGATCGGCTAGAGGTATTGCCGTGCCGTGTGGCTGGTTTTGTGGCGACGCGTCAGTGGCTTTCAGCGCGGGTAGCCTTGGGGGGGCAAAAAGAATACATCGTTACATGTAAATAGATATTGGCGATTTATTTGATGATTATCATATCTTTATAGTAAAATGACATGTACCCAGTCTCTCGCTAATATTGTTACGGAAGGTAAATTTAATTGTCTGCGATGAGTCTATTATGTGTTATTAGTACACCTTCGAATTAGCATCCTTATAATAACCCCTGTAGTCCCTTTTCTGAGCTTAATTCACTGCTCCGCAAGCTTAGTTTCAGCAACTTTGGTAACAACGCCTGTGAAAATATCCAACTTGAGTCCCACGATTGTTGTTCCGGGTCGAATGAAAGGGGAAGAGCTAATTAGATTTACATCCTCTTTCACGCTTTCTTCAATTCTGTTGTCAAAATTAGCAGTGCGCTAGTGAATGTAGTAGAATTATATGCGTAGGACTGAGGAGAGCTTACGATCCAGTAATCTCACCGTATTTCGTTGCATTGATGGTTTCTTTTTCCTGAGGTGCAAAGTCTAATAGAGCCTCTCGAATATTGGCATCGTGAAAGTGTGTCATTCCGCAATCTAAGTTATGTTAGTCACGGATCACCCTTCAATTACTGCCCGGCCTTGTCCATTGACCCACCAGTATGGTGCATGACAATCACCGTTTTCGAATGCCCAATGGTCTGAAGAACGGATATAGTTCTAATAGCATCAACTGCACGGCCGCCAGCATTGCGGACCATTGTAATTCCTCTAATGGTTGAATCAATACCAAAGATTGTGTAGGGATTCAAGCGTGGATCAGAACAGCTCAAGATAATCGCGCCCGCTCCGGATTGGCGAGCTGCCGGAACCATAGTTAACAAAGGGAGAGGAGCTTTATATCCCTGGGCAATTTTTCTTTGAATCTATTAGTTTTGACCCGATGCAAAAGGTTGTTTTTATATTGGTAAATGGTCAACGTACTCATTGCGACTAAGCAGCTCTGTTAGAATGTTGGCCGCCATTTTAATAGTAACTTGTCGATATCTTTTTAATTAAAAGAAGAAAGATCAGTTGAATTGTTCTAAATTATTGCTTCTGCGATTTATTCTGTATTAAACATATAACACAACCACTATTTATATACATCTCGCATCGCGGCGCTAAGCATTATGACGATGCGGCTGGACATTCCACATAACTTTATGATTACTGAACAGAAAATAGACGACCAGGCCACCAGCATCCTTTCTTGTACGGCTTAGTAATTGCTATCCTGAATGTACTATAAAGTGCCTAGGTAGAAGATGTTCATTTCGAAGTTGTTACATCACCCCTCCGAGGCAAGGCCAGCTGCGCTCGCCACATTTATAATCCTACTTACCCAGGTCTCTTTACTAATTCAATAGATAAGCTTAAACTAAAACATTTTTTTCATCTTAAGGGAACAATTCTTAGGGATACATGTACTAGCGAATGACAAAGTATATACCTACATACTGTGTTATACAAGCATTCTTAGGAGATAAACACTGTAAATATGAAGGCTACTGAAATACTTGCCTGCGTGAGAAGGCTATAAAAGTAATCAATGGTTATATATTCTTTTACCTTGATTAGATACATAAGACTAACATATCGAAACACGGTCTCATGGCAGCGATGCACAGTGAACTTCGCTCTGCGTTGCTACTTCTCATCCGTCTGGCCCTTCTTGTTCTTTTAGTGACGAAGGCTTTCGCGACTTCGCTATCTTGACTCCAGGTTTGTGTTTATTGGTGGAACTTATGTAGCGGATGGAGCTCGCGCCTCTCGGCTTGGCCGTCTCCCCCGTATGATGACCCATGTAATTGTGTTGATTTTGGCAATCCACAGGTTTCAGAATCGTAAAAGTATTTAGAAATACTCTCCTTGAAAGAAAATATTATGCTGTTATCAATGAAATCGCTACACCCAAACTTGGGTGGCAGTCAACGAGTAAAATCAGCACTATCCTTCGTACAAACATGTTAGTAGCAAGTTTGCATGTAAAGGAATAAATGCAGTAAATTATGGTCGTTATGTGTATGGCGTTAGTTACAGGGATTATCATTATGTGTATGACATTAGTTACACAGACTAAACTTGATATCTAATTTTCTCTCGTTGATATTTCTAAAACACATTTACCCTCTAATTATTACAAACCTCTAAAAGCGGCGTTGTCTAGAAGCGTATAGATGGTATTTTTATAAGTAAACACTTGTTGGAAGGCCCTCGATCGACTGTACACTCAAGCGCTGCACTCTCTATGGCTGAGTGGGAATTGAATTCACCAAATATATCGGGCTGACAAAGGCATCATTATCAGCTGCCTGCCAGAACAAGTCAACTAAACCAGCGTCGTTGAATCTCATAAATCGCATGCCTCGGATGCGGTACTGTGCGCCATTAGGTGGTACTTTCGTGCCGTTAAGCATAGTAAACGTGCCATTGCGCGTTCCCTGGAAGATATATTCGGTGGCTACCCAGTTCCCTTGGCCGAGGACGAACTCATCATGCTGAATGAGATCTGGCACCGAAGTGCTGTAACGAGTGAATAAGTTAACAAGAGCTGCACGGCCGGTCGAGTTGCGGCCATCGGAAACAACAGTGACGTCTTCCGTGGCAAGGAGTCCATTAGCCGATGAGTTCTTCTTGTTGAAGTTGATGTTGAATTGCGCAGCCTTCTCTTTGATTTTGAAGGTAAATCCGGCAGATGTATTCGCAATGGGATTCAGTGTAATCGGCTCGACGGACGGTAATTTAACCTCGCCGGTTTGTTGCGCTGTTGAGAGTCCGGCTTCACCTATACTGACGATGCGGCTCAGGAGGGCATCCTTGTCGAAAATCATAGTTTCTGCCAGCGTTGTCTGAGTAATAAGCTGCGAGGTGTTTGTGGTGATCCTGCTGGCGCTTAGAATAGCGGCGGTGTTTCCCTCCACGATGATGAGTCGATCGAGGAACTGGGCTCTTATTCCTCCTCCAGGAAAAGCCAATGCCTGGGCAAATTGAGCACTTCCAAGGCCAGAAAATCCACTGAAGAAACTATCAACATCGGGTGTGACCAGTGCGACGTTGGCTCGTAGCCCTTGAACGGTATTTTTGCTGAAATTTGGGTGAAACGATGCAGAGTGGTTAGCAACTAGCTTCGTATATTCGTCGGTCAAGAGAAGTCCTGGTGTTCCGATCGGCTCTTCGAGCTTGGTACTTGAGCCTACCAACGCAAGCAAATAAGCTAAGGCTGATTTCATTTTGATAATGGCTCTGGGTTTTGTCGTTCGATTGAGGAAGAGCGCTGTCAGAGCTGTGAATCGATCACTATCCAAACTGGTCAAGAAAAAAACAACAGAGACTGTAGTTTTGCTCGATAATGCCGGCCGTCATCATCTGTTCATTAATATACATAGTAGTCAATACTCTGTATAGGGGCTGTGCTGACGGGTACCCCATAAAATAGGTCTTCGTCCGTGTTATTGATGTGGAATCCAATTACTACAAAGGGTAATCGCTGGAATCAAGCTATGGGCTAAGTTTGACCTGCTGTGGATCTTGGTGAGATGACCCAAGATTCTAAAATAACGCTGCTGCGAAGAAAATATTCCTATTTGTTGACTGCATTGCTCAGTGTGATGGAATCAGCTAATGCGGGCAGGGGGCGTGTAAAATAGCACTGCCTAAATAGAGATCATGTAGGGCTGATCCATAAGGCTAATGCTACATTGCTAATCATTTGATAATAGTACAGCCCCCGATGAGCCGCCTTGGCAGACTATAGACATTTGTTCTTAGTTTCTATTAGCACTCTTTGCAATAATTTCTTATATGCTAATACGTAGCTGCCACCATTTGTGGCATCGCTCTCGAAAATCGCGGTATCCACATACAAAGCAATATCTCAAAATACGATTACATTCGCCCACTATACCAACTAGACATTTTCGGATTCTATCTCGTCGCTAGTGTAGTCTATTCTAGTGTTGGAAACGGAAATCTAATCTCTTGTTACCCTCATCAGTTGTTGTTGCCAAGTAGTGTAGCTTCTCCTCTTCCGTCATGGCATCCCATTTCTCATCTCTCCGTTTGTTCCGGAATATATAGTAACATTTGGTAAACAGATACCAGACAATGCTCACTGAAGTGATAGCTAAGAGGTATTTGTTGCCACGTCGGTAAAGCGGAGCATCATCAGCGCGATAGAGATTCGACGATATGATATTTCCAAGCTGCACGAACATGTTGTATGTCGCGGCTGATACAGTTCGTGAGCGTACAGTATTGGAATTGCGGCTGTTCAAGCCCACTTGGATTGGGTGTGCTGTTCATGCAAGTCAGCGATTTTCCTGTGCCCAACATTAACGGGCTGAAGCATGAAACTACTAACCGTAGGGATAGCTCAGTAAGAGACTAATAATGGTGAATACAACCCATTTATTGCTTTCAGCTGTATAGCCTACTTCGAGCCAAATCAAAAATGGAAGACACCAGACCTGGCCAAGCATTGCTGTCAAGACCATCTCATTCCGGATCTCGGCCAAGTAGCTTAAAGCAAACATAGTAATAACTATGGTTTGTATCAGCATCTATAATTAGGGCTACTAAAACATGCATAATTTTTGACTTACTATTCAAGACGCTAGAAGGTATGGTTAGAAGATTGGTTTGGAAAGTACTGAAGCCAAGCCCTCTGAGTGCCAGCGTGAGATATCTGCCCACTGGTGCGGCTGGAATCTGGAACAAGAGTCCAATAATATATAGTGGCCTTTCAACACTGATTAGTATAGTAATTTGCAAAGTGTCTCTCATAAGTAACACTCTTCTCACCAGAGATCGTAGTCCATTAAACTCTTGAGCAACAGCCTTGGCGTGATTGGTTCACGGTTGTGCATCGAACTCTTCGAAGGATCTTCGCGCAGGACACGGTTGACAATGATAATCTCTTCTCGTTCCGAGAACCATCCATCTTTGCCTCGGAACCAACTTCTAGTTTGACAAGGGCCGGCAGGCATCAAACCAAATGCCAGAATTCCTACAAAAAGAGTCATGAGACCCTAGAAGCACTCATCAGATATATTATAGCAAGTCTTACTTTAAGAATTGCCCTTACCTCAATCAGGAAGAGCCACCGCCAACCAGATCGACCTTCAACATCTCTCATGTGGAGAATGCCGTAAGCTAGTAAAGCGGCGAGGATCTCCGCTACCGTCATCATCCCCCAAAACCAGCTCAGTCGTAAGGTCAATTCGTGATGTTTGTAAAAGTACGAGAGATATAATACAATCTTTGTAGTGTTAATAGGCAAGGCATCCATTATAGTTTGAAACATTATTGACTTACATCTGGGATGAAACCGCCCTGTAGAAGACCTAGTAAAGCTCGACAAGCTAGAAATGATGACCGACCGGACAGCCAGAATTGGGCGCCAGCAACTATACTCCATAGGACCATCTGAGAGGGAATCCATCGATCGGGGCCTATCCATTTAGATACCAGCTGAGACGGAACTTCGGCTAGAAGAAAGGCGATGAGGAAGACTGTATTTCCTAAGTTGTAGTCTATTTTTCATTTAGAGTAAGCGATGACGTTTGAAACTCGGGCTTGACAAAGTCAGCTGCTATTCTCACCATTTGTTGACAAATTTAGATCCTCAAGAAAGTTGTCCGAGTTTGCTTGGCTGAGATTGGTTCGATCCATTTCGAGCGCCATGAACATTATACAAGCCCAGGCCGTAATTCGAAAGTCCATCTTTCGAATTAAAGCGTCTTCTTCGGCCCAGGTCCATCGCGCCAGTGGATCAAAGCGATGTACATTTTCCCTTTTAATTTCAGTCGTTAATAAACTGTTTAACACCTTTTATAAATCTAAAAGCTCACCAATTGTCTGGAGGCTGGTATTTTTCTGCAGTGTCAGGATCATCAAAGACACTGGGCTGCAGCGGAATTAGAAACTGTTTGATAGGGTAGAGTGCTTAGTCTTGATTCTAACCTGCGTTGCAATTGCATATGGATCGATCGCTCTAGTGCGCTGCCACCAGAAGCGCTTCTCTAATTTTTCCGCTCCCAGAGGGGGGATTTGATCGAGAGAGAGTGTAGACTGACTGACACCATCTTTTTCGGTCCCAGGCTGCCTTATGCGAATTGTAGCCATGGTGAGACTAAGTGGTTTGGTCCAGATCTAGGGTTGTATCAAAATCTGTATTCTAAAAAAGAATATTTGGGAGAAGATATAGATTCTCTGCCGATCAAAATGGGTCGAGATGGCACCATTGCGGACCCTAATCACTTCTTATATCACTTTTAAGTCCGCAAGGGTTTAGAAAACTGCCTCCACTATCTTATAAATTTCACACATGTGTTCAGTTCGATACGACAGCCGTCCTATTTTTATTTAGTATCTAGATGGGCTATATGTTGTCCCGAGAGGGACACCCAAGCGGGGGGCGTTAAACAGGGATTCGGGAAACGAACTGTACGACTAATCCTTACCAATTGATCTTTTACAATCAGGCTAAAGCGTTATCTTGGTAATGGTGCAGAAATCTCCTTGAACCATTATTAGACTTGATATTAATTATAATCGTTTTCATCTTTAATAACTAATCTTTTCTTGAGATTCACAGCTGTCTTCTCATATAAAACCAATTCCTATTCCATTTTCTTTGCCTCCCGCATGGCAAACCGTCTTTTATCTCACAATTGCAATAAAACAACATGTCATTCCCCCAGCTGTTCTACCAATGTTTGTGGTTCCATGGTTCATCTGAGTCCCACCACTCCCCGGCGTTTGTGGCGACATCGGTCTTCAAAAACGTATCGAGGGACTTTCTTTTACTGGTAAGAGAGGATTATCACTTGCAGTTACACATAGATACCCCGCGGTCTGATGCCCATCGCTATATTGCTTGCTTATCAACCGCCAATGACAGAGGAGGATTTGGTGTAAGGCAATGTGAGCATAGAATGGCGACATCTTATAGTAGCGATGAGGTGTTTGCCCCGGACCGAAAAGTGGAGCAATTACCGGGTTTGGATGTCGGATATAAGCCCGGCTAGACTATATAAGAGGAAATACCTCCCCTTTGTTAATTAATGAAACTAGAGAAGATGCCTTGCTTGAAGTAGCTCTTAGCTGTCTCGACGGCTTTAATCATTCGTCTGTCGGTCTGTTGTTGGATATGGTCTGGATGGATAGCAACAGATTTGGCTATAAATTGGCTATGCGAGCGGGTTTAGTTGCTGAAGCTCTGTGTGTATTTCCTCCCCTATCGTTGGTTTAGCTCTGTGTGTATTGCATGTCATAGGTATCTGGATTTCTAGGTACATTCTAGATACGATACTACTAAAAAAAAAATGTTTACCAATGACAAGAGCAATACGTGCCACTCTTGCATGGCAATTACACCAAGCCGCGGATTATATAATTCAACTTTCTGTATTATGAAACCAAGCTCATTCTGATTGGCCTATTTCCTTCTAAGCAGCTCTCCCTTTTCTGCCGCACGGTACCGCCCTGGCTCCCTTGCAGCCAGACGTAGTGTTGGCAGCACTAAAATACAGTGATGGGCATACTGTTTTCTTTACACCTCAGATATATCTGAAGCAATTCTACGACATTCTGAAGAAATGGCTGATACAGTAGAGCCCTTTTGGGGGCCTCAGACCTCATATCTAAAGTATGTACTACATTGATTAGTAAAAAGTCGAGCAATTACTTATAAATGGCATTATAGCTTTTGTGAAGAGGTACAGCAGTAATTTACAGTCTACCCTCTGCGTCAATTAAGATGGTGTTCTGACGGATCGTCATGTCACGCTATAGGACTATGTCGTCACACGATTTATCGCTGAGTTTGTGAATACCCTCAGCAGCTTTACTTTTGGTATATTTGGACCAAAAATTTGGACTATGGTGGTTGGAATTGACATTGAGTAGTGATCTACGGAATCTACGGCTTGGTCACATCTCCAAAGCAACAGCGCACGGGTCCTCGATTAATCTCATACATTGGTCTCATTGGCGTAGGAATTTGTTCTGCTGGATACCACATGACGATGAAGTATCACACTCAAATGTGTGAGTGCTTTTATATCTCTTTGATGGCGGCATCTTCTAACATACTCTAGCCGACGAGCTCTCTATGCATCTTTTGACAACGCCCATCGTCTACCGCCTTCTCACCTTCAAAGCCAGTCCGCAACGTACCAAACTAGTAGGAACAATTCTTCTCATTCTTTTCACCACGGTCATGGTCACTCACATGGTGATGGATGAATTCCTGCTTCATGCAACCACTTTTGGTTTGAGCATTTACGTCATCGCAACCCGTGCTCTGAAGATCATTTCTCAGCAAGTTTCCGATCCTGTGATCAAAAAGACTCTGCGAAATATCTCTCTTTTGGGCATGAGTAAGTTAATGCTTCAGTACGCCTATCGAAACTCAGCTAAATATATCGCTAGTGTCTTTTGCCTTTGGCTATTTTGTTTGGCTAATCGACGACTGGGCATGTAACCTTTTGACCGATGTGAGGCACGCAGTTGGCATTCCTTTGGCATTCCTCTTCGAATTGCATGGATGGTATGCTCCATATTCCAAATCTCTCCTGGAGATCACGCACTAAATATACCCAGGTGGCACATTTTTACCGCTATTGGTGGTTATATAGGCGTCGCAGTTGTTGATCTGATCATAACGGGTGACGTTCACAAAGATCCTACCGATCAACTTGCCTGGCCCGTTCCTTTTGCTGCGAGGCTCATGTCTAGTTCCCAAAAGTCGACAAAGCAATCATAGATTTATCGAAGCATGAGATTGATAGAAGTTCTGGGGCCAATCCGCAGGCTTACATGACCTCATAGTTGCCAGAAGCAAGTGAGATAATTGAAGAGGGTTTAGATAGAGTGTTCATCCAAGAAGACACACATTTCATAGACTATAGAGGGATTTTAAACCAAACTCTAGCTTAATTACATCTTATTCACTAGCCCGCTCTCATGTATATGAACCAGCCGCTTTTGCGGCTATGCCTCTCCTAATGGCCACACTGCGCGATCCACACGATAAGAATAAGGATGTAGCGATTTCCGCTTATTCCAACACGTAGGTAAGTTCAAGGGGAGGGATGTAGTTTTTATTCAAAGGTTGGCAAATATGGATTTTTCTAATTAACCCAAAGGGGCAATGCATAAGTACATGTACCTTAGATCTCAATGCAACCATTCTGCCGCATACCATCTTATGTCACATTATTTAATCTCCGACTCGGCTTTTTGGTCGTTGCTCGATATGAACAGTTCTGTGAACATTTGAAGCTTAAACTGTTACCTAAATTAGCTTAAGTTCGACGGATAATGCCTACATCGTGTTGCTCTATAAGTCACAGCTTAGTCAAGACTGTTGAGTTTGATCAATTGAGCTGTTTTAACGTAAATCTTTCTATTATTGGATAATAAATACCGAAATGAGAAACCGATAGATTCGAAAATGTACACTCATCTTCACACCGCGCCGGCCCGTTAGTCAAGCTAGAATTCAGTAGCAACCCTGCTAATGCAGTATTAGTCAACCAGGAGCCTTCAAACTGTAGGCTCTGATTAGAGTTATTGTTATTGGGAAATTGCTATTGATATCCGTAAAATGAGAGAAATAATAAGTATAAAAGATAAAGATATTCCAACATTGTGATAGATTAGAACAGAATCACTTAAACAATACTACCATATCTAAGGAAGAACACACATTACAAAATCAGCAAAATTCTAAACTTCTAATTCTCATAAAATATTTTATTCAAAAATGGCTACTCTCGAGCAAAGAAACAAGGCGATTATTGCCAAATACTTTGAGGAATATTGGGTAAAGGGAAATGTCTCAATTGTGGACGAGCTCTGCTCTGACGACTTCATCATGAGCTACCCTAATCACGGGCCCCGTCACGGCAAAGAAGGGGCGAAAAAGATGCTGACCGAGTTTATGGAGGTATGTAATTGAGAAGATATGTCCCAAAATATTATTTTAGATACTTGAAAACTAACGGAGGTAAAAAGGCGTTCCCTGATTTGACATTCAGGTCTTACCAAACTCCATTGATTGCGGAGGGTGACTGCGTCGCAGCCCAATGGGTTGGCGGCGGCACACATACCGGCCGTGCTTTTGACGATTTGGTTGTGGGATAGCTTGACAAAGCCAATACTGGCAAGAAGATTCATTTCAGTGGCATCTCCATTTTCACACTCAAGAATGGCAAGATTGTTCGCGAGATTGCAGAGGAAGGGGGATTGACTGTTCTTCAACAGCTGGGACTTGTTCCTCAGCCCAATCCCGGCAAAGAGATTATTTACGACGCGGAGGGAAACCAAGTCTACTGAAATGCTCTATTTGTACTATATGGATGAATTCATTCTCAAATTACACCCTCGATGAATTTTGTGAATGCGAATAGATTTCCATGTGCCCCTGCCTCAAGTTACATATCATTTGATCTTCTCAAACAGTAATACAACCTGCAATAAATAATAAATAAACATTAAGTGAAAAATGAATTTTAAATAAAAAAAAATGAAAGGCGCGATACAGTTTATAAAACAAACCCAGCGACATTTTGCAGCGGATGACTGTGACGCTACGCCTGCCGTGTTTATCGCTAGGCCCGTGAAAAATGCGATCCACACATCAAAGGCTCACACCGCAACCGTGTTAGCAAAGCTGCACTATCACCTGTAAAATAAGACACGTCAAGTGAGCGCAGATCCACGCATGTATTATCCTCGTCTTGAATTTCGCCAGCTCTGACAATCCTTTCTCTTCCAGCTTACTATCAACATTACATCATACGTCTGACCGCCAAAATCTGGTCGCGTAAATTGAGGTAGCTGCGCGTCTTCGGCATCACTCAGTCTCACCCCTAAAAAATCACAACTACAGTACGCCCACAAGTCTACGCAGCTGGAAACACAATGACAATACCGGAAAAATCTGAACCACCAAACCGTCCTGAGGTGCCGGTTCTCAAGCGCAATGGTTTCCAAATTTGCAAGGAGGCCTTCAGCGTAGACAAGATCCAACGGGTCAGCGGCCCGCGCCTGCTGGACCTGCTTCACCTCGACACCATCCCGAGCTTATCTGAACGGATAATCGCCCAGTTGGATGCGCGTCGTCTCTTTAGTAGAGCATTTTTTGCGGCTCAATTGAGGTACTATGGCATTCCTTTTCCGCCATCCGCTAAAAGCGCAACACTGAAGGCCTTACTTCGTGATGAGGTTTGTGAAGGCAAAGTAAGTTGTAAGCAAGCATTCCTTGCTCCGCCGCGTGCTGTGATTTCTAACCCATCTACGATAATAGTGTGATAGCGTTCCTGAATCAGTGGTTGAGCTGGAAGCCGCCATGCGACGCGACTATGAGCCTCTATACCAGAAATGGGAGAGCGAATTCGCCGCATGGAGCGCCGAAAAAGAGCGGCTAAATGATGAAGCTTTTGAGAAGTGTGAAACACCCAGCGAACAGGCATCCTTCGACATCCGTCGCTTTTTGGACCGTTACTACTTGACAGATGAGAAGCCGGATCAGACAAAGACTCCAGAAACGCTGGTTTTACACGGTGAAGGCGGATTGAGTAGTCTGTCCTGGAAGGCTCGTGAAATCCCCGGCCTTCACACTTGGAGCAGTTTTCATCAATATGGGGATCCTGTTACGTGTTTCATAGGATGGGACCGTGATGAAATCAAGCGATTAGGAAGAGAATTCGTTGATCGTGAGGCTGAGGCTGAGAGAGCCCGACGAAGGTCAAAGTGGGAAGAGCATATGGAAACCCACAAGAAATATATCGCTGGCATACAGCCAAAGGAGAAGGCTGCTCACGGGGTGGATGAAAGCTCCAAACCGTTCGACCTTGATCGCTGCATAGGCTCCTACGTTATTCGATGTGACGCGATTACGGACGAATGGTCGACTGAACACACGGGAGACACGCTTTCGATGGATATCTCTTACAACAGCACAGGAAACATGTTGCTTGCCGCTTATAATTTCGGCATCCTCAAAGGAACCATGACTCTTAGTTTGTCTGAAGACACGCTCAAAGAAATGTTTGGTGCAGAAGATGTAGATTCTGAATCCTCCATAAGTGAGGAAGCAGATGATACCGGCGAAGATGACGAAGATGACAAAAACAACAAGCATGGTGAGCATGATGAGCATGATGAGCATGATGAGCATGACGAAAATGGCAAAGAGAGCAAAGGTGGTATCGTTGCGGAGGAATCTACCAATGGAAAGAAACGCAAAGCCTCATTGGAGCAAGATACAGATCCGGCGACACATCCTTATGATAACGCAAAGAAACGCAAGACTGCCCCTGAGCCACCCCCGTCGCGCCGCGTTTACTTGCGTCTTGAAGGATATGAAACTGGCGAAGGCGAGGAAATATATTTCCCTGAGCCCGGCCACATAAATTTTACAAGCGATGGCTGTGTAAAATTTGAAGGATTGATGTACACTTTGTCATATGTTGGGGAGAATGTCAAGTTTGAGGGCTATAAAATATCGGACAAGCCACAGGTACAGCCAGGAGATTTTGAACGAAGTATGTACGAGGTTGTGTTTGAGTGAGTCAATTTATATAGCACTGTCCGAGTGCGAAAAGATGGCATTGAGAATCCGGGATATCGGCTTTTATCTTCCCTTGACTGGGAATGCTTGTGCATAATCGCATTTCCCGAAAAACGAAAGAGAAGCGTCGGGTAAGCTGGCGGTTTAGACCCGAGCCGCGGCTACGACTCCACAAACTTGGTCAACTGGGAGATCAATACGAATGTACAAGCGAACTTGTCAATTTATGAGATAAAGCCGATCCTCTGCTAAGTGCCGGCCACGTCGGACTGCGCCTGAGGACTTCTCCAATACGGTAGTGGGCATTTGTTTGTGTTCTTTCTTAGCTTGGCTATTTATGAAACAGGTTTTCTTCTTGTGGTCTTTCACTCCCACCTGCTACAATGCATAGTTATATATCTTTATCTATATTTATCCACAATTAAACCATTGCTACGAAGGTAGCTGATACTGCTAGGTTGTTTTTACATCCATGTTCAACAAGGGCACTGATGAGTATTGCTATTCGGGCGGTATATTTCTTTATTCGGACTGTATATTTTTGCTATTCTGGCTGTAACATTCTGCTATTTGGGTGGTATTTGACTTAATTAAGAAGGTGAGTTTTATTAACACCGCTTAAATAGCAAAATCATACCGCCCGAACAGCAACCTTGGAATACTAATCACAAGCAAAGTGTGCCACCATCATCTCTTCAATTGCTATTATTTTCTCCGTTTTATCTTAGTCACTCGAAATTTATATCTCAGAATGGTTACTGCCAGCACTGAGAATCTGTTCAGACGTACATCTGTTCTACCTCTTCTGCCAACGACGTGCCTCCATTTTTTTTTTTGACCTGTAGTGGGATATCACTGTAGGTGGATTAGTTATTTAGGTAGCATTAGTTAGAGATTATTTTCGATGATCTGAGCTATAAGTGGAGTAATAGTCGTACGTCAAGCTTTATTTCGAGCTTAATGCTGTTTCTTTATTCCACCAGCCACTTGTGGAGATGAATTTCTCCGTACTTCCCAGCAGGGATGCCAGTGATTTGTGATTAGCAGATTTTATTCTATGCTAAGTTAGTAGGACAATGCACCTGCCAACATTGGCGGATCAAGCGGCTCAGGTACGGCAAGCTTCTCAGCCAGAACACCTTATCTCCATACTAGACAGGTAACTCGCATTCTGCTTACCAAGTTCTGACTATTTCACTGGCATTCTGCTCTGCATCTTACTAAGGCTAGCGCACTGGGCTTTTCGTAGTAGTGGTAAGGAACTGCCGTGTTGTCAATACCACTCTCTCTTATGCCGCTCTTACCTCGATAATAAAGCGCCATTACGATACTGTGAAAACGGGAATTATCCAGGCTTTATACGGATTACAGCCTACAATATTATGCACGATTTTCTCTCACGCAACGTTACATTCTTGTTTCCTTGATTCCATTCAGAAGAACAAGATGAGAAAAGGACCTGTGTAATCGGATCTCGGCCCCGATAGAGGCGATGAGCCCGACTATCTGTCGTTTGTATGTCTTTAAATAGATCGTGATTCCCCCATCGTTACAAGGTTTACACTTAGTTTTGAAAGAATTTCCGACTATCCCTGAATCACTTTGACATCTCTTTTCAAATCTTCTTACAGTACAATCGACAATGCGTTTCACCATGGTCCTTGCAACGCTGGTTGGGTTGGCCGTCGCCACCCCAAAGTCACCTCTTTTCAAGAGACAGTGTCCAACCCAGCCACAAGACTGCTGTCTACAGACCGGCACTTGTGAGACTTGTTATTACGGAACCGAGCCCTTCCCGTGCAACTGCGAGTGCCTGCAAGTCGGTGGCTGCCCCTGCACCGAAATCGACAACGACCTGAACCCCCCGCAGTGCATTGGTTGGTCGGCTGGCGAATCAGGACATGTGAGCTCTATAACGCGTCTATATTTTTACTATTAAAGGCTAATCAATATTGCAGTGCTAAATTCATCAAACATTCTAATGATCGCCGAAGGGTTGGGGAAGCGACTGTCTCGAGATTTAGCGGCATATTTATCCATCATATGAGGGTAGTCCAGCTACATCCCCCCATAACAACAGCCGTGCTTCTTATAAAAGAATAGAATGAATAATGAATTACATTATTTATGCCAAAGTTTAACGAATATATATCATTGCAAGATTGAACTGTGATGAACATCATAAGCTCAATATCAGCTAAAGCTATCTAAGCTCACAATACTCCGTATTATCGCGTTTTTACCTCAACGGCCATTCATGCACTTTGCCAACCGAAGATTCGAAGAAATATGTAATTGGTTAGCCCACCCGTTAACGGCCCTTCAGAAAACTCCAAACGTTTGGGGATTAAGATTAATTCTTTTGATTTGGTAAAAGGCTATAACCCCATCCAAGCTCAATTTTATTGCTAGCTTCTCACTTGAGACGGGCTGGAATATCCATGTTGCTTTATCGATAATTTTCCAGTGTACGCATCTACAAGCTTTTTTTGCTCTAATTTCGATACTATTGTAGAGTAGTCTGTCTTTCTTCCCCCTCCTTCTCAGAACATTTGTGGTGTCTGACAGCAGCCGGATTATGCCGGAAGACTCTAAATTATTGGGAATCGGCCCAGCTATCGCCCATCACAGCGATTAGAGCCTATACATTTAGTGTGGGAATTCAATCGTATCATTGGGGAATGATTTTGCAACCTGGTTGCTCATTTATTTCCACCTAATGGCTAAATACATTATGGATGGTTTCTCCGCGGCATTCCGGCAGTAGTTGGCGGATAAAGGCGTCAAAGTTGGAAATGACAGTTGATATATCTTTACGAGATAATGAAGTAAGCCAATTACAATTATGTGAATATTGCCAGAGTGAGCGTACCATCAGCTTTGGTTGCCACCTTGATTGCTATTTATAGTGTAGATGGTTCATACACATTGTCCTTATAGGTACTCCGCAAAGTACATACGAAACCCAGCTCCTTTTAGTTATTCAGTCCGTCTGATAACTTAAGCGTAAGTATTTCATTCTCATTGCTGGATATGTAACGGAGCGATATATGAGTCGAAGAGAAGATGTCTTAGTCCACCAAGCTGGTATGAGAGATTAGTTGAAAAGTATCAGCTTAATATATTCTCGCTACTGAATACTCTATCATTGATCACATAGTCGGACAATTTGAGGGGTGAGCGGATAATTTTGATTTGTTGTTTTAGATCAACAAAAGTGAGATTGAGAAGAGAGCTTGGTATGGAATGAATTGTCCTGCCTCTAGTATTACATATTAGCTATTCATATACTGTTAGTTACTTATCTACGCAAAATACAGCGTAGATATGAATCGTCTAGTTATTATAGGTGCATATATAACGTACTGAAGAATATACAGTTTGCATATACTGGAAACATGAGGGAGCCCACACACCTAACGTCCAGATTGAAGTACATGTGGCATGACCAACCGGGTAGCGGACTAAATAAGACACCACAGCGTATCTCTCAAGATAAATTCACGTCGAGCGAGCTCATTTTAAATCAAGAAGATATAACAGACCATATAAAGGGAGAGGGGTATAACTTACGAAGACCAAGGGCAAATACACTTCATATACTCTGTTTCATTATGTATCAGGCTAAGCAACACATCTTACTCCAAAACGCACCACCATTTCAGTTTTATATGTTTCCCATTGATATTGAGTTGTATAACAATAATTACAAGTTAGTAAAGGCTAAGAACTTCCTTCACACCGGTATGTTGCGAAATATTGAGGCACTTAATCGAGAGAATTGATCGACAAGAGGGCAATCAATACTCAGGAAAGCTGAAATCTAAGCTAATTGTTGAAATGTGGGGGGCCAATTGGCGATCTCTGCGTACATGGAGGTAGTACTTCGAAGACCTCTCGTAATCAATGCTGAGGCCATACAACGCCGAATCATGGCTGGAAAGCTGAAACAATCAATTGATGAGACAATTACCAAAACAGCTGTTTTCCCATCCCCCTCTTCCATCTTCCAGCTCAAGGACAAAAGGAATAAATGCTCTTTGATGGACGAAGGGAAGCCAGAATATAGTGGGGTAAGCCAGCGCCACAGCATAGAGAGGTGCAGATCAGTCACGTTTTTAGTCATGTGACTCCCTGAAAGCCGGACTTCCAACTAAGACTAAGAGAAGCGCCGCACTTTGAACAGCCGGCTGGTCCAAACGACGTCCCTCTCCCCAAAACGACTTCCACCAGCCATTGCGGCCTCGAAACATCGCCAGAACCACTCGAATCACCACACGGAGCGCCTCTCCTGCAAGCGCCCGAAATGGCCATCCTCCGACACACCGTCGCCCCGCTGCGAGCGGTGCGATGCGCACGCAAGCCTCTCGCCTCCGCGCGCAGCCTCTCCATGACGACTCGACGACAAGGCGGCCACGGCGGCGAGTCACAGTTCGAACCCCCTACCGGATGGCTCTGGGGCGTCAAGCCCGGCGAGAAGCCCGAGCCCGAGGGCTGGGAGTGGCCCATGTACCTGTTCGGCGCCGGCCTTTTGGTCACCGGCGTTGCTTTGGCATTCAAGCCTGATACTTCGTAAGTAGCAGGATATATTGCGTGTAGGAGCTGGACTTGCAGCATTGCGACTTCTGGAACCATCTCCCCCTTATATTTATAGCCTATGGGGGCAGGAATTGGAATGGCGGAAGTGGCGAAGCTACCGGCCTCATTGCGTCATTTTGGCTATGCGGCATTCACTGACTTTTAATACTACAGCGTCTCTACCTGGGCTCTTGAGGAGGCACGAAGAAGATTAGAGGCTGAGGGTGTTCTTCCTGACCCTTCACAAAACGAGAAGAAGAACTAAGTTGACGACATGGGAATGAGACTTGGGGTTATTTTCGCGTAGAGGGGGAGAGGAGGCGGAAATCTTTTGTTAGGATTTGGGAAAGCAGCGAGCAGTGGGGCAACGTTGGGAGTGGCCAACATGTACATGTTTAAGGCATTTTATTTTCCTGGTTTTCTATCGTTACAGAGATATATGGTCCCTCAATGGCATGAATATTAGACTGGGTTGTTGGACAAAAAAAATGATTCACGATTTCACCGAATCTTCTCCGTACAGGGGGGCATGATTTGCAGCAGATGGCAGATTAATTTTTTTTGTAACAGCATATCTACATGACGCTAACTAATGTATTCCTTCTATCCTTAATTTTTTTATGCCCCTTAGACCTTGACGCTCCATTCGTGCTCAATATCACCGTACTGGATGGCCTCTATCCACTCCTTCACCTTCAGCGCAAGCTCACCAGATTCCTCAGTCTCCTTCAAACCACAGTCAACGACCTGGCCCTTCCAAGCAATAGACCTCACAGGGCTAACGATGGCTGCGGTGCCAGCACCAAAGGCCTCCAACAGGCGGCCCTCCTTGGAGGCATCAGCCAGCTCCTGCATGGTGTACTTGCGCTCGCTGATCTTCCAGCCCTCGGGAGCAAGTCTCTCCCGGGCAAGCTGGAGGATAGAGTCACGGGTCACGCCTTCGAGGATGGTGCCGTCAAGAGGAGCAGTAACAAGCTCCTTCTGGCCAGTAGCCTTATCCTTGAGGGCAACAAACATGTTCATGGTACCGACCTCGGTGACGTACTCCTCCTCGCCGAACAGCCACAGGTTCTGCTGGTAGCCACGGCTGGCGGCCTCCAGCTGGGGGACAATGCAAGGCGCATAGTTGGCACCGAGCTTCTTGTCGCCAACACCACCGGGCCAAGCGCGGACGGCATAATTGGTAGCCTCAAGAGAGACGGCCTTGAAACCGGTAGGATAGTAAGGGCCGACGGGAGAGGCAATGACGTAGAGCAGGGCAGAGCCGGGAGCGCCGACGCCGAGAGTGCTCTGAGTGCCGATCAGCGTAGGTCGCAGGTAGAGAGAGTAGCCTCGCTGGGCGGGGATGAAGCGCGAGTCAAGCTTAGTGAGCTTTGAGATGAGCTCGACAAAGGCAGTAGGCTCAAAGGTGGGCAGCGCAATTCGAGCAGCGGACTTGTTGAGACGGGCCATGTTCTTGTCAGGGCGGAACAGCCGAATGTCGCCGTTCTTGTCCTTGTAAGCCTTCATGCCCTCGAAGCACTCAAAGGCATAGTGGAAGACGCAGGTGGCCGGGTCCAGAGACAGGTTCTGGTAGGGAGTGATGCGAGGCTCAAGCCATCCTTCTTCCTTGTTCCACTCAATGGCGAGCATGTGATCTGCGATGAAGTGTTAACGCGCCGAGTTCATCAAAATACAAACTTATATCCATAAGAGCAAAAAAAAAAAAAATTACCTGTGAACTCCTTGCCAAAGACGAGGTCTTCGGGCTTGCTCAGGCTCTTTGGGTTTTTCGTCTGCTCCACCGAAAGCCTTGAAGCATCAAGAGGGCGCTGTACAGAGGTAGAAGTGGCCGCAGCCTTGAGGCTGTAGAAGCGAGCAGGGCGATACGCAGGAAGGAGTCGCGAAGCCCGCGTTGCGCTCAAGAGCGCTGTTCTGGGGATGGCCGAACGCATTGTGAGATTCTCTGTGTGTCTGTTCTTTGTCGTCGTCTCCAACAAAATTCTAGCTACTATTAGGGCAGTTGTCCCAAAGCAGAAATTTCAAGATGCCTCACTTTCAACAACGTGGTCTAAACAACAGCAATCCTTCTGCCGCGTCCAATTGAGGTTCCGGGCCAGAGTCCTGGTAAAGCACTGGTTTATCAAGAGAAGTTGAGCTGACAAAGAGAGAAGCAACTCGCGAAGCCGGAGACTGCGCCAGGCGCGCAATCCACGGAGAGGACCCTGGACCCCGGAGCGGTACCGGACTACGGGCTTAGTCTTAGTGCAGGGTGGATTACGTGCATATTCACCGCTGCCTCCTTACAGTGCTGCGATACGGCTATCTTACAGCGGCCAGTTAGCGCTGCAGGCCCTGGGGAACAGTGCAATTTCTTGCGCATCTACGCAGTATGGGTGAGACTACTGCTGTAACTATTCGGGGTAGCTGACACCAAGCCCGAAGATACCCGTTTTGCGATGCCGCGTCAGGCCGCTTTGCAGTAAAATCGCCGATTATTGCACTGCTGCTACTACGAAAGAGTATGACAAGTAAGCAAAGGAAGACTTGCGTCGCCACCGATATAGGAGAAGCGCGCGCCTTTGGGAAGACTGGGTTGATCCTGTTTTGTCTTTGGGATGGTCAGCCTCGTCCATGCTTGGCGGTCTTATCGCAATTCAGCGATTACCCAGAGAGGAAATCCTTTCATATATGCCCGAGAGACGGCCGCCTCCAATTCCGTAGCAGTTTTTCTGTCTTAGTCAGGCGGCGTTGTATTATGCAGCACCGCGGCGATGTGGCTTGCTGCTGTGGCGCAGAGGCCGCCGACGCTCTGATGCATCATGCTATCACTGTGGCCAATAGCAGCGGGGAGCTACGAATAGCATCAACGCACTGCATGTCTTGTAGCTCGACCAAAACGCGTGTCATCGCTCAGCCTCGCCGCGGTACGTCAGGGACATTCGCAACACGCCAGTCCATCCGGCTGCACAACACAAAGGCCCTGGCATAGACATCCGTCTTTGTTGTCTGAATTGCGCCGGGCGCACCAACAACCTGCCATCTGGCCATTTTGGCGCACTCCAGAGTCCCTCCTTGATCGCTGTCCCAGTCCGCAATGAACCCTTAATCGTTTTCGTAGACGACGCTGCACCAGTCTGCTCTCTCCTACGCGACGCATCATGTTCTCCTCTGCGCTCAAATCCTTCTCTAGCACCAACATCTCGTCCAACTATACCGTGTCGCCGAATCCTACATCGACGGCCGGGCCATGGAAGATCTACGATGCTAAGAAGAAGTCCACCGGCAAGGCGTACAGCGTCTTCGCCTTTGACAAGAAGACCCTGGACGCACACGGCAGCTCCGTCGGCAAGGGCAATGCCGCGTCCTACAAGCGCAGCGTCGAGGAAGTGGTGGAACGCTTGAAGAAGGAGGCTTCGAGCTTGGCCAAGCTGCGGCATCCCAGCATCCTCGAGCTCGTTGAGCCGGTGGAGGAAACAAGAGGCGGCGGGTTACAATTCGTGACAGAAGCGGTGACTGCATCTCTCTCCAGCGTATTACAAGAAAAGGATGAACAAGAACGCTCTGGTGGCCCTGGCGGCCGATCGAGTCGATATGTTACGGAAGATGCCGACGGTGTGCGCAGAAGAAGAGAGATTGAGATTGACGAGCTGGAAATCCAAAAGGGATTGCTTCAAATCAGTAAAGCATTGGAGTTTCTGCATGATAACGCGGGTCTTGTCCACGGTAACTTGACGCCTGACGCAGTGCTCATCAACGCCAAGGCATGTCCACCTTCAACTTGGGTCACTTCTTGTATAGGTTCCGACAACTAACCATGCGACAGTCCGACTGGAAGATAAGCGGACTTTCTTTCTGCAGTCCTGCAGACGGTTCGACGAAACCTACCTCGATCCAGGGCATTAGCCTGCATGAAGTCCTCAACTTAGACCCTAGGCTACCCAGATTCGTCCAGCTAAACTTGGACTATACCTCTCCGGATTTTGTCATGGATAATAACCTGACCGCATCTGCCGACATGTTCTCGCTCGGATTGCTGTCCGTTGCTCTCTATAATTCCCCTCATCAGTCGCCAATAGAGTGCCACGGGAGCCCGTCTTCGTATAAGAGAGTCTTTTCCTCATCTTCCACCGTTCCAACAACCACAAACAACTATCTTTCCTCCAGACCATTGCCCAGAGACCTATCCAACCATGTGCTGCCGAAGCTCATTACTAGGAGACCTGCGCAAAGAATGACAGCCAGAGAGTTTCAACAAAGCGAATATTTTGATAATGTCCTTGTCTCTACTATCCGGTTTCTCGATACCTTTCCAGCAAAGACTCCCAACGAGAAGTCGCAATTCTTGCGCGGCCTTAATAAAGTTTTGCCTTCTTTCCCCAAGTCTGTTCTAGAAAAGAAGCTATTGCCAGCACTGTTGGAGGAAATGAAGGATAAAGATCTCCTCTCTCTGATTCTGCAGAATGTCTTCAAGATACTTACTCTGCTGCCCGCAGCTCGAAGGGCGTTCAGCGAAAGGGTACGACCAGCCTTGAAGAGTGTGTTTGTAGAAAACGCAAAGCAGAGCCAGGAGAAAGATCCAGCCCGGGATGCGGGCTTAATGGTCTTTTTAGAGAATATTGCAGTGATAGCTGACAACAGTAATGGCGGGGAGTTCAAAGACGGTGCGTACTCTCCCAACTAAATTTGCGCCTGATAACGATGATGTTGCTGACACAAATGCTATAGATGTCTTACCCGTTATCATTGCTGCCATAGAATGCCCCACGCCTTCGATCGTGGATGCGGCACTGAGGAGCTTTGCTGTTGTGCTGCCTGTTCTGGACTTTAGCACAATCAAGAACGAACTATTCCCCGTAGTCGCCGTTGTCTTTAGTCGAACAAACAGTCTCGCCATCAAAGTCCGCGGTCTTCAAGCTTTCGTCGTCCTCTGCGGCGGGGCTAATGAATCCAGTGTAGATGACGGCGGTCTTAGTGGGCTGGAAGGAAGCAAGAAAACTTCTTCATCCAGCGCACTCGACAAATACACCATGCAAGAAAAGATTGTTCCCTTGGTCAAGGGCATTAAAACCAAGGAACCCGCCGTCATGATGGCAGCTCGGGATCTGATGTACGTGGTCGGGCAAACAGCCGACGCTGAGTTTGTGGCCATGGATATTTTGCCAATCCTTTGGAATATGAGCTTAGGACCGCTGCTTAACCTCAAACAATTCCAATCATTCATGGATCTCATCAAGACTTTGTCACGCAAGGTCGAGGATGAACAAACGAAAAAACTACAAGAGCTATCAGGGTCGACCAACGGATCAACAGCTGCCGCCAACGAAGACTTTATGGCCTTCGGCGGCTTGACAGGAACTGCTTTCGATGCTACTAATGGCGGTAACGAGGATGATTTTGAAGCGCTGGTGAAGGGTACAGCTGGCGGTTCTACCGGCGCTGCAAGGGCGCCAAGCTGGGACGACGCACCGAATGCCGCTGCCTCTGTTAGTCGATCGTCAACGGCCACGCCGCAGACACCATCCTTTTCCTGGTCGACTCCGCGTGCCATGAGTCCTCCCGCGAAGCAACCAAGCACCCTGAAAAGCCAGCAGTCTTCTTTCCGAACAGTCACCCCCGATCTAAACCGCTTTGAAGTCATGACTCCAAGCTCAACTCAGTTCAGCCAACCCCTGCAACCAACAATGCAGTCGAGTTTCCAGCAAGCACCAGCGCAGTCTACGGCATCTGCACCAAGCTTCAACTGGTCGTCTTCCACTACATCCACTAATACGAGCTTTTCACCGCCTCCCTTGACACCAAACTACTCCTCTACAATGTCCAACTCGAGTGCTACTACATACGGCACAGGCGTGGCGACCTCCATGTCCAACATGTCACTAAACTCGCTCAACTCCCAGAGACCCGCAATGGGTGATTCCCGCGGCTCATCCTTCTCGCTAGCCCCACCACCAGGCAGCAGCTCCGGGATATCAGGATTCAGTCTTGCACCCCTTCCGGCAGCGTCTCAGAATGTATGGAGCTCAGCAGGCTCCGGCAGCTCGCTGTCTCAACAGCAGAAACCAATGGGCTTTGGAGGAATTAGTAATAACAGCCCGATGGGTGGCAGCTCCTTCACGTCGCAGCCGCCCCAGCAGCAGCAGCAACAGCAGAAGTCTGGCTTGGATAAGTATGAAAGTCTGATTTAGCGTACGAGCTTTTCCATTTTCCCATGGTTCTTCATTACCTCTTTGTATTTGTTCCAATTTCTGGTTGGGTGTCTTGGAAGAAGAGAGAAGAGGAGTTTTCAATATGCGCGATGGGGACAGGAGAATCTACCTGTAAGGCAAGGTATAATATAAACTACCTGCATAGTAAAGGATCATAAGCGACATGGAAGCTTAAAAGAGGGCATGAGCAGGGGTTTGTTGTATAGTAGTACTATTATAAAGAAGCCATATAAGGACAAGTCGTATTTGTGGGGGTTGATGTTCAATTTACGTATTTGGAAACAGGGGAAAAGGCGGAAAGCAAAATATAGATACCATTTCAACGAAGAAATGTAGGGTTTCAGATCCAACATCAATCTTTCTTAAAAAAAAGGAAGGAAAAGAAAGAAAAGAAAAGTGAAACAAACAGCCCTCCATAGACGGCCTTTTTTTCTTTTTTCTCTCTCTCTGTCCACTCTCTTCATTTCCTCCAAAGAGCTATTCACTTTTTGTTTTGTAACCCGTTTCCTCGGCTCTTCGTATAAATCATCAATCCATCTCAACGAGGCAATGAAGAACATTTAATCATTGTGCTCAAAGGGACACTAAGTCACAAACTAAGGCGAGCTGACCCCCTTAACCTTGCTTACATGACCCCCCCGTCTTACACAAGATAGATCATAGCACCATCTCGTTACGGTAAAGTATGGATGACAGAATTACCAAAAATTGCCTGCTGTGCTGGCTAGTTGAACACGAGAATGAAGAGCAAATGAGGGAGAAAAAAAAAATTAAGAAAAAAAAAAAGTCAAGGTATCCAATCGTTTAAAGTTAAAAGGAGTAGATAATAAGAAAATGAGAACCAATTTATATTTCTACTAGTAGTATAGCTCAATTCTCTCTATACGGATGGACCGTGACTATCTGTCTAAAACGGCTTCTCGTTTATTCTCTCTCGTCGTGTCCTCCGTCCAATTAGCAGAAGCACTCTCCTCTCAAATCTAACAGCCTCCACAAATTCCCATTGCTTCCTCTCCTCCTTTATATGTATATCCCTAGGTAGTGTAAAAAGAAAAGAAGAAAAGAAACAACAAGTCTTTGGGGGGGGTAGTGTATCAAAAGCTTGTTTGACATGCCCCGCGAGTTAAACAGGTGTAGGATGAAAAAGGGAAACTGACAGAAAAAGAAATGAAAGGAATTGAAAAGGAAAGGAAAGGAAAGGGCCGCACATCATGAAAACAAGGTCCTAAACTCCACAAGGTCCGCTAAATTCCATCTTGTGGCGTAGAAAAACACGAGGTATATCAACAGAGAAAAGGTGTAACGCGCAAAGAGAGACAAGAATAGGAAAAAAAGAAAGAAAGAAGAAGACAAGAACGAAAAAGAATCAAAAGGAACCCGTCCCGTCCCATCCCTTCCCTTTCGCGAATGTGTGGTAAAGCATTGTCGCCGGTGTCTAGGGAGCGTCTTCGGTTCTTATGCCCGCTTTAGGCACTCTTGGTATTAGTGCCGTTGGTCATCTTGGGGTTCTTGCCATTCGCCTCTTTGGTGCCTCTGCCGTTCTTCGCATTCTTGACGTCTTTGCCGTTCTTCACCTCCTTGGAATCTTTCTCCTCCTTGGCGGCGCCATTCTCCGCAGCCTTGTTGGACGTGAAGACATGGCGGCTTGCATAGCCATCCTCGGTGCGCACACTAACCTCCTGATCCACCGGCACCATCTCATGGACAAGCGGCCAGTCCAGCTGTCGGCATAGCTCAGCCACGACGACGTCACAGTCGCCGAGCAGGTCGATATCAAAGTTGATATGGCTGACGGCCTGACGAGAAACGTAAATCTGCGGGATATGCGGCGGCAGGAAGCTGACAATCTCCGAGACTGGAGTCACCTTGAGCGAAGTGCCAATGACAATGACCAGGTCTACCTTGTCGCGGTCGTTTTCCGTGAGGCGGCGCGAAAACTCGTCGGGCAGGGCCTCGCCGAAGAAGGTGATGTCGGGCTTCATGACTCCTGTAGTGGGAATATCGTATTCTGAGTTGTCGTCGGAGCTGTCGTTGTCGGCCCAGCGTCTTCTCTTCTTCTCGGCGCCAGCAGATCGCTTTCGCTTGGGCGCAGCGCCGGAAGCCTTGAGCGATGAGAGGCATCGTGTGCACTTGGGAATCTTGCCGGCTCTGATGTCTGGGAAGATCTTCTCGCCAGGGATTTGGTAGCGACACTGGACGCAGCTTGCGGTGCCGAATGAGCCGTGGCACTGGATGAGCTTCTCCTTGGGCAGACCGGCCTTGACCTCTAGGTTGTCGATGTTCTGAGAGTAGTTGGTAAGCAGCTTGCCGCGCTCGTGAAGCATAGCCAGGAACTTGTGAGTAGGCGTATATCGGTCGGTTGAGGGAATGATGTCCTTGGCAACCGAGTAGAAAATGGTCGGATCTTGCTTGAACACCTCAATGTCAAAGACCTCTTGGGGGTCATTCAGGCCCAGATGCTCCAGCTTCGAATACAGACCTGTGCCCTGCGATCGAAAGTCCGGGATGCCCAGAGACGTAGAAATACCGGCGCCAGTGATGACGATGATGTTGTTGCACTTTCTGATGAGCTCAACAGCGTCCGGAACGGTGTTGTAGCGCGTCAACTTGGCCCTCTTGGACAGCTCGCGCGTGATGGCCAGCGAGAGAAGGCTGAAGTAGGCCTCGTCCGGCTGGCCATCCAGAAACGCAGGGGGCCGAATTCCAAAGGCGCTGAGAAGCTTTTTGGCGCTGTAGCGGCCAGCATCGACTGTGCGCTGGCAGAAGACAGCAGGGCCTTGTTCGCGCAGCTCGCGACGCAGTCTGCAGGCCTCTTCAGGCGTGCAAGTCTCTGGTCCTGTGAGTTGGAGATGAGTTAGCGTGAGGTTTTTGGACGTTTCGCCACTGGTGCTAGTTCCATCACCACCAGCGGTTTTTTGCCTTTGCAATTCATTGTAGAGCCATCTGGGCACAAGACGATGGACTGGTCGTCGTCTTGGTCTTGGCTTTGGCCACTTGGCCTTGATTCATACTCGAGAGCGCAGAAATGAAGCCACGCTCAAAAAAAGCTGCTCGCACACGAATTCTGCCAACACACCAAAGTCATGGTGAGACAGAACAAGACAGCCGCGAGGCCAGTTCTCCGTCCAGTAGAAACAAACAACAAAAAGTACAAGGCAGATGAAAACAAGACGACCAAGAGAAATGATGAGAAATCAGCGACAACTTACTGCCAGAGTATACTCCACTCTCTTCCGTCAGTTCCTCCAGCGCATCCTCAAACAGCGAGTCTGTCTCCCACGAGTCGCGCACATCGGCAACTCTCTCCTCCAGTTCAGCGAGCGAAACGTTGACGGAAGCCTCTTTGATCTCCTCAATCGTTGCATTCTCGGGCAAGCGATCGAGCGCATCTAGCCGCGCTTGAGAGCGCTTTGCGAGGGCCACACCCTTTTTGCCTGCAGGCGCCCGTTTCATTTTCTTAATTGTTTGTGTTTTCACTTTCCTCTCTTTTGCGTGCTGTTTTCCTCCTTCGCCCTTATGCGCGTCTAGTGTAATGTGGCGTGGTGTGATTGCTTCCCAATCTCTTTGTTGGGTGAGAAACAGGACAGCCAACGTGGCAAAAAAAAAAAAAAAAAGACGAAAGCCGATGAATGAAGGAAAACAAGTCGGGCCTCAAACAAGGTGAAAATACGCCGGAACGCGGGCAACAGAGGAAACCAAGGCTATAATAGAGTTTACTAAGAATGGTGTAAAGTAGAGAAAGAGAAAGAAAAGCGACGGCGAGATGTGAATCAAGTGAATCAAAGTTGTGGAACCGAGGCGAAAAGTTGCCGCGATAGGTCGCCAGCAAATGCCGAGTTGCCACGCGTTGAAACGATGATGATGAAGTTGATGTCGGGGGAAGGGCAGGGGTGGTGAAGCTTCAATCAAGCCTGGCCTCTGTGATCTTTTTCTATCTTGTCGTTTTTTCTGTCTTTTACGCTCCAGATGCTCGTGATGATTAATGGATCAATTCCAGGGAAGCGATTAAGTTACGCACTTCACCTAAAACAGAACAAGGTCAGAGCGAAAATATGGGAGTGGGGGAGGAAAAAGGAAAAAAAAAAAAGGACTGGGAATTGAGATGAGAAACAGGTGATCAGACCAAAGAGAAGGGGAGGATCAAGGAGAGGTGGAAGAAAAGAGAAGGGCACAGACGAGGACGAGAAGAGTGAAAGGACGAGCCAACAAGGCGCGAACCGGTCTAGAATGGGTTGAATTAAAAAAGGCTGAGATTGGGCGGTGCTAGAAGAAAGAAGGGAAAAGTCCAAGGGGGGTGGAGGGAGGAGGTATGGAGTACGTATTGATTGATTAAATTAACGTAGTCGTACCTTGGCAGTGGTACGCCGGCTCGACTTCCTGGTGCCTTGCTGCGAGGCCAGCCCAATGCGAGGCTGGGTGAGGGATGGATGATGCTGATGGCAGATATGATGTTGTCAGCACCTTGAGAGAGTTTCCAAAGTACAGAAATAGACAAATGGCTACGGGAATAAGCAAAAAACTGGGCGGCGGCCAAACTATCTAGCCACGACTATCGATCGACAAAAAGGACGGGGCCGGTGCATGGGGATGGACAGACGACGGTGACAACCAAGGAGAATACGAGAGGCTAAGAGGAATGAGTGAAAGAAAGAAGGAGAGAAATAAATAAAGACGAACGAATCGCCACGAATAGTCCAAATAAAATTGGCCTCGATCCCTGCTTGTCACAATCGTCCACGTTGATGCCTTAGTATTCTGTGCTAGCAGTAGTGTGGTGTTATTTATTGATTAGCTGCTTTGCCATCACAACCCATACATTGCGTAGGTAGGTATGTAGGTATTAGATAATAGCAGTAATAGCCAAGGTGAGAAAATAAAAATCAAAAAGAAAGAGTAAAAAAAAAAAAAAAAAAAAAAAAAAA